GTTGCACTGGTTCGGAAACACGTCGTCTTCTTCGCTCTGGTACGAACTCAACTACATTGAATCCAAAGGGAGGATGAAGAAAGGCGACCGGATTTGGTAGATTGCTTTCGATAGTGGATTCAAGTGTAACAGTGCGGTCTGGAAATGCAACCAGAACCTTAAAAAATCGACGATGGACCATAAAATTACATATATATCCTCAAAGAGACAGAGGACAAAATTGTGTTAAAATTACAAAGTTAAGGACTTAATTGGTTGAAATTGAAAGTCGATGACCAATTTGTGAATTTAGCTATAGTCGAGGGACCATTTTGAATATTTACTCCAAATTCTATTCATACACTAAAATAATGTGTATCCTTATAATTAAAAACTTTAATTTTGTTGCTTTAATTATTTTAATATAAAATATATTTTTGATATAAATAATAATATTTTAAAATAAAATTTATGTTTTTATGCTATTTTTAGACTTGGCCTCCAAGCTTTACAGATCAAACAATCTGGTATATAAAATTATTATATTGTGTGTAGTCCACTTTCTGATTATTATGTGCTCCAAGAATGCAATGATTTGAACACTCAAAGTTAAGATTGAAGAATTTGTGAATCAGAAGAGTCCAGATTTCTCAATATTTGCATACTTCACAAAGCTGAGAATTACAATATAGTTCCATGGACACCCTTAGATTTTACATACAAGCTAAGAACCCCCATATATGGAGCAGTAATTTCCAGAATGCATATGTTTTACTCAATTTCTTTGAGCTTAGATAAGTGTTTTTTACCCATGAAGTGATCCAACAAGCCAGCCTCACATGGAGCCCAAATATTACAAAGATTACAATATAGTTTGTAATCTGTACTAACGGGCGCCTTCTCTTGTTTAGGGGCGTTTGGCCTTGCTGCCTCGTTTTTAACTTGGTATTGAATACCTGTAGCCTTCTCGGGTTTAACATTAGACAAGTGCTTTCTCCCATTCAAATGGGACGCCAAGTCAGCCTCTCTCGAGCACCAAATATTGCAGATGTTGCAATATAGCCTAGGATCTGGTTTGACAATAGTTTCGTGCTTTGATCCTCGTTCAGGTGGTTCGTTTCCCGTCCTAACGCCTGTTTGATTGAGGTTAGACGAGTGCTTTCTCCCCTTCAAGTGGGACGCCATGTCAGCCTCCCTCGAACACCAAATATTACAGATTCTGCAATATAGCCTAGGATCTGCACTCTCACTTGCAGTACCGGTTTTGTGCTTGGATTTGGCTTCTATGGGTGCATGGTTTAATGGCTCGGTTTTTGGTTGATTGGTTGCTTTGGGGGAAGGTGATCCCGGGAGTTTTGTGACCCGTTTGATTGGTTTAAGCTCCGCGATATTGGTTCTATGCCTCATTCCTCCAAGATGGGATTTCAGATTATTCTCACTAGTAGTAGTCACTTGGCACACAGCACAAGTCCATTCTTTCTGAATTAGCTTCGAAGAATTTATCCCCGGGATAATTTTCTCTTCCACCGGGATTCCCTTCACCCATGGAGCTTCAGTTTCTTGTTTTTGCATCTGTCCTATGTTGTCAACTGCACTTTTAACCTACAATCGAGACACGAGATTACAATATCATGGCTACGTGTTCTTGAAGGGGAGCAATGAATCCAATAAAAAGAAGTCACATTGTTACCTTTCTTTCCTCGGGAATTCCTTGTTCTGTTGTCATTTCCACGGCTTTGAACTCTTTAGACTGCAGAAGGCAAGAGATCCACGATTTGTTATCGAGAGAGAGTTAAGGAAAACACAGAATCCAACAGAAAGAACGAAATTAAGAATACGAAGTTGCATTATTACCTTTGTTTCCTCGGTTCCTTGTTCTGTTGTCTGTTCTATAGCTTTGATATCTATAGACTGCATAAGACAATAGCAACATTCATCGTCAGGAGAGTTCAAGAAAGAAAACCACGAAACGTTATGTAACATGAACACCATTGCAAAAGAGGTTATTTGTTTCTGTAACCTAGTACAGAAACAAATAACCACCAGATAAGATCATTAAAAAGAAAGACACAGAATTGACCATACAAGGTGTTTGTGAGCAAAAAACGCGTGGCTAATCTGGGAAAGAATGAAGTGCAGTTTCGCGCCCAAGTCTGCATTAACAAGACAATCATAAGCATAACAAGCGCCATTGAACCGAGGTACCACCAACCAGAAAGTGCCAACCAGTTTCACGTAAGGCCACAGAGGCACCCTGCAGTTGACGATAACATATATAAAACTCACTATTAGATACGGGACATTTTCAAATGTGTTCTGTCTAAACTAAAAGTTCTATAACGTAAAGTATATGTGAGAAGAATACTTCTTGACGGGCCATAAGCAACAAGTGTGCTAATATATATTATGCTAAACACTCAAGGTCAAAGTAGAGTAGAAGCAAATTACCATTCCATTACTCTCAATGTATGCTCAAAGAGGGATACAATGGACAAAACAGTCCAATAGGTCACCAGCTTTCTCATGTGATACTTGGAACCAGTCTCAATTGCCCTGATTGAAGCACACCTGTTTATTCACAAGAAAAATCCCATTTTTTCAAGCCATGATGGATCAATCATCAAATAGGAGGTAAAAATATAGAGATTTTCCCGTTTTAAATCCCATTTCTCAAATAAGGTTCTTCTTTTCGCTCATAACTGACTGACTCAAACCAAGAAAGCCAATAGGAAGATGCTCATAACAGACCAACTCAAACCAAGAAACGCCAATAAGAAGCTTCCATTGAAAGTCAAACTTGTGTTTACCAAGTATATAGTCTGACCAACTTAACTGCCCATATTATCATTGCCATTTCAAACATATAGGGGGATGAATCAAGCCATCAACAATATTAAAGAAAGATGGATCAAATAGGAGGTAAAAATATAGAGATTTTCCCGTTTTAAATCACATTTCTCAAATAAGGATTCTTTTTTCGCCCATAACTGAGCTTCTCAAATTAAGAAAACCAATAGGCCGTTCCCTCAAAGTCAAACTTGTAGTTACCAAATCAATCGATGACCAACTTGGGTTGTCCATATAAAAGTTTGGTGAATCAAGACATCAAGAATATTAAAGAAAGAACAAAACTTTTGGAAGTAAACAAGAAGAACAACCTTTACACATTTCACTTTGCAACACTGCAATAATATACAATCTAAATCAAAATATAATGAAATAAATAATCAAGACTGTAACTTTAACCTTCCAAACAAGAAAAGGAGTTTGAAGAGAAAGCTTACAGAGGATAAGCCAGAGCAAGCATAGGCCTGCAAGCAGAAGAGAAAGCAGTACATTTATACCGTTCATATACGTATATACAGACATCTATACAGTCTCTATAATGTATGTATCCATTTATACAGATTCATGCAGTTCAGAAATGAAGAAGAAGATGAATTACCAGGCAAGAAAATCAATGCAGAGAAGCCCAAATTGTAGAAAACCCATCTGAGAGGTTTCTTTCTCTCGGATTTTCTAAGGACGTTGTACGATGATGTCTTGACTCTTGAGCTGCCCAGACATGGCTAGTCTGCAAGAGACGACTGGGAAAGTGATTTTTGTAGGGAGAGGAAACAGGGGTACCGGAAATGTTCCCGACTCTTACAATAATTTGCGGAAATGCCACGGAGATTGGAGGGAATGAACAGCGCGTGGGGTGCAAACACAGAGGATAATTTTGGGATTTCAATGTGTTGACGGTACACTTGCCCTTTTTCTGATAAATAATAAAAATGAACTTCGTGAGTAAGCAAACTACAGAATCTAGCTGAGTACCCGTACTATCTGTCCGTACAGTTATTTTCATTAGGTTTGATGGATTATATAATGTAATATAATGTAATGGAAAGACAAGAAAATGTATACCACGAAGACAATGTTTGTATTTATAAGTTGTGTAACGCTATTACAACAGAATGGGATTATGATGATAATGATAATAAGACAAGAATGAAGATGGAAATGCCCCAAATGAAGACAAATTATACTTATTTAAAGTAATAAATCTAACAAACTCCACGAAAATAGTGTGACCTATGAGAATAGGTATTCGTCCAACCACCCTTAGAGGCTGACTTTGCGACCGAACACAAACGCTGACCTCGAGGGCTGATCGCGAAGTCCGACCTCGAGGGCCAATCACGGAGGCCGACTAGGGAGGATGACCTTGCCGGTCGAGCCTCTTCGTGGCCTCCGTCTCTAATATCGTAGCGGACCACAGTGGTTGAGCCCGAGTCATGGCCAACCTTGTGGTCAGCTTTGTCCACCTTGGGCCGACCTTGCCCGTGCCGGCTCTCCATCTTCTTTCGGGTTGATTTTCTTCGATCATGATCCATTCTTAATATATCCATCATCAGTCTCTCACTCTCTGAGGTCGTCAGTGAAAGAGAGTACTCCTACTCCGACCTTGATCAACACAGTGTTATCCCCTTCTACATGCCTCATGTTTGCTCCTTAGCTTTTGCATTATGCATACATTGCTCGGCACCGACACGATCATGCCATTGACTTTGGCCGGGTGCTCCATACGGGTGTTCCATAGTTTGCCACGACCGGGCTCCAAGAGCTTGAGCTTCCCACTTTGTTTCGGCCGACCTCAAAGGTCTTGGTTCTTACCCTTGGCCGGGCTTGTGAACTTGAGCTCCCAACTTCGCCTTGATCGAGCTTGAGAACTTGAGCTCCAAACTTTATCTTAGCCGAATTCGAGAGCATGAGTTCTACTCCTCAGCTTGAGCTCCTCGCATTGAGCTCTTCACTTTGAGCTTCCCACCTTTAGCTCCTCAACTCGAGCTCCCAAACTTGACCTCCTCACCTGGCCCTCCATACTTCCACCCGCCATCCTTGTAACCATGGATGAAATAAAGTCACGCCTTCGCCGCAATTATATTGTGTGACTTCCTGATTATTATAGATTTATAATGACCTCGTGCTCCAAGTATGCAATGATTTGAACACTCAAAGTTAGAAAGAAGAAATTGTAAACACAAGAGTCCAGATTTCTCAATATTTGCATACTACACAAAGCTGAGAATAACAGTACTTAGATTTATATACAAGAACCCCCCATAGATGGAGCAGTTATTTTTCAGAATGCATATGTTTTACACCATCAGAATGCCCATTTGTTTGAGCTTAGACAAGTGCTTTCTCCCCTTCAAATGAGCCACTAAAGCAGCCTCGCATGGAGGCCAAATATTACAGAAGCTACAAAATGGTTTAGAATCTGTACTAACACTAGCATTGGCTTTCTGCTTTGATCCTCCTTCTGCAGGGGCATTAGGCTTTGCTGGCTCGTTTTTAACTTGGTTTTCAAGACCTGTTTCCTTCTCTCGTTTTGCTGGTTCATTTGCTATCGTAATGCCCATTTGTTTGAGTTTAGACAAGTGCTTTCTCCCCTTCAAGTGAGCCACTAAAGCAGCCTCGCATGGAGGCCAAATATCACAGAAGCTACAAAATGGTTTAGAAACTGTACTAACACTAGCATTGGTTTTCTGCTTTGATCCTCCTTCTGCAGGGGCATTAGGCTTTGCTGGCTCGTTTTTAACTTGGTTTTCAACACCCGTTGCCTTCTCTGGTTTTGCTGGTTTATTGGCCATCAAAATGCCCATTTGTTTGAGTTTAGACATGTGCTTTCTCGCCTTCAAGTGGGCCACCACGTCAGCCTCCCTCGAAATCCAAATATTACAGATACTGCAATATGGCCTAGGATCTGCACTAACACTTATGCCAGACGTATTCGCTTGGAACTTCTCCTGCTCACCACTGGTTTTGTGCTTCGATTCAGCTTCTGTGGGTGCATAGTTTTCTGGCTCGGTTTTTGGTTGATTTGGAAGACCGGTTGCCTTCTCTGGTTTGACATTGGTTTCCTGGTTTAATCCTCCCCCTGCATGTGCATGCTTTGCTGATTCGTTTTTTACTTGATTTGGAAGATCTGTTGCTTTGGGGGAACAAGATCCCGGGTCATTTATGACCCGTTTGATTGGTTTCAGCTCGGCGCAATTGGTTCTATGCCTCTTCCCTCCGAGATGGGATTTCAAATCATGCTCACTAGTAGTAGTCACTTGGCACACAGCACAAGTCCATTCTCTCTGAATTAGCTTTGAAGAATTTATCCCCGGGATAATTTTCTCTTCTGCAGCGTTAGCCACGGGGATTCCCTTCACCCATGGAGCTTCCGATTCTTGTTTCTGCATCTGTCCTATGTTGTCAACTGCACTTTTAACCTAGAATCAAGACACGAGATTACAATCATGGCTACGTGTTCTTGAAGAGGAGCAATGAATCCAATAAAAAAGACTGAAATTCAGAAAATGATGTCACATATTGTTACCTTTCTTTCCTCGGTAGTTCCTTGTTCTGTCGTCTGTTCCATGGCTTTGAACTCTTTAGACTGCACAAGGCGAGAGAGCCACGATTTGTTATCGAGAGAGAGTTAAGGAAAACACAGAATCCAACAAAAGAATGAAATTAAGAATACGAAGTTGCATTATTACCTTTGTTTCCTCGGTTCCTTGTTCTGTTGTCTGTTCCACGGCTTTGAAATCTTTAGACTGCATAAGGCGACAGCAACATTCGTTGTCGGGAGAATTCAACTGTTCAAGAACACAAACAACGAAACGTTAACACCATTGCAGAGGTCATACTAATTCAGGTTTCTGTACTAGGTTACATCCTATGTAAATCCAGTAACATAATTAAAAAAGAAAGACACAAAATTGCCCATACAAGGTGTTTGTGAGCAAAAAACGCGTGGCTAATCTGGGAAAGAATGCAGTGCAGTTTCGCGCCCAAGTCTGCATTAACAAGACAGTCATAAGCATAACAAGCGCCACTGAACCGAGGTACCACCAACTAGAAAGTGCCAACCAGTTTCATGTAAGGCCACAGAGGCACCCTGCAGTCATAACAAATGGCAGAAAACAGTAGTGAATGCTAGATGAACAGACCTAATCACTCTTCCTTCCTCAATGTTAACGAAAACATATATAAAACTCACTATTAGATACGGGACATTGTTAGATATGTTCTGTCTAAACTAAAAGTTATATAACATGTGTGCGGGCAGAATACTTCTTGACGGGCCATAAACAACACGGGTGTTCATATATATTATGCTAAACACTTAAGATCTAAGTAGAGTAAAAGCAAATTACCATTCCATTACTCTCAATGTATGCTCAAAGAGAGACACAATGGACAAAACAGTCCAATATGTGACCAGCTTTCTCATGTGATACTTGGAACCAGTCTCAATTGCCCTGATTGAAGCACACCTGTTTATTCACAAGAAAAATCCCATTTTTTTCAAGCCATGATGGATCAAATAGGAGGTAAAAATATAGAGATTTTCCCCTCTTTAAATCCCATTTCCCAAATAAGGGTTCTTTTTTTTTTTTTTTTCGCTCATAACTAACCGACTCAAACCAAGAAAATCAATAAGAAACTTGCATGGAAAGTCAAACTTGTGTTTACCAAGTAAACAGCCCGACCAACTTAGGTGGCCATATTATCATTGCCATTTCAAACATAATAGGAGGATGAATCAAGCCATCAACAATATTAAAGAAAGAACAACAACCTTTACACATTTCACTTTGAAACACTGCAATAATATACAATCTAAATCAAAATATAATGAAATAAATAACCAAGGCTGCAACTTTAATCTTCCAAACGAGAGAAGGAGTTTGAAGAGAAAGCTTACAGAGGATAAGCCAGAGCAAGCATAGGCCTGCAAGCAAGCAGAAGAGAAAGCATACATTTATACGGTTCATATACGTATATACAAACATCTATAATCGCTATAATGTATGTGTGTGTGTGCATTTATACAGATTCATGCAGTTCATGATCAGAAATGAAGAAGATGATGGATTACCAGGCAAGAAAATCAATGCAGAGAAGCCCAAATTTTAGAAGACCCATCTCAGAGATTTCTTCTCTGCTCTTGAGCTGCCCAGACATGGCAAGACTGCAAGAGACGACTGGAAAAGTGAGTTTTGTAGGGAGAGGAAATAGGGGTACCGAAAATGTTCCCAACTATTACAATAATTGCGGAAATGCCACGTAGATTGGAGGAAATGAACCGCGCGTGGGGTGCAAACACAAAGTACAATTTTGGGATTTTAATGTGTTGACGGACTGACGGTAAACTTGCCTTTTAAGTTTTATTCGATAGTTATTTCATTAGGTGCCGCATGGACTTAACTTTTTTTTTTTAATCTTCAAAAAAAAAAAGTGCCTAACTCAAGTGGTAAAAATTCTTCAATTTCGCACAACACTGAATACCCAAAATAGAAAGACACATTTAATGAGTCTTTTTGTAAAAATTAAAGACAATTTTATCAATCATATACTTGTAACTTGGTTAAACTCCCAAATCATAACAAAACATATTTTAATTAAGATTTGATTTTTAAAGTAACCCGCATGTGTCATCCACTACTAACCTTAAAGATGAAAAGACTAATTATCTATCTAAAAAAAGTTCTACTAGATATAGATGAATATAAAGAATCTAAATACATTAATACATATATATGACGTAACTTATATTCAAGCGAGATACCATAATTGATTCAAGAGATTCTTTCCCTCTCAATTTAGCTATAGTGAAACTTTCACTTTTAAAAAATCAAAATCCATTACAGAAGCTGGCATATCTCACCAAATATACATACTATATTTAGATGTTCTACAAAAATAATGAGTACACATTTTTAACACATAAAATATTAATTATATTTAAAATTAACATTTAAAAAATGCCAACATTTTGAAATTATAGGAAACAACATTAAAATTTAAAAAACAAAAACAGAAGAGAGCAAGCAATATAAAATAGAACAGGAAGTAATTATCCAGTATGTCTTTACTGAAAATGAAACCAAAGACACCATGGATAATGGTCCATTTCACATCCGAAATCGTATAAACTTATTCAGAGAAATTTTTATGAAGATTGTATAATAGTAGCATAAAATGCCCCATAATCATGGAGGGAAATTTCATAGCAGTTCGATTATCAGAACAGCAGTAAAAAAGCTTCAGGCTTAGGCATTCAGCATTGAGTTCCTTCTGCACTCGGTCAGCATATCCATGTAGAATTGGCACTTGCCAATGTCATTTCCGGAGCTATTCAAGCACTGCAAAGGAAATTGTTGCGAAACAAATGTGAAAAATCTTTTAGCGATAAGGAATCATTATGGAAACTTTGTAAGTGTACGAAAGAATAAAGCGCTATGTAGCATACAAACACAGGTAACAGTGAAAGAAAAAGAGGAAATTCGGCTTACATCTTGGAAAGCCTTAGTATGCATGCCGCAAGCATCAGAGCCAACACTGTTGGTTGAGGGTGCTTGAGCATCGGGTGCTGGACCTCCGACCATTTCATGCTGAACGGTGCGAGGACCCATGACGGCATCAACAGCCCTATGTGCCACAGCACTTCCAGTACCAAAAGCCACACCTGTGAAACAGCGGAAAACAGATGGAGGGGAGTCCAATCTTAAGGATATTTTCATCAGCAAAAGATAAAATATATAGACAAATGGGAGTATCAAATCACCTTGAGCTATGGTTGATCCTATGTTTCCAAGCATAGATCCCCCACCACTGCTTTGGACAGGAGCTGGGGGCGGGGCATGGCTTACTGCAACAACAAAACAATGAAAGACTTAAGTACCTCGAGAGGGAGAATACCAAATTTACTCAGACATACAGAAATAAATAAGGATGAACAATTAAAACCAGATGGAAGAATATTGCAAAAGAGCAATACCAGGAGCTGGAGGTGGAGCTCGACGAGGAGCAGGACGTGGGGCAGATCTTCCTGAATCACAAATTATGAGACATATCAATCAGGTTAAGAGTACTAAAATGCAAAGTGCAGACATATCAATAGAATAAGAACAAGCTGGAAGCCAAAAACCCATATATGAGTTTACAATTATGAAATCAAAACGGAAATACTAATCCCATATATGAGATTAATTTTTTGAGAAAAAATAACAATCTCTCCATCAAACAATAACCTAGTATTTCTTCTCCTAAAAGATTAAATCCCCAACCCCAAGGGCCCCACACCCCAGCCCGACATAGCATTTGGGAGGATATAAATCACGGCGGTGACTCAATGGCTCAATGATAGGGCCAAATGCCGGTGCGAACAAGGGATCTGCCACGGCAGCAGCCGCCAAGGTTCAAACGTCTTTTCTCCCAAATACTGAACCATTGAGCTAAGCCCATACTGAACCTAGTATTTCTACTTCTACAAAATGGAACAAGTTTTTTTGCCCTCACTTGGGGAGGCATCAACACAGGGTTTCAAACTTTCAGTTCCTCACATGTCCATACTCCATTTCTGGCAATACATGGCTCAATTAATAAGATTTTGGGTGATGTAATGAAGGGCATAAAAGGCATAAAGCATACAGGCTGTGCAAAACTATCTATAATTGTTTGAAAAATGATACTGTAGCACTCCATATTAGATGCATCTTAAACTTAAAGCTAGACAATGTAAAAGGAAAAAGGGCATAACAGATCTACTTCAATGTCAATGAATACCTAAGCCCTAACCAATACAGAAGACGAAGAAAAAGGCCAATCCACACTCAATACCGACTATCAAAGCTCAAAACATTCAACACGATTTCTATCATCGAACGAAACCTAGTCCAAAACTACAATGCGGAAATCGCATGTAATGCTAGAAATCCAAATAGTAGATATGCAGGCATACAAATAGATGAATGAGAATGTAGATTAAACAATAGATTACCACCAGAGCTCCGGCGAGGCATGTTTTCAGAGATAGAGGCGGCGCAACCAAGAGAGACACCGAGGAAAGACGATGAGATACGAGGCTTTTTCAAGTCCACAAGAACCCTAGAAAATGGTAAAGTAAAGCGTGACGCTTTATATACAGCTACGTAGCAAAGCCTTGATCGCGAAACGAGATCGTTAACCAATCAGCGATGAGGTCTACGTAGGAAAACTGGACTTGACATTACTGTATAACTGCAGAATAGTCAAATTATTATTTTTCACTTCTGCCCCCAATAATGTTCTTTAATTGAAACTTTGGTCATATTTTGTAACATAGTTAGTTTATCAGTCAATTTTAATTTATTTAATTATAATTAATTATTTGATTTGGTTAAATAATCCATATAAATATTTAATTAATTAGTTTTATATAACCGTTTATTACTCCAAGACGCTAAAATTCAAACAGTTGCTCAAAGCATCTTCTTCGATCAGTTTTTTTAGAAAAGCATTTTGCATGTAATCAATGAATAGCTAATTTACAACTAACATGGTTGGTGTTGTGGTTCAACACCTCGTCCCTTAAGTATGAGATTAGGGGTTTGATCCCCATCCATGTGAATAGAATAGCCAATCCCCAACCACTTAGTGTGTTGACGGTAGGGACAAAATAAGTTTTTTTTTTTTTTTTGAAAACCAAATAACCATTTCATTAATTCAAATCAACATACAGATCGTTAACAATAAAATACGGAGGAGAAGATACCCACTCCTGAAGTACAGACATAGAACAGGCTTCCCTAGCAAGGCAATGGGCAACTCTGTTCGCAGTATGGTAAATATGAGAGATAGCTACGCCAGTAAGTGAGCGAAGCATATCTTTAACATCAAGAAGCACTAAGTCACAAGAAAACACACCACTATCTTAGTTAAGACTCTGGGTAACCTGGAGCGCGTCGCACTCAATTTGCACATGATGAAAGTCCTTCCTCTTAATCCAACTCAACGCTTCCCTAATGGCCATAGCCTCTGCCTCCTTTGCTGTGAAAGCTCCACTGCTGGGTATACTAGAGGCCACCACAAACTGACCATGGTCGTCCCTCAACACCCACCCCAACCCCATCCTAATGTTATTCTTATGAACCGCGGCATCGGTATTCAACTTGAGGTAACCTGGCATGGGTTTTTCCCATCTCTGGAACGAAGTCAATCTTGGGCTGGGGATGGCGGCGGAAGTCTCAAAGGATGCGTTCCAATCAGCAATAAAGTATTTCATGCTCTCCACAAGGCATCTGCTAGGCGTGCTCTTATTGTTCCAAATTTTGTCATTCCTTGCTAACCAAATTTTCCAGCATAACATGAACAGAAGGCGACACTGCTCCACATCCAACAAAGACAAGTGAAGCTCAACCCACTGTTCAAAGACAGAGCAAGAAATAAGATCAATTGTAAGGCCACTAAGGTCCCAGCATTCCTTCGCATACGCACAATTGATAAACAAGTGGTCGGTAAACTCATCAGCAGATTGACAAAGAGAGCATGTTGGCTGGCAATCTACACGTCTGGAGCGCAAACTGTCAGCAGTTGGGAGACATCCTGTGCAAGCTTGCCAGATAAAAACTTTGACTTTCCTTGGGATATTGAGTTTCCACATGCTGGACCATTTCTTTTTAAGGTTAGGATCATATTGCGGAGAGATGGCTTTGTAACAACCTTTAACAGTGAAGGATCCTTTCTGATCATCGTTCCATATTAACTTGTCACTCCTGCTGGACAGAGGGAGTGGAATACTAAGAATAAGATTCACATCCCGTTCCTCAAAAATGTCGCGGATAACGGCTTCGTCCCATCACGGACTGTCCTCCCTGATTAGGGCCGAAACAGATGCATTCTCAAGCATGGGAAAGGGTAGTGTCTGTACCATAGCATCAGTAGTACTTGGAAACCACTTATCCCCCCAAATTTGAACCGACTTACCGTATCCAATTCTCCACCTGCAGTGTCTACGAATGATATCCTGAGTTTGGACCATGCTGCTCCAGATGAAAGAAGGGCTGCCACCTTTCTTGGCTTCCAGAAAAGAGCAATTAGGGAAGTATTTGGCTTTGTAAACTCTTGCCACTAAGGAAGAGGGGTTCTGCAGCATTCTCCAAGATTGTTTAGATATCATTGCCAGATTGAAATCCCTCAGGTTTCTAAAGTTGAGACCACCCCACTCTTTAGGATAAGTAAGGTACTTCCAATGCTTCTAATTGATGCCCCTTCTGCCATTGCATTCACCTCTCCACCAGAAAGAATTCATGATTCTTTCAATCTGCCATTGCATTCACCTCTCCACCAGAAAGAATTCATGATTCTTTCAATATCTTGAATAGCCTCACTAAACTTAAAATGGTGAAAAGAGGTTGGTATTTATTTTGATCCACTATCTAATTTAACACATCATTTTGACTTTTGATGATAATGAACAACTTTAATCTCTATATCTATCTTTACTTTAATCATTATATCACTAAAATTTTGTTTAATATTTCAAACTTTAATATTGATAAATATTCAATTATTAAATACGTAAAATCACCATATGTGATATATACAAAGTACATTTTTAACTAGTAGTAGTGAAATCAAAATAATTTAAATGTTTCAATTATACAATCCAACTTTTATCTCTCTAGCTAATTGAGTAACCATTTCAACCTTTCCCTGCGCCAAACATTTCCTAAAAATTTAGATTATATTATTATTATATTATATTAACACAAGGCCGTTTTAGTCTTTATATCACTTTTTCTATTTTCATTTCCAAAAATTATATTCCTCCACACAGAACAATGTATTTAAATTCATATTTTATTCTCACTTTATTTTTTTCGTACCAATTCTCTTATAATTCATTCTTCCCAACCAAATGCCCGTTATATCCTCCTTTTCTCATATCCTTGTTTACTCATTTATAGCTATAGATTCTTTTATTTTGAAGAGCCATATATGAACGTGTGAACCTTATAGATCTTCTCCGATCTCAAACATACACTGATATACCCAACAGTCTTAACACTTCTTCTTCTTTTATTTTGAAGACCCAAATATGAACACGTGAATCTTATGGATTCTTGTCGTTTTCAAACCAGCTCATAGCCGCCGGCCTGCCCCACCTCCCTCTGATCTACAAGACAACACAAGAAGACTTATGAGGATATATAGAGGGAGGGAGGGAGGAAGAAGAAGGCCGGCCGGGGCGACAGAAATGTCGGAAACTAACCCGACGAGAAGTCCGGAGTTAACGGCGGAGAGATGCAGCATACGAAGTATAGAATCGAAGTGCGGTTTCGGCTGTAACACATGCGAGAAGGCATCCGCTATAACAGAACAGAACAGAACATGACAGAAATGTTTCGTTGTTTTTGTCAGATTTGATAATTTGCAGCAACGTAACTTCATTGTCGCTGTCTGATCTGGTTTTAGCAGGTGCCTTCTTGTATATGTTGCAACTGATGAAACCGGCGCTTTGGTTTTCATGCTTTGTGCCGATCTCTGCGCCACTAATTCCGGCATTCTCGTCGGAACCTACGTCGTACGTGATGATTCTCTCGATCTCAGCTCGCAGATCTCTCAGCTCGTATCCTCGTCTTGTATCGATCCGGCAGAGCAATTAATCTACGAGGCTGCAACAGATCTGAAGTCAACGTGCGGCTACTGTCGGCGTCGTCGGACGTGCAGCCGTCCAGGTAGGCCGGCGTTTCCGCAACGCGAATCTCAGTACTGCCAGTTTTATGATTGCTACATTTTACAACAAATCTTGTCCGGTCCGATGCGGCTATACGCCATGTTAGGGGAGAAACAGTTTGTTTTGACCAAAGCTAAGTATCGCACGGATTTTCTAATTTTAGTATTCTGTTGAATATTTTACCTATTTATTATGCCCATAATGGTTCCTGTGTATTGTTCAGGTGTTAGCGCTGGTATTGTTGGATTTGGTAGTGGATGAATAATTAATGTCTTTTTTATCTGTTATATATCGATTAAGTTTTAGATGTGTAACTATATTGATCAATTGTCATTTTTGTATGTCATTCATTGAGTTTTAGGTGTGTAACTATATTGTGTAAAATTGTCCTCTTTGATTGTTATTGATCAAGTTTTAGGTGAGCAACTATATTGTTTAAGGTCTAGCTTTAGTATTTTTAGATATGGTCGTAGATGACCAATCAACGGCCCTTTATATGTCATCGAACAAGTTTTAAGTGTGTGTAACTATATTGGTGGATGACAAATCAACAGTCCTCTTTATCTGTCATGGATCAAGTTTTAGGTATGCAATGCAATTATATTGTTCAAGATATAGTTTTAGTATTCTTGGATATGATCGTGGATGACTAATCAACAATCCTCTTTATTTGTCACCAATCAAGTTTTAAGTGTGCAATTAAACAACTGTCATTTTATCTTTATTGTCCTTGATCAAGTTTTAGGTGTGCAACGGTACTATATTGTAAACAGTCATTTTTATCTATCTTCAATCAAGTTTCAAGTATGTAATCTTCGCTTGCTTTTAGCGAGGCCTCCACTCCCACACAAAGAGACTTGGTACATTGTTAGGAGACAATAGCCTCCGCGAGGTCCCCTCCCTATGATTTTTTTAAGAGACTTGGTGCATTGTTTTTAGAGTTACTTTATTTTAAATAGAGCCCCTATGACCAATATTTTTCATTAAATAGATTGTGTGGGTGAAAATTGATGAACAATTCTTGTTCCAGATTAGATGTTATCTTACGATGAGGAGACACAACTTACACGCGCAATTTTCATCCGAATTTTATTTCGAGTTCATCATAATTGTACAATGTATTCAAACCAAGTTTAAACTTTAGCCCCTCTCTCTATCATCTTCAAATGTATAAAAATGACTCATTGGCAAAAGTGTAATTCATATAGTCCCACATCAGTTAATTCCACAAAAAATTGTAAAGTAATATATTAAGGTATAGTTAACATTTCACTCTTTAGCTAACTTGAAGGCTTACTCGGTGCCCACAAGTCTAGTACAGTATTGGCCCAGCGGAGGGATGACCTAGGTTAAAAATCTCTTGTGAGATCATATTAACATATATTTTTACAAATTAACTAGGTTAGCAAGTATCTCAGTTAATACTCATGGATCTTTATCTATCATCGATCAAGTTTTAGGTGTGCAACTATATTGATCAACTATCTCTTTGTCCTAGTTATCTTTATCTATCATCGATCAAGTTTTAGGTGTGCAACTATATTGATCAACTATCTCTTTGTCCGTCATCGGACAAGCTTTAGATGTGCAACTATATTGTTCAAGGTCTAGCTTTAGTATTGTTGGATAGGGCCATGGATGACTAATCAACGGTCCTCTTAATCTTTCATCGATCAATTTTTAAGTGTGCAACTATATTGTTCAAAGTCTAGCTTTAGTATTGTTGGATATGGTCATGAATGACTAATCAACGATTCTCTTTATCTATCATCAATCAAATTAGGTATGCGCATCTTTGTTTATCATCGATCAAGTTTTATGTGTGCAACTATATTGTTCAAGGTATATCTTTAGTATTATTGGATGTGATCGTTGATGACTAATCAATATTTCCTTTATCTTTATTGTCCTTTTGATCAAATTTCAAATGCGCAACGAAATTGTAAACATCCATCTTTATCCGTTATCGACCAAAATTCAAGTGTATTTTCTTCGCTTGCTTTTAGCAAGGTCTCCACCCCCAACAATTTGCATAGCATGTGGAAACCCAAAACATTTGGTCAATGTGAACGGAACACTACCTACCTACTCATATAGACACTACATGACTAGTGCATACTTGAATTTAATATAATATTTGTAGCTATGTTAGGTTAAATTTAATCTTGAAAGTTGCGCACTTGCAAAGTGACATGACATATTGAAAAGCGAAAAAAATAAATAAATACATAGTGACATGATTTGCAAACTTGCTACTGCTGCAAGTTTGCAAACTGACAACCGCAATAGGTTGTTACGTCAACCTTTTGTACTTTTTTTTTGTTTATTTATTTTATTTTGCTTCAACCTTTTGTACTTTTTTTGTTTATTTATTTATTTGTTTGATTTTGGTGCGATGTGAAATTAGAGTCATTTTTAAAAGTGAGAGAGTAGAGAAAATAGTAAATAAATTACAAATTTGATGATGTGAAAGTAGAATAATTTTTAAAAGTGAGAGAGTATTGTAGAGATAAATTTAACCTTAATCATTATTTGGTTGACATTAATAAATAATAATTAGCAATACTTTACATTAAAGGGTTCTAAATTGTATAAAATTTCGATAGGATCAAAGGTACTTGGTGAATTTTAAAAAAATAAAAGAAGAAGAAGAAGAGAGACATGGTGCATTATTTGTAGAGTTAATTTATGTTAAATAGACCCCACTAAAATTGATCAGTATTGTTCATAAAATAGATTATATGGGTGAAGATTAATGACAATTCTTGTTATCTGAGGAGTGAGGAAACACAACTTACACGGACAAGTTTCTTCCGGATTTTATTTCATGTTCATCATGATTGTACAATGCATTCATATTCTGCGACTATTATGATAAAGTACTCCATATCAAACTTGTATTAGGAAGAGTTATAAGTATACCTAAGAAAGCGTTTGATTCACGAAATGTTAGATTATCTTAGGAAATACTAGATTATTATTAGAATGTTAGATTGATATATATGTTTGATTAAAATTAATGTATTTAATATAAACAAATTTGGTTTATGGATTATCTTTTATGTTATACTTTTTTTTTTTTTTACTTTATTACCCTTAGCATATTTTCATATATTTTGATAAACTAAAATTAAAATAAATAAATAAGACAATGGTAACATATATTAGTAATGTCATAAAAATAATTAACTAAGAATTTGAACTTGATAAACAAAATTACCTTATAAGTTAACATGTTGTAATACAAATAAAATACAATATATAATTACAAAAATAATTACAAATGATACACATAATAAGCTAACATAAAAATATATATTTATAATAATTAGAATTAAAATGACAAAAATAGTAAATAAACATGGGATAGTTAGATGACTTAAAATTGTAAGGGAATCTGTTTCCAAAAAAAAAAAAAAAAAAACGAATTATAAAGGAATCACATTCCTTTCAAAATCAAATGTGCAGTGGAGAGTATTATTTCAAAAAAAAATGTGGAAAGTATATTGCATTCGTTGAAAAATGTTGTATTCCCTTAGGAAGTTTAATAGCATGAACCAAACATGAAATGCAAACTTTGCAATGTCACACTCACTTGGTTATATTGAATAACTTGAACCAAATACCCCCTAAATGGCTTTTCAAATCAAGTTTAAATTTAATCTCCTCTATCATCATCGTGTTATTGACAGTCTCACATCGACTCCACAAAAAAATTGTTGATGCAGTAAATACAGGTGTATTATTAATTATTGAACATAGTGTACATAATACGGATCCATGTCGGTTTTAGATACAGGTCCTTCACCTGGTATGCTTGTTGGCTTAACTATTAGAACCTAGTTAACGTGACAGTAGGTCAGAGGTTCCCGAGCTCCGTAGCTGTCGTGTAGATAAACAACCAAAAGCCCCTCATGACCGCAATAAATGCGGTATTTATAGCATATCGAGGGGACAAGTTCCGGCCTACCGACATGCTTGCCGTGTGGAGGCCATGCACGGGCACAAGCGATGACCCTAGCAGTGAGCGCCGCGTGGCCAAAGATTCCTGAGGAGATTGGACGTGCTACGAGATTAAGATGATCGGCCCGACCTTGGTAGCTCGGGTACAAAGATGATGGCTCCCTTACTTAGATCATCCTTTATCGGAGCTTGGACCATGATGATGGTAGGGACGTATTCCCAACTAGACCGGACGAGGCCTGACCGGGTTGGACTAAGCCCGTGGGCAGTACCGGTTAACGTATGGGCACGATGCTCGAGACATAATCCCTATCAATTGTAGAAAAATACTTGAAGAACTTTCACTCATCAACTAGCTTAGAGAACCACCCCGGTGCCCACTTGTTCAGTGCAGGCCCAACGGAGGAGGGAGTGACCGAGTGACCTAGGTTAATAATTTTCTATGAGATCGTATAAACTAGACACTAATTAGGATTTAACTTATATTTGTCAATAACTTATAAACAAAAAACATCATTTATTATTATTTTAAATTTTAAAATTCATGCACTCTATTGAAACTTATTCCACCTTTTTAAAAAGTTTATTTATTCGAGAGTGATTTTGATATTTTATTCTTAATATTTTCTATATTTTATATTTTATTATACTCCGTATTTGAGTATGGTTAGACAACCGAAAAAACCACCACCAGGAGTGCAGATTGCAGAGAGAAGAAAAAAAAAAAAAAGGAAAAAAAGATGGTCACGACTCGGGGGTTGGCTGACGTCAGAAAATTGGACATCCTTATCCAAACCTAGTACGGACTACTTCCGATCTTCGTCGTAGACACTGGTTTCTCTTCTTCTTCTTCTTCTTCTTCTTCTTCTTCCCCGGCGATACCCGTCTGCAATCTCTGCTTCTTTCTATATAAACAACGGCGATTCCTTCTTTGTTCGTTCTCTCGATTAATTCACACTCCCAGGAAGCTCCATTGTATCGTGAAGAGGTGTTTTCCCCATGCTGTCGATTGCTCCGCCGTCGTTCCCGTCTACGAACCCTCACAAATTCGCCCCTACCGGCGCGAAATTCGCGTCTCCGTTGAGCCGGTCCTCGTCCTCGATTTGCAGCCCTCACTCTCCGGTCTGCTGCCGCTGCCTCAGCGGCGGCGCGGATCCCTCGCAGTCGGGCGACGGGTCGAGCTGGAGGTGGGACCTGACGATTCAGGATGCGTTTAAGAATGTGATGAAGCGGTTCGATGATTTCGTGAATCTGAACCGGAATCACGCGAGTGTTGTTGGTGCCGCGGAGACGACGAGTGAGGAGAAGGACGAGGAATGGGATTGGGAGCGGTGGAAAAAACACTTCTCCGAGGTCGAGGAGCAAGAGCGAATCGTTTCGATCTTAAAGGTATTGTAAATAAATGTTTCTGTTACCTAGTACTGATTCTAATGTATGTGTTTTTAGTACTGATTCTAATGGAGGTTTTTTTTTTTTTTTTTTTTTTTTTTACTGTTTATCTCTGCAGTCACAGTTAGCAGGTTATATTAATCGGGAAGATTATGAAGGGGCTGCCAGGCTTAAGGTGGCCATTGCGGCTGCAGCTACAAATGACACTGTGGGCAAAGTGAAATCCCATTTTAATGTAGGACTTCTTTAATTCTTTTTCATGAAACTATGATTGTTGTTACCGGATTGATGTTGAGCATTTGTTATGTTCAATATCCTAGGATGTTTTATTTCCGTAATTGACTATATATGTTTGGGATTTAAATGCAGAACACAGTGGAGGAAGAGCGGTACTCAGATGCAGCCTGGTTACGAGATTATGCTGGCGCTGGATTGGTTAGTTAGCTTAACTGAATCAGTTTGATATTAGCATGTGTGAGGACTGATAATTATATGCTTTGGGGTGAGTCCCCCGTAGGTCGGGTCAAGATAGCGAGAGAATGTAATACTAATCAGAAATAAATTGTCCTTTACTTATAAGGGAAAATGTAGTACTTTTAAATCAAAATGTAATATTTAAGGGTAAAAATGTTTTACTAATCATGGATAAATTGATTGAGTGTTACTTATGAGAAAAAGTGTAATACTTCACTTTTGATGAAAAATGTAATATTTTCAAATCAAAATGTAATATTAGGGAATTAGGGGTTGAAGAGTTACTTACGAAGGCAATTGTAATACTTATGAAGGAAAGCGTAATACTTATGAAAAACTTGACCCGCATCGGTGAGACGGTCTAATAGGAGATTTTGCCTATGGTTTGTGTTATTGTTGCCTACTACAAATATTATATGCTAGCTTCACTCAATCTTTTCGTACTTGAATTTTTCATTCTCGCACTTTATAAAGGGTGTGTTTGGTTCGCACATAGGAATCGGAATCGGAATGGGTATCAAATACTTGGTAATGGTAATGGTTTTGGTAAAAGTATGTAACATGTTTGGTAGTAGGGTGGAATGAGAATGGTTACTAATAGTAGTGCTTGAGAATGAATAAGGGAATAAAACCCTTATTTTATTTGGGTATGGGTTTTCAATTGATGGGGTATTCGAAACCCATAGTAGTGTTCTAAAAACCTATCAACCAAACAACAACAATCACTTTCATACCCATTCTTATGGGCAAAACCCACCAACCAAACACACCCTTATAAATTGTTATGGGGAATGATTCACTGTATGTTGCTATCTCAGATGCTGTTGAATACACCATAACTCCGGAATATAACAAAAGTTTTTATCTGAATCTAGGTGGGTTGGTGGGTTGGAGTTTCAGAAGGCGATCCTTATGGACGCATTATTCGTATAAGTGCTGAATATGGAAGATATGTGGCGAAAAGTTATACTCCGAGGTAACTTGATTAACGTTAACCCCACCTTTCTGCTGATTCGATGTAAGGGTGCCTTTTTGTTACCCTTCCTTCAAGAAAGAGAGACTTTAACATTGTTGGTAAATTAAGAATAAAAGAAGTATGTTACTTATTGGAATAAGCATTCAATTTTCAGGCAGCTTGCGTCGGCAATGGATGGTGCCCCCATCTTTGAGATATTTCTCACAATGAATAAGAAAGACGAGTATAGGTTGCAGGTAATTTCTTGCAAGCATCAGCTTCTGCTTTGATTGATTTTTCATTTACAAACTCATCTAAGGACAAGTAAACAAAATAAATTTATCGGGCATTTGGTTTAAACATTGGAATTGGAATCAAATAAATAAAAATAAATATGCAATAATGTTATTTTTTGTTAGACCACAACGTGTCTTGAATAAACCCTAACTATAGGAGACACCTTTAATCCCGTACCATACTCAGATTAATCTCTGCTCGCACTAGACCGACCCAATTAAGGGGCAAAGTGTTGGCCATATTGGTTTTTCCATACGAGAAGGGGTTTTGAACTCCCGACCTTTCTTAAAGGACAAGAGTGCCACATATATATATATATATATATATATATATATATATATATATAGACCACTGTTCAAGTGAGTCCACCCCTTCCCATGAGTCAGTGTGGACAGATCTGGTCCATTAAAAGCTAGAGATCAATGGTCAGATCTGGTCCAGTGCAAATAATGGACCAGATCTGTCCACACTGACTCATGGGAAGGGGTGGACTCATTTGATCATGAGTCATATATATATATATATATATATATTCAAATTCCACATTCAATGCATGGAGGATGGCTTTTACATTGTTTACTTTTCGTCCTCATTTCTGATTCCAATGTTTTTATTATATAGTGTCTTCCTTTACTAAACAATATGCAAGACTGTAAGAGACTGCGTCAATCATGATTTCAGGCCGTCTACTTGAAGCGGACGACAGCTACTCAGGACTTAACAATTCCTTCCTCCAAAGTATCTGGTGCTGCGAGTAACTTGGACTCTCGGAGTCCAACTGAAAACAAAAACGATCTATTCGGAAATAGTAGTGAAGTTTCAGAAGATGACGAAGATAGCGACGATGATTCTGGTTTTGGTAATGCACTACAAGACTTGATTCCCGGTGTGAAGGTCAAGGTTTTGAAAGTAACCGCGCCAGCTAAGGTGGACCGGGATTTAATATCGAAGGTGATTGAAGACATAATTGAAGACGAAGACGAGGATGAAGAGGGAGAGGAGGATATTAAGGAAACGGACTCCGAGATAGAAAGTATCGGTGCTGAAGAAGAAATTAAAGATAAAAGCGATATAGAGCATAACGCAATTGAAATGGATTCGGATCGTGGGGTTAGAGATGGTGTAGAGCAAAATCAAATTGCTTTAAAGGTTGTTGTAAGTGGGCTTGTACAGAATATGTCTAGTAATGCTCGGAGTAAAGATTTTCTACGTGTGCCAGCTAGGCTGGAAAGAAAGGGTCGTTTATCATTTACTTTTACTATAGAAGAAGATGATAAACAAACTTCTGGTGCCAGCAAACAATCCCCGCGAAATAGAAGTCCTAAACTCCAAGGTCAACGGAGCATAGACCATCTAATGCTTGATCTTGCAAAATTTATTGGTCGGGGAAAAATACCTATGAAGGTTGGGCTTGCTAAATTATATCATCACGTTCACATTTGTTTCTTCATATTAATTATTACTTTTGATTTATCATTTATGCCTTAAAAAACTTGCAGGTGCTTAAGGACGTTAGCGAGTTGTTTACTCTTACTCTAAATCAGGCTCGAAATCCTCAGCCATTGTCGAAATCAACTACTTTTAATCGCATCGAGATTCCGACCTCTCAGGACCCATTAAATGGTGATTAATTAGAAACGTTTTTTTTTCTCGTGCTATTTGAAAGAACTCTTTGTCACTGCCATATTATTATTAATTTCCCACCTTTATTCTCTATATTTATTGAGGATGTTCGGGTTTTATTAGGCCTATATGTTGGTACACATGGTCTTCGTTCTTCAGAAGTAATCCACCTAAGGCGCAGATTTGGTCAGTGGAAAGAAGATGGAATCACGAAGCAGTCATCTAGGATTGAATTTTATGAATATGTTGAAGCTGTAAAATTAACTGGAGATCCTTACGTGCCTGCTGGCCAGGTAATTCTCTCTAGAGAGCATGTTTGGTTGGATGGAAAAAGTTTTCCTTAAATTTGAGGAAAATGGAATTATTTTCCTCCGTTTGGTTCATTGAAAACTTTTTCCACAGTAAAATGTTTTCCTTAATTTTGAGGAAAAAGTTTTCCAAGGGTAGGGGGTGGTATTTTGTTTTCCATGGAAGTTGGGAAGAAAGTATCACATGCTTGGACAATTTTGCCCTTATTACTTTTATTATCATTATCATTGTGTAGGGGCATTTTACTATTTTAGTCTTTATACTCATTATTCCTTACCATTCTAACCCCAACCAAACAACGGAATCAATATTCCCAGTAATTTCTTTTCCACCAACCAAACAATAGAATCGATCTTCCTATTAATTTCTTTGCCATGGAATTTCAATTCCATTTCCCTTCAAATATTTTCTGCGAACCAAACGGGGATCAAATCGTTGATTTCTTTGCTCTGATTTTAATTAAAAATTTAATTTCCTGCTCCCCCTAAAGTAATTCTATGGAACTTTCTACTTTTACTTTCTTGCCAAACCATTATTACAGATTTACAGCACAGTTTTTCATTTGCAGATTGCCTTCCGGGCAAAAGTTGGGAAGCAATATCAGCTTCCTCATAAAGGGATTTTCCCAGAAGAATTTGGTGTGGTATGGATGTGATATTTGTCTGTGAACATTTCATCCCGTTCCTGCATTCTTCCAGTTTTACGCAATTATTATTATATTGTTTTTCGTTTTTCTAAGGGTTTATGATCTTTGATCAACAATGCAGATTGCTCGATATAAGGGACAAGGAAGGCTGGCAGAGCCAGGGTTTCAAAATCCTCGATGGGTTGATGGAGAACTTGTTATTCTGGATGGAAAGGTTTGCAGCTCTCGAGTCTCGAGCCGATTTATATCCCATATGATTCTTTTCCGCATAAATTCACATTCACTTTGTTTTTGCAGTACATCAAAGGAGGGCCTGTCATTGGGTTCGTATACTGGGCAACCGAGTATCATTTCTTGGTTTTCTTCCATCGCCTGAGGCTGCAGGAGTAGATAACCGTTGCACATACAGGTTGAGGTTGTCTATTCTTTCCTCAGATTTTGTAGGTATGTTGTCTCGTTAAATGGTCTGGCAGTCATAGGTTTTCCTATAATGATTCTCAAACCTTATCGAAATTTCTGCTGTTTTTTTTACTGTGTAGATGAATTTCATAGAGCCCTTTGAGCTGAGTTGCAGATACAGAAAGCTCGGTTTCTGCTAAATGGCGATGTTTGGCTAACAGCAGGTTTTGACATAATCTTAGTATTTGGATGATCACAAACATTGCATTTCTCTATTCTACCGTTTCTGAAATTCTCAGCCTTCCCCGTATCTCTTATTTGGCGGCTCTTTCTCGACACTGTAAATATACTGCTTTGTGTATTCAATTCATAAATAGTACTACAGAATTTGATTTTCACTGGTGCTTTTGGTGGGAATCGGACTTATTATAATCTCTTGGCTTTGTAGTGTATATATATATATATATGCATTTAAGCCCGTTTTATTCAATAATATATAAACGTTCAATTCGATTTAATATGTCTTATTGTTTTTTTTTTTTTTTTTTTTAATAATATTTGTGTACTTGTGCATGTGTTCTAGCCTCTTTTGCATTGTGTTAAAATTTTTGATTGGAAATACTCAATGAACTGATCTATGTAGTTGTCGTGGAGATTGTGGTTGCCAAATATGTTTGCCATTTGAGCGGCCTTCAGCCTTATTCCTTCTCCCTCTCGGGATGCCATTACCGATCTTATTGAGTTGGCTACCATGTCCCGGCTGAAGGAGCCGTCTTCTCTCCTAGGAACCTCGTACCCTATTTCCTTTTCGACTAACAGCTTAGCGTTGAGTCCTTGGTCGGCTACCATTGGCAGCAGGATGAGTGGGTGCCCGAATCCAAGGGACTCAATTATCGTACCCCACCCGGAATGGAACAGGCACCCGCCAATGGCGGGATGGGCGAGTATGTTCTGTTGAGGAGCCCAACCGAGGATAACTCTGCCCTGGTTTGAGGTTCTGTTAACGAAATCCGTAGGCAACAGGGCGGGGTAACCGGGGTTATCTATTCCCGGTTTCCTCAGAATCCATAGGAAAGGCATCCGGGAAAGCTCCAGTGCAGAAGCCAATTCGTGGATTTGGTGAATAGGCATCTTGTACTCGCTTCCGAAACCGACAAAGACCACAGACTTCGGTCTTTGGTTATCCAACCATTCGAACGCTTCAGACCAGCTCGATGAATTGGTTCCGGGCTGAATGGCGGTGTTTAAGTTTAGCCTCGGTGGAAGTAGTCCTATAGCTAACACTGGCCTTTTGTAGAGTTTCTCGAGGAGATCTATATATTCTCCTTCGAACTCTTTGCAGCTTCTAACTATGACAAAGTCGCATCCCTCGATGACACTAGACAGGCGCTGCCCGCTCGACACGCCCGATGCATCCGGGGTGTGGGTGTTCCGCATCATTGTCGGTGCGTAATCGGGCCGGTGGGCCACCAGGGAGTGGAAGTTGAACCAACCGGGCGGGACGGTGAAGTGTTCGGGGCTCGGGCGCAGTTTTCCCGATCTCAACTCCTCGGGGGATCCCAGGTACGCTAATGTTGCTGCAGTGTATACACTTAGGAATACCGTAGCCACGCCATATCTTTTTGCTATTTCAGGAACCCAGTGAGTAGCAAAGTCGACGAGGATCAGCTCGGGCAAGTCCCGTCTCACGAGCTCCTCGAATGGCGGGCCCATCCTGTCATACGCCGTTTTCAAGAACTGTACCTGCTCTTGCTGCTCGAGGTCAACAGTCGCCTCACAATTCTCCGGCAAACCAGGTACCGAGGGCAACGCGATCTCTCTCAGGCTTAATCTCTCCGTGAAACTCGCAGGAATCGGGGGCAATCTCTGCAGGTTTTTCGGGGTCGACACAAAGGAAACTCTGAAACCTTTAGCGGCTAATTTCTTGGCAAATTCGAGCATCGGGAGCATATGGCCAAATGCCAACCACGGGAATATCATCACATGACACTGCTCGGCAGCCATGGTGATGTTCTAAAACCATAAACTCTCCAACTTGATCCCTATTTGTTTGTTGGAAACATAGGACTGTGATTACTTATGTTGTCTGGTTCTGCCGTTTAAGTAGACTTATGTGGTTTCTTATCAGACCAGCCACTTTCTTTGCATGCATCCTGCTAGGTAAACAACACTCACAATCTTTGTTTCGTAGTCTTACTCTTACATTGCCTTTCTTGATTATAATTTTAAACTCTACCCACAAACCAAGAATATCAATAGGTAATTGTCATATTATGGATCAAAGTCTACCTTATATTGTACACTTTGATCTAAAAAATGTGTCTGTGGTTACATATTGGAGGTGTTTGGTAAATAGTTGTTAGCTGATAGCGGTTAGTTGATTGAGTTAGTGGGTTTGATTAGTTGGTAGTATTGACTGATTGTAGAAAGATATTTGGTAAAATAGCTGTTAGTTGATTATATGTAAAATGACTTTCTCAAAAAGCTATAGAAAAAGCTGCTTTGAGCATCATTTTGAATTTTAACTTTTTAACAATAAACTGTTATAAAAAATTAATTAACCAAACATTTATATTAGTTGTTTAACCAAGTCAAATAACTAATAGTGGTCAAATAAGTCAAAATTAGTTGATAAACTTACTATTTTACCAAATAGGGCCATTATGTGTCTTCACTCTTCAATTAGTAATTATATGCCAAATTGGATGCACATAATTTGTTAAAACTACATACTTATAATAGATAAAATTTTATGTGAATTATGAATAAAAAGATACATTTTTAATATATTAAAGGTACATTATTTATTTACTGGATATTTGGTAGTATACAAAATAATATTTCTTCAGTACTCAAATAATGCACCTTCAGTATATAAATAATGCAATTTTTAGTATATTAAAAATATTTTTTTTATTCATGGTCTGGGCATAATTTATGGAACAATGATTACACAATATATTAATTAAATATTATGTATCTATAATTAATATATTATGTGTATTGAATTTATTTACAAACATATATGTAAATTAGCTCCAAAAAAAAAATATATAATATGTAAATTATAGACATATAATTTGAATTTTATTTTAGATTAATGTCCACAATGCAAGATTGAATTTTAAATATTCCGATTCGTTTTTTTTTTTTTTTTCATATTACATTGTGAATCTTAATACAAAAATTTGTACTTTCAGTTAACACACTATATACTTATAGTTAATCACTTTTGTACATGGATACATAATATGATATCTAAAGGTATAGAAATTATCAACCGCCGCATATACAGAATGTATCAATTATATAAATACAAAATATGTTTTGATAATTGTTGACAATTACAATTTACAAGTACAAAAATTATCAACTGTATATACAAAATATGTTATTTTTAGACCAAGATCTACTAGATCCTGGTCTATGGTATAATTTGTCACTTGGGATTATGGACTCAACCTTTTGGAAGGAAGAATATATTATTATTATTATATTGTTATATGTTTTATATTATTATTTGTAAACTTCTAGAATGAGTATAAAGCCTGGTAATAGCGCCACCCACCGGCTGGCCACCGCGGATCCCTCACGTGATCCATCGGCCTTTTGCACTCCGCCTCACGTGACCTCGGAAACTCAACGGCTCTGATATCGTCTCCACCTTTTTCTTTCCATATTCGATCCTCTCCGAGGAAGCTCCTTTTCTCTCTTTGTTTATCCATTTTCAGCTAAACAATTAAAATCCCTAAAAAAATATTTAAACCCAATTTTCAAATTAATCATAAAAAAAAAAAAGTATTATCAAATCTCAACAAATTTTGCCTCTACGGATTCCAACTGCGTTTGGAGTTAGCGTTCCAATCTCTTCTCTCGCGCCTGTGTAGTGATTGGAGCTTGGAGTGAGTGTGGAATGCCTGCGGCGATGGAGGCCGGAAACCTGACGTCACTTCAACCGAGGCCGTACGACGTGCCGCTCCGCCGGGAGTTCGCGAACGTGCCGGTTGGAGCGGATGAAGTGGGTGGAAGATTCGAAGCCGACGACGTCAGCGGCGGAGGCTGTGAGGAGGACATGAGAGGTGCCGAGGTGGTTCAAGTAAACTCGGCGGCGCCACCGCCCTGCTCTGTAGATGGCGGCGCGGTGATTTCGAGCTTTCATATTAGGCCTAGTGAGCTCACAGTTTCCTTCGAAGGCCAAGTCTATGTTTTCCCTGCCGTTACTCCAGATAAGGTCCAACTGTTATGTATGTGTTGTAGTTCAGAAGCTAAATATTTACAGTTTAAGTATTTACAGTATGCGGTTCAAGCTATTATTTGTATAGATATTGTTGTGATTTTGGTTTCTAGCATAAATTGCAACCCAATATGGTGGTTGGATAATAATTAATAATTCAGGAATAATGTTTGATGTATTTATTATTATTATTGTTTTTTTATTAACATAATAGTTGCAAGCGGTGCTTTTGCTTTTGGGAGGGATTGAAACACCGGAAAATGTCCCTAGTACGGAATTTCAATCACAACAATGTAACAAGGTACTTGGAGCTGAAGATTTGAATGAAATGAAATGAAGATTTGTTTATCATTGGTCACATTGTTCTTTTGCATTGAGATGTAGGTTTTGGAGGGTGCTTCTCCACTAGCGGTTTGTGCCTCTACAGCTCCGAATGTTCCACGGAGAATTGCCTCTCTTATGAGGTTTCGAGAGAAGAGGAAAGAGAGATGCTTTGAGAAAAAAATTCGTTATACTTGTCGGAAAGAGGTTGCTCAGAGGTAAGATTGATTTGGTGGCACTTTTTGTTCTGGTTCGTGTGAAAGATTTTGTACTGTCAATGAATGGTCTGCACTAGTTAACATGGACTCTTTTGGATTGGGTCACACATTTGAGGACTTGAAAGCTCGTTTGAAAAAAATGGTCACCACTTTAATGCATATTCAACATCCTTGATTTTTGGTGGATAGATTAACTCATTAAGAGGTTTCTTGAAGTTGGATTTTCTTGGTTAGGGTACATTAATGACAATTTTGGAGGTTAGGTGTATTCAGTTTTTGGGAGGATTTTTTGGACACTAACTTCCAAGCTAATCTTGTAATCATTTTGGAAACTAATTTCTCATTCCTGTTTTGATTGTATTATGTGCAGAATGCATCGTAAAAACGGGCAATTTGCCTCTATGAAGGAGAGTGACAAGACATCTGTTGATATTTTTGAATCAGGTGATGGCAAGCCTGGTTCTGATCCAGTGTGAGTATGGAGCTCAAGCATTACTTGCTGCATCTTACACAACATTTTATTTTTCTACTCTTTTTTGGCCTTCTTGCCATGTACTTGTAGGAATGTGCAGTTTTTGCTTGCATCTACATTTTTGTTGGTGAACTGGAAAAGCTGTTAGAAATTTACGAGTTTTGCATCTTGGCACATTTGAAACCTCTTTATCTGCCAAGTTCAATGTTTTGTGCCATTTTTGCTTATGGTTTCTACCATGATATGTACCTTCCAGTTCCGTTGACAGATTGCGCAGCTGTCAACACTGTGGTGTGAGTGAAAATGGCACACCTGCAATGCGGCGGGGACCAGATGGCCCAAGAACGCTCTGCAATGCTTGTGGACTTGTGTGGGCTAACAAGGTAGGAATGGTTTGCCAAATTTGTCTCCTTTCCTTTCTTCAGAACCATCCTTAACTCATTTTTTTATGATTTAAGGGTATTTTAAGAGATCTTTCGAAAGGAGGGAAGAATATAGCTTTCAGCAAAAGTGAGAATTCCAATCAAAATCCAGATGAAGAGGTAATGACCTGGTATTCACAGTGTTATAGTTATCTATTGATCACTGTTGACTGTTTGTATAGTAAATGTTCAATAAGATGTGAATTTCCTCTAATTTTGTTGAATAGGGAAGTCCCGAGGAAATGAAGCCCATGTTAATGGGGAATGAAAATCCTCTTATTGGACCTGCTGACCAGGTAGTTTTTCTTATTGCCATTATATAGTATATGTGACATGCACTTCCTTAAGAATTTGCTTAATTAATACTCTGTATGGTTTTGATTAAAAATTTGCAATATTGACATCTGAATGTCAAACAAATAATAAATAATAAATATGGGAATTGTGGTGTTGGAATAGGGGTGTAATTGAGCTAAGCAACCCCATTAGAGCATCCTCAATAGGCATAGATTTTGAGGAGTTTTTGTCATATTACAAGGAAAGGGGAGAGAGAACAAAAGCAAAAAAAAAAAAAAAAAACAGAACTGTCAACGCGAAAAAAAGGGTTTTACGTGCCCCTCCTGCGCGCCTGTTGTGTGCCTCACGCGAACAACAAAGCTTCTTTTTCATATTTAATGGGGCCCACTGCACTGATGAAAAACCAAGTGCTTGCAGGAGAATCCAAAACCCTTTCTCTCCACTTCAGCAAAAACTTTCTCAAAAATCACACCAAAATCTCTATTGTGGATGCTTTTAGGGGTTTTTTCTTGGTTTTTACGGCCTTATTCCACATATGGAGGAGAGGGAGGAGAGGTGAGAGAAGAAAAAAATTTACTGCAATACATGGTTTTTTGTGGGTCCCACAAAAACCAATTGATTTTTTTTGCCTAATGCACGCGCATTTGAGACCTTTCCATTCAATTTTTTTTTTTCCCATACTCTTTCATTTTCTCTTTCCTAATCACATCTGCAAAAACCAAATAAAAACCCCAACTAATGGGTTTGCTCGTTGTACCAAACCCCTGAGTACTGAAATCTCAAAAGATAAGGAGTGTACCCATTTAATGATTTGTGTCTAAGATGAAGTAAAAGTGGAACCAGGATACAAACATCAGTAGCTGTTGACTTGGAGTAATCTCGACTGTCCTGTATGTATAACCGGTAGTATTTTATCATTAATTGATTACTTTTTTTGCTGTAGGACTTTAGGGAAGCTGCTGAAAATTATACTGATGGGTCACCCATCGGGATAGGAAATTCATCAATTAACCCTGATGAAGAGGTTATTGTCATAATTACTTTTCCGTCAAAGATTTTGGAGTTCAAAAAAATAAAAATAATCTCCAAAGCTCTATAGGTTACTGAGCTCTTTGATCCCCAGGAAACCCTTGATGAATTTGCCAATGCCTCTGGGTCAGATTTTGATATTTCTACAAGCTTTGATGACGAGGTTAGTAATGTTGAGAGAGAAATGCAGCATTTCCTTTCAGTTCCAAAGCCTTATTAAGTTACTGCATTGGATCGAGATTTTTTACCATATATGTACTCGACAACTCGTCTAGCTTGATGATATTCTAAATGCAGGTCGACATTCACTCACATATGGGCACTGACTGGCCTGGAAGGTGACATATTGCGAGTCTGAACTGAGATACCTGCTAACCTAATTTGTAAAAGTATATGTTAATAGAAACACCAGATCTCACTTGTGTATTTTGTATCATGCTGGATGAATCTGGATGAATCTTCATCCAGGGAAATCGTTGTTTGTACAGTAATGACAGTAATGCTGGATGAATCTTCATCTTGTGGGTTTTCAAGAAAAATGTCAACATCAAAATTTTGTGCGAGAGAGTAAAGATTAGGAGTAGAATTTGAGAGTAGGAGAGTAGTATTTTCCTTACGGGGAAAAATGCACTCATGTTTTCATGTTTGTCTCTCATAGTTACCTCTCTCGTCAAGGTTGAAGAGGATAAATATTGCCTCGAAGCAAACAAAAAATAATTATAGCCTTGCCTTCATCAATTATAATCATATATTCATACTTGCCTCCACTTACAAATCATGAGATGGATGCATGGCTTTTTGAAAAATAATTTTAAAAAATGTCAAATAAGTCAGAACTGTTGAAAAATTCATGAATTGGTCCAAAGTTACGCAACATACTTTGTCTAATTAATTTTAATATTGTGTAGTTGCTAATTTTTCACTCAAATGAGTGAATCTCATTCGTTAAGAATGAGTGGTTCAGCATTATTTTTGGATTTGAATGGCTGAGAAGTGAAGCCTATGTTAGTATATAAGGGGCTCTTCCCTTGTTCATTAAAAACACGCCTTCAATCACTCTTTTCTCCCTTCGAGTTATAGTCTGAGCAAAGTCAAGTTTACCTATGCTATAGTTGGTGTTGACTAAGCGTAGTTGGTCTGTGTAGCCTGTCGAAAGCGTAGGTAGTGTTATTATAACACGACACAGATTTTCTTTCAACCATACACCTGTTGTGTCCGTGCTTCTTAAAAGGTTTCCAGACCGCGTGTTGACGTTGCGACTATTTTTCAACAGTAAAAGCGTTATTGTAGCAACAGTCAACCTTTAGCGTTATGGCACCTTATGTCATACCCAAACTATCAAAGATCTCTGCGCTTGATGAAAAAAATTACAAAAGGTGGGCTTAAAGAATGCGTATCCTCTTCGAACAATTAAAGTTGGTTTATTTGATGTATTCAATTGCACTTGAACCTACTCCAGCAGTATTCTCCCCTCTTGGTGCTAGAAAAGCTAGCCATGAACCTGATTACACCCCGAGTGAAGAATCGAGAGAAAGCAGCCCTAAAATAGATTACATTCCGGGTCAAGAACCGGGTGTAACTCTGATGCAGTTTAGAAATGAAAATGCGGCAGCCAGAGGATACCTTCTGTCACAAATGAATGACAAGCTGTTTGACATCTATGTCAAATAAGACTCGGCAAAAGTCATTTGAGAATCGCTGTCAGAAAATTACGATGCCAATGATATTGTGATTTGGCACCGTACTTTTCTGACACTTTGACTTACAATATCATTTGCACCGTACTTTTCTGACAGCGATTCCCAAATGACTTTTACGGAGTCTTGTTTGACATAAATGTCAAATAGCTTGTCATTCATTTGTGACAGAAGGTATTCTTTGGTTGCCGCATTGTCATTTCTAAACTGCATCAGAGTTACACCCGGCTCTTAACCCGGAATGTAATCTATTTCAGGGCTGCTTTCTCTCGATTCTTCACCCGGGGTGTAATCAGGTTCATGGCTAGCTTTTCTAGCATCAAGAGAAGAGAACATTGCTGGAGTAGGTTCAGGTGCAACTGAATACAACACATAAACCAACTTTAATTGTTCGAAGAGGATACACATTCTTTGAGCCCACATTTTGTAATTTTTTCCATCAAGCGCAGTGATCTTTGATAGATCGAGTATGACATAAGGTGTCATAACGCTAAAGGTTGACTGTTGATACAATAATTTTAAAAAATGTCAAATAAGTCACTGAACTTGTATAGTTTGTGCAATTGAACCATCAAACAAAAAAAGCTTGTAAGTAGAAAACATTAAACCTGTAAAAAATGTGCAATTATTATTTTTTTGCCTGTTGCAATAGTTTGACGCTTTTACTAGAAACAACTTACAAATAACACTAGTTATATATAATTTTGTGTTAGATATTTTAACTATGCATATTTTTGTGTATGATGATCTAATCACACAAATTGTAAAAAGTCAATCATTTATTTAATACTTTATACTATTTTTATAATTGTTTTTTTCATCAAAACTCAAAAAGGCGTAGGAGAGGCCCCAATAAGGAACCACAACTCAACTAATGAGTTCTAACTACTCTCTTGGATGTATAGCTCAAGGTTATTCTTATACATGAATCATGATTTGACAAAGAGTTATTTACAATATGTTAATTTCTTAAAAAGTTATTTGTAATTTTTAATTTCTTTTATGCCATCGTTACCAAAGACATGTTTGGTTAGAAAGTATGCTACCCAATTTTACTCCTAAACATGATCAACTTTGGCCATCCCTTGTCAAAACAAATAATACTATCCCAACAAATTTCGTATAATATTATATTATTACTATTGTGATCACAAGCGGTATAATTGCGGATTTTCCAAATGGAAGGTCACAGTGAGTGACTCTTTGTACTTCAATATGTTAAGAAAGTACGTATGTATAGACATATACTACAGTATATTGTAACAAAATTAGTGTTGACACGGGCTTTGAACCAGGTAGTATTTGAAAGAAGAGATCAATATTCGAACATCGGAAACGACAGTGTAAAGATTATGTCTAAAGTGGTCAAATCCCTTGTGTAAACTAACAATTAATGATGCCTATTGAGCAATTGAGTTATCGTGATTTATATCCTTCTAAATACTTTGTTCGACTGAAGTGTGAGCTCTTAGGATTGAAAATTCAACATTTTGAAAGAAGAAAAATTAGTAGTACACTAGTACTCCAAAAATCAATTTTTAAATTTTATTCTATTTTCCTTGTGCCCAATAAACACCTGACACGTAACAGTCTACATCGAATTTCTTGTCGAACGAGCAAGGAATCTCCGCACGATAGGATAAAAGCAAATCCTAACCCGGCCCGTTTGTATTCAAAGTTCCCAACCAACCTTCACTCTCCACACTTTACTCTCCACTCTTCAGAGCAGTTACGGAAGCTTATAGCTGTAGTCGGAACTCCAGAAACTGAGAAAGTGCCTCAGAATGTCGAAGAGCGGGGAGCTAGGCGAGAGTTCCGCTCCGCGGCGAGGAGAGCCGTCGCTGCCGCCGCCGTCGCTCTCCTCTGCTCCACGAGTTCGAGCACAGGCGGACTCGTTCCTGGTGACCTGTAGAGTTTTCAGCTTCATTACTTCGCTGGCGGCTATTCTCTGCATCGTCGTCAATGTTTACTCCGCCTTCCGATCCTTCAAAAATGGATATGATGTAATTCGTCTGTCTCTGCAGATACATACGAGCATACAGTTCGCTATTATAACTTATAAGGAGGTTAACATGTAGTTTGTTTCTGATTTTGTTGTGATTCACACATGCGTTAGGTGTTTAATGGAATTTTCCGGTGTTACGCTGTTGTGATTGCCGTTATTGTGGTCGTTGCTGAGACAGAATGGGGGTTCTTCATCAAGTTCTGGAAGGTTTGCTTACTGTTCCTTTGTTTATATATATTTTTATAATCCACTTTATGCTTTTGTCTCTATATTTGCGTACATATTTTCATCCTAGAATGAGAAAATATCAATCAATTGCAATGTAGTGACAAAACATGTGCTTCTTAAAACTATCACTAATTCCTGATGTTTTCCTTGTATATTAATGTTGGAGTTAATACCCAAAATCGTCCTCGACTATAGTGGTTTTTCTCAATTTCGTCCTAAACGACTTTGGTGACCTAATATCGTCCCAGACTTTTGTGTTTCGCTCAATTTAGTCCCAGACTTTTGTGTTTTTGCTCAATTTAGTCCTTCATTTGTTATTCTGTCCATTTGGTGTTAAATAAATAGACAATTCAGTAATTTTAATATTGACATCTCTTTACTCATAGACATGTGAACTGCGAAATCCTTTTTTTTTTTTTTTTACGAATTACTCCCAGAATTACTCCTAAAACTGCGAATATAAAATTTGATTTGCAGGTCCGGGAGTAATTCTGGGTGTAATTCGTACAAGAAAGAGGAATTTCACACTTCACAAGTTGAAAGTAAAGAGAGATCAATATTGACATTACTGAATTGTCTCTTTATTTAACACCAATTTGACGGAATAACAAATGGAGGACTAAATTGAGCGAAACACAAAAGTCTGGGACGATATTAGGTCACCAAAGTCGTTTAGGACGAAATTGAGAAAAACCACTATAGTCGAGGACGATTTTGGGTATTAACTCATTAATGTTGCTACCTATATGAGATGTTATAATTTTTTAAAATGATGTATTACTTCCTTAGTATTTGTACTACTTTTGGAAAATTAGGAAGCATATAGCCAGATTGATCTTCATGTCAAACTCATCCCTTAACTTGCTTTCAAATGTGGATAACTGGAAATGAATGAAGAATAAAGGAACCAGAGCATATATATATGTATGTAATATGAAAAGGCTATCGTGCAGTAGTTGCAATGTGTCAATGATAAATCCGATTATTGTATGTTGTATAAGCTCAGAAAGGTTGATCTATTATTTTTAAATTAGATTTGTTTGCTAATTTGCTTTCTAAGCCAAATGTTATACTAGTAGTTTCTGACAACAATTATTAAGCAAGCATACCTCTACTGTGTTTTTCTATCAATCTGAAATTTGTTGCCTGTTACCTTTGCCATTAAGAAGTCCATGTCCCTGATCAGACTCTTGAAAAAATTGGTGCAGGTGTTGGAGTATTGGGCTGGTAGGGGTATGCTGCAAATCTTGTATGTCCGACTTTTAACCTGATAATGTAAATTATTGCTTTTTCATCTACAGAGTAATACATTTTTTTAACTTGGCACTGATTGATCATTTAAAGACTTTGCTTTGTCAGCCTAAGACATCAATTTCCCCACCTACTCAACCTTTCTACTTCTCTTCTGATTCTGTAATTAGCTTGGTTTCAATGGTAATACTTTATGTTTATTTCTACATTTTTGTGGTTTTTCTAGCGTTGCGGTGATGACAAGAGCTTACCCTGAATCTTATGGACAACGACATGAGTTGCTGCTTCTCCAGGATATAGCAAGCTACTTGCTTCTTGCCTGTGGTGCAATTTATGTCCTATCTGTAAGTTTAAAAACCATCCAAGTACCTAAACCTCAATAATTTAAATGCACATGCCAGTCTAGACTCTAGAGTGATGTTAGAAGCCCCTGCCTATACAATTCTTGAATCTTTGCTCTGTCTATCTCTCTCCAGTCTTCACTTCCATGCACTTGGGCAAACTGCATCCGAACAGACTCAAACATCAGAAATATATTTCAAGACATAAGTTTACCTCATTTTGATGATTTAAGAGCCATTTCATGTAACTTGGATCACATCGTATTTGGAATTGTCAAAGGTGTTTTGTGAATCATGCACATTTCTGTAATTGATTTGAAGAGTTTATGTTGCTATAGAATGCAATCTCCCCTTTGTTTGACTGTACATATCCGCTGCTCCATTTTTTTTTCCTCTAAAAATAATTTTGTTGCAAGCTAATGGGGATAGTACTAGTGCATTTCTGCACATTGTGGTAGTTGAGCTCAGTTTAATTATGGGGTCTTTGATTGATTCATGTCATACATTACACATACCTCTTTCCCTTTCAGGGAATATTATGCATTGGTTTTCTCAAACGGGCTCGCCAGAAGAAAGAAATTTCTAAGGAGCAAACAATCAAGGACCTGGAGGTAATTTAGCAATTAGATGTACTTTGCCTAAATTTCTCAGCAAGCCTGGATTGATGTATTTTTTGTTAGTTAGACATGAGTGGTTTGTTTCCAAATGCCTTGGTGCATGATGATATGGTCATATGGTTAAAGATATTTCCTTCCTTTTAGAGCCTAAGGGGATAGATTATAGATAGCCTCAAATCTCAATACCAACATTGGAATCGGAATGGTAATGGGTATCAAATACGTAGTACTTGGTAATGTAATATGTTTAAGTAAAATGAGTCACTTTGTTTGGTAGTAAATAAGAATTTGAATCAAAATAAATAAATATATAATACATATGTGTATATATATTAAAATTTCATATTTAATACATGGACAATGACTTTCTTAATTTTTTTTTCTCCTTTATTCTTGATCCATTGTTTAAAGGTAAAAGAGTAAAATGGTAATGAGTTTTGTAATTACTAAGGGGTTGTTTGGTTCAAGTTATATAAGATAACCAAGGTTATATTAGCTTGGGAATATAAAGATTCCCATGTTTGGTTCAAGTTATGTAATTTTCCCAGAGACTGTAACTTAACATCCACATAAGAGTTTTAGCTATTGGAAGGGAATGTGTGATACCCTTCTCTTCCTTAGGTATTCTCATATTCCCTTGTCTTTTCACTAAATTTGTCATTTTAACCCATTGATTTTTCTCCCCTCCTTAGGAGATAATAAATGGTTCTCAAGCTCTTAGTTAATTATTTTTAAATCATTTACTTCTATATTTTACTATTACCTTATTTATTTATTTTAATTTTGAAATTTATTGAAATACATACAAATAGGTTAAGGGTATTAAACCTAAGTTTTAACCAAACACATGAATCTAACATTCCCTAAGGTAATCTAACATTCCATGAACCAAACACTCCCTAAAGGATTTGTATCTAATAGTAGGATAACAAAAGTAGACAGACAAACATGGTAATGAGTATCAAAACACATAGTAGGGTGCAAAAGTCCCCAACCAAACGCCACCTTTGTGTGTATAACAGTAAAGTTAATTTTGGTATTAATATAGCAATATATGATTTATTGAAAATTTGAAAGTAAAAATCTTATAAATAAAATTAAAGATGTAGAATTATTTGAATTTATAGAATATTGAAGATTTTTTATTGGGCTTTAACATATTACAAGTACGTATAATTAATTTCTTATTTATAAAAGGAATAATAGATATTGAGGTGAATGTCTGCTTCATGGTGGGTTGGGGATGAGTGGTTAAAATTTCACCGAAGTGGATATAGGGTCCTTCAATCCAAACCCAACCCCAACTGGCTACATGGACTCTATGTACATTCAGTTGAATTATTTGATAGCTCTTGCTTTCAACTGCTGTTCTTCATGTAGTTGACATAAGGACCAGAAATACTGGGACCTAGATCTGGCCTCAGATCCATTACTAGGTTGGAAGTCAGATACTGTGTTCTGTTGATTGCAGAAGTTGATCTGCTACTGGAAAGTTTTATGAGTGTCAGGGCCAGGGTTGGACTTGTTTACATTTTTACTTCAAACCAAATTTATTTTGTGCATGTTAGAGATTGAGAGAAGAAAATCCTGTATATGATCCAAGTGGCAGAACTGCAGAGGGGGGCAGGAATTTATTAACCACACTACCCCCCCATGCCAATTTGTGGATAGATGAATGCTCGAATGATCTGATTCTCCACTATGTTTTTACTTTTTCTTTCTAGGGTATCTTGTAACCAATACATACGCATTATCTTTTCAGGATTTAGAGCGTCGTAGAGAAGAGCTTGAAGCATTATTGCTTCTAGAAAGGGTATAGTATGGAGCCACATCCTTACAGAGTTAGAGCTTGGAAAGCCCGCAGATGTATAATCCTCAGATTTGGTTTTTGCATGAGTGAAACCATTTCATCACCCAGAGGTCGAATACTAACCAGTTATGCATGTCTAAAGGCTGAATGGTACAGGAATTATTTACTCCACCCCTTCTTTTCTGTTTTGGCTAGTTTTGTTTGAAAATAACTGATTATATGTAGTTAGAATGAGCATATTGATGTTTTAGCTCTTAGACTGTTAAGTTTTGCTTGATGTGGACAACATCAAAGGGTAAAATATTAAATTGGATTTTCTCAACGTTAAAAGGATTTTGAGACAGACAGACTAGGGGTTGTGAGAAGACTGAGAACCAGAAGAATTACTGCAAGAGGTCATTAGACTGTTTGGGACTTTGGGTATCGCTCCCTTTGGTTTAAAAAAATAAATAAATTACAAAATGTCATTTTTTTTTTTCCTTTTCATTTAGGATAGCATAGTGTTTATTTTATCCTAGCACATATTTGGCAATGGCAAATATTCATGCTTATTTATTAATTTGTTACCTTCATTTTATATCAATTCGGCAGGGCAATGCTTATCAACTCAGGTTATTATATACTTGAAACTAAATATTTTTACATTACACGGAGTATTAAAATATTAGTTCATGTGTTAATATTACTTGTACTAATTTTATATATTTGATTCATGAGAATTGATTGGAGTTTAATTTTTCATAATATTTAATTTTATTTTTTTTTATTTATATACAATTTTTATAAACTACATTAAAAATACCACTAAACAAAAAATAATTAAATTTCAAAATTATAATAAAATATTAAAGAAAACAAGAAAAGAATAAAATTTTGATTTAATCGGTCAATATGATTAGATAAAATAAAATAGGAAGTATATGTTTGGATATAATTGTGTCACTTTATTATATATATATATATATATATATATATATATATATATATAAAAGAAGGTATGTTGTCGCACACAAATATAAATTAAACTAATTTTAGTGAATATATTTTATAAATAATGGTACTTTACTTTGTAACTCAAAAGAGAACAAGGCATCTATTATTTATTTCCTTTCTATTGCTATATTTTGCAAACGAATAAAGAAAACAACAGAGCGTTCATAGAGTTCATCATTGACATAATACCGAGATACAATTAGTAAAGAGATTGTTGCACTTGACATAAAAAAAAAAAAAAAAAAAAAAACAAGCAAAATTAAATAACAATTTGAACAGAGAACGTCTACTGGGGATATTCTTCTTCTGGAGCTGAGTGGAACTTCTTTCTTTGATTCTACCTTCAACCCAGTTCTGGAAAATTAGAAAACAAAACGTTTCAGTTTTGCTTCAAAGATGTAAACTTTTTAATATTTTATTATGGATGAGAGAAAACAATTAATATAATTGTATTTCTAAAGACTGGTATAAATGTATAATACTCATGGGCACCTGATATGAAAAATAAACCTATTGTTCCCCACCAGCACTTGCAGCACTCAGATCTACGGACAAATCAACAGTCTAGACCAAATCGGAAAAGAAAAATCAAATCATAAAAAGAAAGAAACAAGTCTATATATATATATATATATATATATATATATATATATATATATATATATATATTGGTACGAGTATTATAAGAAGTATTATAAGAAATCAACACATAATACATTATATGATTGATTATATCGAGTACGATCAACAAGATATAAGTTTTCTTTAATATATATATTTCTTGATATTTTAATTTACCTTTCCAGTAATTTTGGTATACATTTCAAGCACATCCCGTACTGTGGACTCAAAGTGTGTTGATGCATCATAGCTCTGCAACAAAGGATAAGGCAGCTGAGTATTTTAGGCAAAAGAAATCTGCAAGGTGTAGTGGTGTATAGGTGCCAATGATGTGATGCGAAGGACTAAACACTAATTCAGACCACTCACATTTGATATGAAGCAATTATCTGCAGTGCAATCATTTGTTGGCACAAATCTGTCATAAGTCTCGTAAAATATCTCATCCACAGGCCCAAGTAGATCTACTCCAGGCTTCAATTCTGTTTCTGGATCATCAGTTTCGGCTTCTGTCGACACAAAGGCTATATATTTGCCTTTGGGGGCAACATTGTGAGTATAAGAGCAGCAGAACAAGTACCTGTGGTTGTGTAGAGAAGAGAAGAGAAGAGAGTGGTAATTCAGTTCAGTTTCCAGAATGTGTCTGTGTGAGTGTGTGTAATACATGCATATATTATCCAAAATCTCACTATAAAAAAAATAGGCAAGTTGGGAGATTTAGCAAACACACATGTCTGATTTGCGACCAAGTTGTTTCTGTGGCAGAATAACCTGAGCAGAATGGGAGTCGTTTGTGTCGGGGATAGGATGGCTCATTATGCATACTGCCCGAGCAACTTTTCCAACCTTATGGACCTGTAACATGCAATCTGGATTATGAACCAAAACCAACATTTGGAGGTGGAATGTTGAACAGTTTTGACAGCAGAAATATCACCTATTCAGTTGAGCAATGCCCTAGGAACCATACTAATTAGATTTCTGATAAGTACCTTATCAGTTAAATAGGTTGGATCACAGACAACTTTCTTGCATTTAGCTGTTTCTCCTTCAGAGGTCACACCATAGGCTTTTCCACTGTCGTCGAACTCCACCTATAGTCCAAAAAGTTGCTTATTTATGGAAACTTTGGGTACAATGAAATGTTTAAACACTGAGGCTTTAAACTTTGAATCTTCATTGAGGAGGCAGACCAGCAGACTCAGGGTAGAGCAGGTAAAATTTAAATTTGTTTTTCCAAAAACTTTTATACTATACCACATAAAAAGTTGGAACTACGAGCTTATGGGTCAACATGAGAATGATGAGAGTATAACAAACAACAATCTAGATTCCTCATATTAGGGCTTGCAGAGCATATGATAGATTGTTTATTCAGCCAATTTTCCTATGGGTTTACCTTACACTGAGGCTTGTTTAGCATGTATGTCCCACCATAAACTGCACTAAGACGTGCAAATGCCTGAAAAACGTATACACATGTCAAAACAAGCTAAACAAATTACAAATTTTTATTATATTAGGATCTCTATTTTAAAAAAAGTTGTCCAACTTCATTTTTTGATAGTCAATATGATCTTATTTTATTAAATGTTTTGAAATATATTCCGATAAAATTTTGAGTTATAATTCTTGAGATAAGCAATACATAAAAGCATCTAAATTATTTAAGTCAAAATTTAGTCAAGCTGAACACTGAAATAGTTAACGGGACAAAGTCACAAATGATTTGGATGGAGAGAGTATTTTATTTACTTTTTAATAGACGTGTTAAGGTTTACAACAAGTGTACACAAACCTGAGGCAATTCTCCCAGTCCATACATAGGATAGATATATGGAGACCCTGATTGAAAGCGTGCCAAAGACTCTGCATAAAGCTATAAGAAGGAACAAAAAAAGTGTTCAGAAGACAATAGTGTATACAGTAATTTAGGGACAATGTACTAGCTAGCTAAATAAACCAAAGAATAAATAAGTATTTCTACATGAATATCTTCAAATAATGATGCATGTTCAGTTTAATAAATAGAGATCGTGTTTCATAACTTTACATTTAATAAGATAGTATAAAGGAATATTTACTAATATATTGAGACTTTCTGAAATGATACATTACCTTGACTTTCTTCACGAATTCTATAGCCGGCTGAGCTAAGTAGTTATCATCGGTATGAAGTGCTAAGGAATGACCAATAAAATCAATTGTATCATCTTCAAGTTCGTATTTTCTGCATTAATGACATTGGTTAGAGATTAAAAGATCTTGAAATCAAAAGTGAAAGCAGCTCTGAATTAATTCAAAAAGCGGTAAGATTTTTACGTTATAAAATCTTTTGCTGTAATTGCGTTCAAATCCATCCCTTGATGAGTTTTTGGATCAGACTCCTCAAATTCTTGAACATAAAGAAAGAATTTTCTGACACGGCGCTTCTCAAACAGACCCATCAGTGAGGACTTAAGTGCTTCAACATCAGTAGCCGGAACTTTGTAGATCTAAAATTAAAGAATACAAGTTTTCTGCAGATTAGGTCTCACCAAATCAAAAGAAATTAATCCACACAATAGTAATATAAAAACACTGGCTTCAATTCATGAAATTAAACCAACCTTCCCCTTGTTGTACACAAAACTACCATCCACAGCCTTGAAGGTCAAATACTTTGTAACATCAGTATGAATGAGCACTCGAACCAAGGTCCCATTCGCCATCATGAACTACCAAAGCACCAACAGATCAGAATTGAAGACTTTTAATTTACTAATATAATACACCATCCCAGTTACATAAGATGGTGCAATAATCTCTCCCAACCAGTGTTGCAAAAATCGCGCCTAGACGCTCTAGGTGGTCCCCAGGCCCCTAGCGATTTTTTCAACCTTGCTCCCAACAAATTAAACATGTCGGAAGAGGGGCTAGAAAAGAGGGCATGAGCAACACTCACTGGAATCATGATGACAACAATGCTGAGAGAACACAGATTATAACACAAATTAATTAGATTATTATGAAATACCTTCGGAATCATATCAACATTGTACTCTTTGCTAGCTCCTAACTGTTCTGGAGGTTGATCGGTCCCCCTAAACCGCTTCCAAAGCTACAGATAAGAGGATCATCATATGCTAAGTCCAGAGGGATTGAAGAAAAACTTCAAATCATAATATTAACACACAAATAATTAAATATACTAGAATATATATGTTCTACCTCACTGATTAATCATAAAATCATAAAATCATAAAATCATAAAATAACAGTCATTGTAAGGTATTTCAATCAGAAGCTGCTCAGAAATGGTCAAATGGATCATACATAAATACTCCGTAACAGTCATTGTGAAGTATTTCGATCGGAAAATGCAAAGAGGAATCAAAGAGATCTTAAAACCATAATATTAGCACTAGCACACACACAAACACATATATATACTAGAATATATATGTTCCACCTCACGGATCGAGCATAAAATGGATCAGACCTAAATAACAGTCAATTTCGATCAAAATTTAAGCTGCATATGTGCCTATCCAATAGAATCTAGCTAGGTTACCTGAATGAGACTAAGGGAGCTGGATTCTCCTCCATAATAGTCATTTTTATCCATGTGCAGAACCTATATACATTATACAGAACAACGTCGCAGAATATAATTAACAAATTGTATCGAGAAACCTCCATTCGTACATAGATCAACAAAGTAAGCGACCGATCGATCGATCGAGCGAGATGAGATGAGAGCGATATATAGGTACCTTGAGGCCATCGACGGAGAGAAGGCCGCTGATAATGCACTCCTTGAGGCCGGTGCCGAGGACGATGACGTCGTATTCTTCATCCATATTGGTTGCCGCGCAATGGATCAATCAACCGATCGAGATTTGTTATTGCAGATGAGAGAAGATTGAGATAAGGTAGAGAGAGATGGAAGAATGTCTGTACGAAAGAGATGAGAAGAGTAGTGAAGGAAGAAGGAGCGGGGAAACTGAACGTTTTAATTGGTTGTTAGAGAACGGGTCTTTAGCGGGAACTTTATACCGCCCTTAACTTCCTCCACACTATTGGCTGTTCTAAGTTCTAACGTTTAATTAACAATTTCCTTTTTTATTTTTAAAATTTTTGAATTTTATCAATGTCGTTTTGTCCGCACGGATTTAACTCAATAATTTAATAGGTATTGAATCACCTTAATTTACATCTCAAAATGCTTTTGTCGGGTTGGAGATTCAACTTTTTAGGAAAAGAATATAAATAATCCTAGAATTTTACAATGCTTTGTTATAAGAATATTAATTACCCATAGAAAAATGCTGTGAAAATTTTGTAAATAATACAGAGTAATTGATAACTATTTTATGTTTATATTTACTCAAATGAAAAATTAAATCTGACCAGCACTTTGTCCCTTAACTGGGTCGGGTCAATGTGAATTAAGTATGGTACGAGTTTAAAAGTGTCTCTTACAATTAGTGCATGCTTAGAACACCTCATGGTCTAACAAAAAAAAAAAAAATCAATATTTTTATTATTCAACATAATCGAATTTTCCATAACTGATATACAAGCATGTTTTTGAAATTTGTAGTCCCATAAATAATGCATGCCTGATAGAAAATCATCTTTTAATATTCTCCTAAAAGGTTAATCCTCAATCATAGTGACTCAATGGCTCAGTAGACATGGCTAAATGCCAATGCCACCGCTGTCAAAGTTCGAAATCTCTTCTCTCAAATACTGTTTACTGAACCAGTGAGCTAACCGTGCAGACCTTTTTTTTTTTTTTTTTGTTTTTTTTTTTTGTTTTTTTGTTTTTTTTTTTTTTTTTTGTTTTTAAAAAATATTCATCTCTTGATGTGATGCTATTTTATTTGATTATTAAGTACATTCTTTTTAAAATTCACCTTAGTGTCAAATAATTCATAAAACCATAAATACAATGAAAATAAAGAATTTTATTGTCATATGATCTGATCTTAAGAATGGAAAAATAGCATTATTCATCTTGAAATTGGATTTGTAACAATTCACTCTATATCAATTTGATTAGTTCAGTGACTACCAAATATTAAAAACATTGCAGTATATAATATATATATACCTGCTCCAATGTATTGCTAAACAAGAGTTTGTGGAGCAATTAATCGCTTTTTCAAATGCAATCTCAATGAGAAAATAAATACAAAAGTCCTATTTGTAACATAATTAGAGTTAATTCCAACCATAGTCCTCTGATTATATTGATTTTTCAAAATTAGTCATCGACTTTTAATTTGGACACTTTACGTCCCTTGACTTTCAATTTCTTTCCAATTGTGGTCATTTCGTCAGATTATGTTAAATTGGACATTAAATGAAAAGGGTAAATTAGTCATTTCATCTGCCTATGTTATAATAATATTATTATTATAATTATTAAACCAAGCAAGTAATTAATAATTAGTTAATTTGTTGGAAATAATGAAAGTAATGGGTGTGGGTCATGCATTGTATGTGAAGAGTGGCCTAAATTATAGCATTAGTACATGGAGCATTAGCTTCCTGATTAGTAGCTTTCATTTAGTATAAATATGTGGTTTGTATTCATTTGTTAATCATCCCTTCAAATAACATTATTCATTCCTCTCTCTTCTCTCTCAATATATAAATATAATATATTGATATATTATATTTAATATATATTATAGATATATTATATTATATTTAATATACATTATATTAAATATATCATATTTAATATATCTAACATTTGGTATCAGAGCCAGTCAACCTTTCAACCCCGAAATATTTTCCGTAGTGAAATATGGCAACAAATTTCAATATTGTATGGTCGGGTCCCAAATTGGACGGGAAACTCGATTACAATTATTGGCAAATTATGATGTCCACACATTTGCAAGCTCAAAATCTTTGGAGCTTTGTTGATCCCGGTCTACCCGAAGGAGCTGAAGCAGCCGCTATACGGCGAGATAAATTGGCCTTGGGTCAGATTCACCAAGGTGTTCATTATTCCATTTTTGGGCAATTAGCTCGTGCTCAAACAGCAAAACAAGCTTGGGACATCTTAAAGGTGTCACACAAAGGAGTCGATCGGGCACAGAAGTCTAAGTTGCAGTCGTTGAGAAGGTTGTACGATAATTGTGAGATGACCTCTACAGAAACAGTAGATGCGTATTTCACTCGTCTTATTGATATGGTGAATAAGATGAGGCTATATGGAGATACGATTGAAGATGGTGCAGTGGTTGAAAAAGTTCTTCGAACTATGCCGATGAAGTATGACCATGTGGTGGCTTCAATAACAGAGTCACACAAAACCGAGCTCTTATCAATTGCAGAGCTGAAAGGTATGGTAGAAAGTCATATTGACAGGATTGCGTCAAAATCGGAACCACTAGCAGAAGAAGCTTTGAAGAGCCAAGTCACCCTTAATGTGACTGGCACTAATCAAAGAGGTGGAGGATCTGGTAGAGGTTGTGGAAGAGGAAGAGGAGGTTCTGGTGGAAGAGGTCGTGGTAACTTCAACCAAGGAGGAGGACGTGGTAACTCCAACCAAGGAAGAGGTGGAGGTAATACCAAACAAGGTAAATTTCCATTTCATTGCTACAATTGTGGCAAGTATGGGCACAAGATTGCAGATTGTTGGTATAATGAGGACAACAATCGTGGAAATCAAGCAAACATTGTTGAAAACACTGCTGAAAAGTCTGGTGAGAGTTCTGAAACTTTACTTTTGGCCAGTGATAGTTTTTCTGCAGATAAAAACATATGGTTCTTGGATACTGGGTGTAGTAACCATATGTGTGGTAAGAAAGAATTGTTTTCTGAACTGGATGAATCAATCCGGTCTGAAGTGACATTTGGCAATAAGTCAAAGGTGCCAATTTTGGGAAAAGGTAAAATCTCTATTCAGCTGAAGGATGGTACTCAAAATTTTATATCCGATGTGTTCTATGTTCCTGAACTAGACCAAAATTTGTTGAGTATGGGTCAGCTGTCAGAAAAAGGATATAAGATACATATTGCTCAGGGGTGTTGTACCATTGAAGATGCTAAAGGAGTTTTGATTGCAAAGGTAAATATGTCCCAAAATCGACTATTTCCTTTGAAAATTAAGCATACTCTCCTTGATTGCTTTAGTTCTGAAGTTTGTGATGATAATTGGTTATGGCATATGCGGTTTGGGCATTTTCATTTCTCTGGATTAAACTATCTTGCGAGAAAGGAACTTGTTTCTGATTTACCTGTTGTGAATGTCCCTAATCGTATCTGTGAGATTTGTGTGATTGGGAAGAAGCATAGAGATCCCTTTCCCGTGGGCAAGTCAAGGAGAGCCACAAAACAGTTGGAGATTGTTCACTCAGACCTGTGTTCGTTGGAGGTTCCCTCATATGGAGGTTGTAAGTACTTTATTACTTTCATTGATGATTTCAGTAGGAAAACATGGGTTTACTTTCTGAAGCAAAAGTCTGAAGCATGTGATGTTTTCAAACAATTTAAGGCTTTTGTTGAAAAGCAAAGTGGTTATGAAGTTAAAATCTTGAGAACTGATAGAGGTACAGAATATATTGCTTGTGATAATTTTCTGAAAGAAAAGGGTATTCAGCACCAAATGACAGCTAGATACACTCCACAACAAAACGGAGTGGCTGAGAGGAAGAATAGGTCAATCATGGATATGGTGAGGTGCATGTTGAAATCTAAGGATCTGCCTAAGCCTTTTTGGGCAGAAGCTGTTGCTTGTGCTGTCTATGTGTTGAATAGGTGTCCAACTAAGAGTGTCCGTGATAAGACGCCCGAAGAAGCTTGGAGTGGGAGAAAACCCTCTATCAAATATCTCAAGGTTTTTGGATGTTTGGCATATGCCCACTTGCCGAATCCATTGAGAAAGAAGTTGGATGATAAAGGTGAGAAGTGCGTATTCATTGGTTATAGTGACGCTTCAAAGGCTTATAAACTATACAATCCTGAAACTAAAAAGGTTGTTATAAGTCGTGATGTCACTTTTGATGAATATGGTGCCTGGGATTGGTTAGCTAAAGATGAAAGTTCAGTTGTTATTCCTGCTGTTGAAAATATTGTTGAAGAGCAACCGATTCCAGATAATGTCCAGTCTCCTTCACAGCCAGAGTCGTCAGTTCGACGATCTCAGCGCGAGCGCCACTTACCAGCTCGCTTGCAAGATTATGTTTTGGGTCATGATAATGACCTGTCTGATGAAGAAATTGTTCAATTTGCTCTCTTTGCAGATTGTGATCCTTTAACTTTTGAGGAGGCTGCTACAGAAATTCATTGGCTTAAGGCGATGGATGAGGAGATCCGTGCCATTGAAAAGAATGGTACCTGGGAGTTAACAGATTTACCTCCTGGAAAGAAGCCAATTGGAGTGAAGTGGGTTTACAGAACGAAGTACCAGTCAAATGGAGAAATTGACCGTTTTAAGGCACGGTTAGTAGCAAAGGGTTACAAGCAGAAACCAGGTATTGATTATTTTGAGGTTTTTGCTCCTGTAAGTAGACTTGATACAGTTCGAATGGTTATTTCTCTTGCTGCTCAAAATGATTGGAAATTGCATCAAATGGATGTCAAGTCTGCTTTTTTGAATGGTTTTCTTGAAGAAGAAATATATGTTGAGCAACCTGCAGGATTTCTGAAGAAAGGGGAGGAAAATAAAGTGTACAGGTTGAGAAAAGCCTTGTATGGCTTAAAGCAAGCGCCTAGGGCGTGGTATGGTTGCATTGACTCATATTTTGTTGAAAGTGGTTTTGTGAGATGTCCTCATGAACACACTTTGTATGTCAAATGCACGGATTCTGGTGACAACAAATCAGCAATATCGTTGTCCAAAAATCCAGTCTTTCATGGCCGCAGCAAACACATTGATATCAAGTATCACAAAATCAGAGAGTTGGTTGCTGAAAAGCAAATCAACATTGAGTATTGTTCAAGTGAATGTCAAGTTGCAGATATCTTTACGAAGCCGCTGAAGACAGAGACATTTCTCAAATTGAAGAAGGAAATTGGAATGACCAATATATCCAACTTGGTTTAAAGGAGGCAATGTTATAATAATATTATTATTATAATTATTAAACCAAGCAAGTAATTAATAATTAGTTAATTTGTTGGAAATAATGAAAGTAATGGGTGTGGGTCATGCATTGTATGTGAAGAGTGGCCTAAATTATAGCATTAGTACATGGAGCATTAGCTTCCTGATTAGTAGCTTTCATTTAGTATAAATATGTGGTTTGTATTCATTTGTTAATCATCCCTTCAAATAACAGTATTCATTCCTCTCTCTTCTCTCTCAATATATAAATATAATATATTGATATATTATATTTAATATATATTATAGATATATTATATTATATTTAATATATATTATATTAAATATATCATATTTAATATATCTAACAGCCTAATGTATAATTCTTCGTATTTCTCCCTTGTATACTCGACTTCGGACATCAGATTCACTTTATTGCTTAATCCCTAAATCCACTCGAAGAACAAAATTCCATTAGGGATTAAGCAATTAAGTACTGAATCTGATGGCCGAAGTGACGTATACAAAGAAGAAATACGAAGAATTACACATTAGGCAAATGAAAGAGTTTTTTCCCAAAATGGTCCTTCGACTATCGCTTATTCTCAATTTTGCATTTCGACTTTTAATTGCACCCAATGTGGTCCCTTGACTTTTAAAAATTACCCCAAATTGGTCCTCCGTTAGATTTTCTGTCAACTGGGCGTTAAGATGGGGGTATTTCCATCCATTCACCTCCTCCGGTGTTAGAAATTCTGGATTTCAGACGAATCTGACCTACATCCTCTTCAAATTTGTTCTTCCTTTTTAGATTTTTAGTTTTACTTTTAAATGTATAATAATCATGTAAAGTTACAACACAATATTATATGGTTGTCTTATGATTCTGCCAAAGTTATTTCAGAAGCTGTTGGCTTTGCTCTGGTCGTCGAACAGTGTGGTGGACACCATGAACCGTTGGATTTCATCGACGGCGTGCAAGTACTGATCGATTTCCGCCCGGTCTCCTTCAAAGATCATCTTCCCCCTGGCCTCTTCCGACGTGGTCGAGTCCCAACGGAGCACTATCTTCTCCCTGACTCGAATGCTACAACATCGTTCCCAGCGGCTCCATGGGGCTCTGTTTGGTTCTTCAGAATCGATCCAGATTGATCTCTCTCTCCATTCTCCACTATGTTCCCAAATTGATCTCTCTCCATTTTCTTTTGATTCGTCTATCTCTGTCGCGTATTCTTCCCACCAGATCAGAAGAAGAAACCAAAAGAAATTGAAAGAAGAAGTTCAGAAATTTCCAGGGGGTGATTTCTTGAGTTGAGGAAAAAGTTTTGAATTTTTTCCTCCAATTCGAGGAGTGGGCTTTTGGGATAATTGATGGAAATTGATAGCGTTGAGTGTGTATGATCATCAGACGGCATGGAAGACTAGGATATGGCATCGTATATGACGTCTCACTCCGGCGGCTCCATGTTCTGTTGTCTGAAACTGAGAAACCGTTGGACTAAAACTTGATTCCGTCGCCGCCAGCAGAACCTTTGGAATATTCCGACCATGCTTCCTCTCTGAAAGGGGCCTAACAATTACGGATATATATTTTTTAACCTTCCGATTAATGTAATAGACGCGGAAGAAGTGAATGGACGGAAATACCCCCAATTTTAACACCCAGTTGACGAAAAATCTAACGGATGACTGATTTGGGGTAGTTTTTAAAAGTCAAGGGACCACATTGAGTGCAATTGAAAGTCAAAATGCAAAATTGAGAATGAGCGATAGTCGAGGGACCATTTTGGGAAAAACTCCAAATGAAATGACTACTTTACCCTTTCATTTAAAGTCCATTTTACCGCAATCTGACGAAAAGACTTCAATTGGAATGAAATTGAAAGTCAAGAGACGTAACGTGTCCAAATTAAAAGTCGGGGACTAATTTTAGAAAATCAATATAGTCGGAGGACCATTGTAGGAATTAACTCACATAATTAGCTTATCACTCAATTTTGACTTGTTTGACCACTATTAGCTATTTGACTTTAAGCAATTAAAATAAGTGTTTGATAATTACCTTTTTGTAATTTATTGCTCCAAAACCTTAAAATTCAAAAATCTGCTCAAAGCAGCTTTTTTAAGAAAGTTATTTTGTATGTAATCAAATATCAACTAATTGCTAATTTACCCAAATATATTTTTACAATCAACTAATGTTATTAACTAGTCAAACCCAGTAACTCAATTATCTAATACTCCCTTCGTCCCTAATTGATTGTCTTATTTTCTTTTTGCACGATTTTTAATACAACATAACAAATGTTATTAACTTTCTAATTTTGCCCCTCAAAAGTAGGTGTTATTTGTACAAAGTACAATTGTACTTACTTCTAGAAATTTGAAAGTGAAAAAGGTAAATTGGGAAATGTAGAGTGATAGGTTTTTGTTCAATTTTGAAAAGATGACACTATTTTGGGACAAACTAAAAAGGAAAGTAAGACAAGTAAAATGGGACGGAGGAAGTAATATTTACCAAATGCCCCCAAAAAGTATTTTATCATAGTCACTTTTTTATTTTTTTAGCTTTTATGATACATCTGCTTTCCATGCAATCATTATACCATTGATCATGCTTCGTGTTACAAAATAGACTACAAAGACACACATTCATTTTTAGCATATAGAAAATCCATTTTAGTGAACTACATTATTTGTAATTTAGTTTTAGTCATTTTTTAAAAGTTTATTTTTAGTATACTTTCTAAAAATGAATCTTAGTACATTAAGAATAAATCTTCACTATACTAAAAATAAACAGTTACCAATAGTCTACTTTACAATATGAAACACGGTCCACCGTCTAATTTGCTAACTTTGTTGGACATGCATCCCCAGGTACCGAAGGGTAGTGATTACGAGTGATCAATGAGATGTAAATCTTAGTTTACTCTTTTATCAGACTCAAAAAAGTACGAAACTCCCGTCCATAACTGATAGACTCAAATCAAGAAGGCAAAAAGTTACTTCGATTGAGAGTAACTAGAGGTGTGCTTGGCAGGACGTCGCTGCTCGAGCAGGGATCCAATATGACCGCACACGCTGATTACCACTCACGCACTGTCTCGCATTACGAAACACCGCATGTGTTTAACCGAGGACCAACAGGAACTGCTCTCGGACGAATCTGCATACAAGCCCCACCGATGCTGGTCGTCACGACAGCCGCGCCCGCATCGATAGGTACAAAAGAAAACCGAATTCCAATCAAGAGCGCACCGCATTTCATCGCACACATCGATTGTCAATCCATCACACCATTTAGTGAAAGCCCTCGCTCGAAGTCCTCAGGCAAAAAGTTACTTCGATTGAGAGTAGAACATGTAAATTTGTGATTATCAAGTCAAACATCCTGACCAAATTGAATCAAACTGGTAATTGCATGCTGCCCATCCCAGTTAATTCCCAACCAATGTATTATTCTGGGTTGAGTACAAAACATTATATTTTCCTGGCTAGCTAAATAGATACCATAAATAATCCTAAGGTCCTCCAACATAATTAATGGAGTCGTCCTCATCATCATCATCATCATCATCATCATGATAATTACATATTTATATATATACTACGTCGAATAAGTAAATGCAGAAGCTGCAGCTAGCGATCTTCAATCCCTCTTCAAACCTCAGTCCGGGAAAGGTAAGCTGAAAAATTAGACCAAAATCAAGAGAAAATTAAATAAAAGCAGAATAAAATGACTACAAATTTCGTATGCAATGCATGCAAGTGCAAGAGGAGCTAATTAATGTTATTATATTGTGAATGAAGCAGTAATCGTTGAAAGAACTCCGAATTTAGCCATTGATTGAGTTCAGATTTATTGAAACTCAACATGACTATAATGTTGAGAGAGTAATTGAAAGAACTTCGAGTTTGGTTAGTTGTGATTAATTGAAACTTAACCTGACTATCATGCTAAAAGAAGCTATGGGAAAAGTTGACTCCAGATTAATCGATCAAAACTTATTAACACGACTATCATGTCACAAAGAGTCATAAAGAGAACTTCAAGTTTAGCAATAAGTTGACTCTAGATTAATCAAAACTTAACACGTCTATCACGCTAGAGGGAGCCATTGAAAGAATTTCAAGTAAAGCTGTAAGTTGACCTACTCCGAATAAATCAAAACTCAACTTGACTATCATATTAGGGGAGTGACTAAAATAACTTCAAAGTTAGTCATAAGGTAATTTCAGATTAATCAAAACTCAACATGACTATCATACTTGACCCTTGAAAGAACTTCAAATTTAATCATAAATTGACTTCAAATTAACCGAAATCTCAACATAACTTCAAGTTTAATCATAAATTGACTTCAAATTAATCGAAACTCAACATGACTATTATGCTAGACAAAGTAATTAAAAGAATTTCGAATTTAATCCTAAGTTGACTTCAGATTAATTGAAACTCAACGTGACTATATGCTATGCTAGACAGAGTAATCGAAAGAATTTCGAATTTAGTCATAAGTTCGACTTCAGATTAATTGAAACTCAACATGACTATTATGCTAGAGTGCTAGACAGAGTAATTGAAAGAACTTCGAGTTTAATCATAAATTGACTTCAAATTAACCGAAACTGAACATGGCTATCATGCTAGACAAAGTAATTAAAAGAATTTCGAATTTAGTTATAAGTTGACTTCAGATTAATTGAAACTCAACATGACTATCGTGCTAGACAGAGTAATTGAAAGAACTTCGAGTTTAGACGACATAAGTTGATTTTAGATTAATTGAAACTCAATGTGACTATTATGCTAGACAGAGTAATCGAAAGAATTTCGAATTTAGTCATAAGTTCGACTTCAGATTAATTGAAACTCAACATAACTATATATTATGCTAGATCAGACAGAGTAATTGAAAGAACTTCGTTCGAGTTTAGTTATAAGTTGATTTCAAATTAATCGAAACTTAACATGACTATCATGTTAGACAGACTAATTAAAAGAACTTCGAATTTAGTCATAGTTGACTGCAAATTAACAGAAACTCAGCATGACTATTATGCTAGAGTGCTAGACAGAGTAATTGAAAGAACTTCGAGTTTAATCATAAATTGACTTCAAATTAATCGAAACTGAACATGGCTATCATGCTAGAGAAAGTAATTAAAAGAATTTCGAATTTAGTCATAAGTTGACTTCAGATTAATTGAAACTCAACATGACTATCGTGCTAGACAGAGTAATTGAAAGAACTTCGAATTTAGACATAAGTTGATTTTAGATTAATTGAAACTCAACGTGACTATTATGCTAGACATATTAATCAAAAGAATTTCGAATTTAGTCATAAGTTCGACTTAAGATTAATTGAAACTCAACATAACTATATATCATGCTAGATCAGACAGAGTAATTGAAAGAACTTCGAGTTTAGTTATAAGTTGATTTCAGATTAATCGAAATTTAACATGACTATCATGTTAGACAGACTAATTAAAAGAACTTCGAATTTAGTCATAGTTGACTGCAAATTATCCGAAACTCAACATGACTATTATGTTGGGGGGAATTAAATGCTAATAATTAAGAAGCATGCATACCCCAACTTGAGAGAAGTATCAGAGCTTTTATAATGATCCTGGAGTTTGTCAGGGAATAAGCAGCAGCCATTTGTGACTGATTCCGACGAGTATGGTGGTCCTCCTTGAACGCCAATCTGCAATTACCAAATTAAAGAGACACACAACTACCTTAATTAAGTATCAAGAATCATAGGAATTTTGTGTTTTGTCCTTTTACCTACCTCAGATCGCTGTTTCAACTGTGCATTCTCTTCCATCAGTTTAGCTTCCTGCACATTCCAACAAATCCTTTTCATATTCAAGAAACCCACATATGATTTTTTTTTTTAGTTAATTCCATTTTTTAATTTGGTCCTAAATTTATATAGGTGACAGTTCACTTTTAGTTTTTTCTTTTATTAGAACATCCTCATTTAGTCCTAGTATTATTGTGGCATGACCATTTTTAGTTCTCTATCAACATAATCGTTGAAATGTCGTTAAATACAAAGATATTTCAATCTTTTTATACAAAGTAGGTTGAATCGCTATATTTTTTATGTATTTTTTTTAAAATCCATAATTGCATAATGAAATGCCAGGTGTTTAATGATATTTAAACTGTTTTGTTAATAAATGACCAAAAATAATAACACCACAATAATAATAGGACCAAAAGTGAATATTCTTATAAAAGAAAAAAAAAAGAGTTAAAGTGATCTATCACATATAAATCTAAGATAAAAATAAAATTAACTTTTTTTTAAAACCACTGTAACCAACCACTTTTTTTTACCTTCCAAGAAATTGGACAAAAATTCAAATATTTTTCAACTTGTTTTGTCACTACCTAGAGTGATTGGAATTTTTTTTTTTTGAATGCTAGAGTGATTGGAATTTAATTTTTAACCAATTAAAAATAATCAAAATTCTTGCTTTTCGACTATATTTTTCAATGATTAAAAAATTTAGATAGTCTTGAAATATAGTTTGAAAATACGAATTTTTAAGTGATGTTTTATATACGGGTGTTGCTATTTGCACCACCCTTTGACTAAAATTGGGTATAAAGTATCTTGAAATTGTAAAAAGGTGGAATTTTTTAATAATTACCTAGGTGGTGTAAATAGCGAAATGATGGTTCATTTTGCTATTTGCACCATCTTGGTCAAACTTAGTTACAATGATCAAAATCAAAGTCAAGAACATTATGAGGTATTTTAAGTTGTTATTTGAATTGTTAATGAATTGTTATTTATTTCTATGGGTGTTGCTATTTGTATTTTATGCGAGTTTATTCTTGCTTGTTAGGTAATTAGGACTCATTTAAATTAGATATAATTTCTCAATTGACTAAATAACAATCTCTTTGTTCCATGTCAAGAGAGAAAATTATAGTATTAATCAATTTAGTGAATATAGTTGTAAATTAATTTAATTTGTTGTGAATATAGTTGTAGATTAAGCAATTTATTGTATTTACAGTATAATAAGATAGGTAGAATTGAATTGTTATTTATTTCTATGGGTGTTGCTATTTGTATATTAAGCCACTTTGTTCTTGCTTGCTAGTATAGGTAATTAGGACTCATTTAAATTAGATATAATTTCTCATTTTCAAAAAAAAAAAAATTAGATATAATTTCTCAATTGACTAAATAACAAACTCTTTGTTCCATTTCAAGTGAGAAAATTATTGTATAAAGAGTACTGAATTTGAGATTTTATTTATTGGGTGACCGGTGAGTCTATCTATATACTGAATTAATTTAATTTGTTGTGAATATAGTTGTAAATTAATCCATTTATTGTATTTACAGTATAAAAAGATAAGTAGAAAATCAATTTATTGAGTAATATTGAGTACATAGAACAATATATACTACAAAGAATACACAATTGTAGGAAACTATTCTACAGAGACTGAAGGACAATCATAAATACAAAATTCAAAATAGAAAGAGTGTAGGAACGCATGCAGACTTATTTTATGATTAGAAGCCTTGACCTCCACTTATTTTATGATTAGAATTTTAACTACATCAAAATTGTTAAAACTCTAACCCACATATCTTTATAAATAAAATTGTTACAGTATTTACCATATAAAAAGATAAGTAGAAAATCAATTTATATTTCAAAGTCTCAATAGAACTCTAACCCACATATCTTTATAGAATTTTAACTACATCAAAATTATTAGAACTCTAACCCACATATATCTTTATAAAATTGTTACAGTATTTACAGTATAAAAAGATAGGTAGAAAATCAATTTATATTTATTCATTTCAAATATCACTAGTAATCATTTTATATTTCAATTTATAGTTAAATCAATTTAAAATAATGTATACCACAAATTTGAGTTATAAAAAAAATATTAGAATAACAAAATTAATTATTATTTCTCTTTATTTAAAATTAAAACATAAACAAAAATAAGTATTGAAAATATAAACTTAAAAAAACATGTATTTAACAAAAAAGATGTATTGAAAATAGAAACTTAAAAAAATATATATGTATTGAAAATAAAAACTTAAAAAAATATTGCACAAAATAATTAGGCATTAAAACATAATAATAATAATAATAATAATAATAATAATAATAAGAGATTGATTATTAAATAAAAACAAAAAAAAATAAAGATTAATGTTTGACTACATTTAATGAGGTGGTGCAAATAGCACTTTTTTATTTGTACCACCTATAAAGCTATTACACCTATTAAATAAGGGGTGTAAATAGCAAAATGGGTGGTGCAAATAAAATTTCCCTTTATATACGTATGTATACAAACATCTAACTAGCACTCTAGCAAGTAGCAACCATGCCATAGAGAAAAGTTGAAGATGACTTACCTTTTTCTTTAGAGCATTGATTTCTGACAGTAAAATATCTCCCTGAAAAGCAGACAAATCCTAGGTTAATGCTATCCACATACAAATAACCAAGTTTTAACTAAAAATTTAAACTAATAGTAAATTGTTCGTTTATATATATATATATATATATATATATATATATATATATATATATAAAACTTAAATAATCCCAATTTTACCGGACTAATCTTAAATCCACAAGACTCACCCCTAGAGTTACTGTAGAAGTAAAATTGTATGTTTATATTTTATACGTTATATGTCGAGAGAATTAAAGAGACTCGACCGACCTTCTTTCTCATGATGCGACTCAACCCTCCCTCGACCATTTTCTCCAATTTTATCAATTCGGCCATGCCAAGTTCTTGGAGATCTTCTCCATTGAGTTGCCTGGCACAAGTAAACTTCAATTCCATCAGTCTTAAACGCTATTCATAACAAACAACAACGTTAACAATATCAAATGCTTGCCCATACATTAGCTAACAGTTAATCGTTATACCTCAATTCCCGACTCTTCTCTGTAAATTCCTTAGCCAGCCCCGCATAAGTTATACTCTCTCGCTATAAATGAAAACAACATAGGATTTTCGCTTAGTACAAGAAAAAAGATTGGTAGTAACTAAAATTTGTTTTAAATTAATGTCACAAGCAAATTTGAATTGGATCAAAGCAGCCTTCATCCATATATACACACACAAATAGGGATCGTTATGCTGTGCATCCGTATGCACGTATGCACCATGCATACGGATGCAAAAACGACGTCGTTTTATTAAAAACGCGCATCCTACTTAAAAAAAATCAGTTTCGATTCCCCTCAACAGCATTATGTTGTTCATTCATTCTGGAATTTTAGTTCATTGATTATGGATATTTAGACGTGAATCGAAACTGATTTTTTGTCATTCATGTTGGATATTTAGTTCATTCATGTTGGATATTTAATTCATTCATTATGGATATTTAGTTCATTCATTATGGATTTTTAGTTCATTCATTCTGGAATTTTAGTTCATAGATTTTGGAATTTTAGTTCATAGATTCTGGAATTTTAGTTCATTGATTCTGGATATATAGTTCAAATTATGCACAATATAATGTTGTTGCTAGGAATCGAAACTGAATTTTTTTTTTAAGTGAGACGCGCGTTTTTAATAAAACGACGTCGTTTTTGCATCTGTATGCACCATGGTGCATACGGATGCACAGCATAATTTGCCCACAAATAGATGATATGATGATAATGAAAACATACAGTTTCATTAATGAACGGCTGTGATTGTTACCTGGAGACTGGGAGATGGCTGATGCTCCACACACTCAACTTTCTCTATGTGCATGCTATGCCTTGTAATCACTTCCTCCATACTTAAAAATTTTGTACAATAAAGAACATATATAGCAGCAAATAATCAGCTTCTATACATACACACATATATGTATACACACACTCAATTCTTAATTCAAGAATACTAAACGAAACATACCTTTTTAATAATGTTGATGTTGATATTATAATACATTAGTGTCAAATGATACATGTTTATAGATCAGAATACTATAGAATTATCTAATTTTAGACTAAATTAATTGTTACCATTATATTCAAAACAATACTAGAAAATTATCCAATTCTAGACATATTATATAAACTAATCGTTATCATTCGAAACAATGCTACAGAATTATCCGATTTTAGACTAAACTAATTATTATCATTCGAAACAGTACTAGTGATTAGTGAGTGAATTACCCAATTCTAGATTAAACTAGTTTACCATTTGAAACAATAGTAGTGAATCACCGGATTTTAGACTAAACTAATTGTTAGTTATCGTTCGAAACAATACTAGTGAATTACCCAATTTTGGAGTAAAATAACTTTTTTGAGCTACTTTTTCAACTTATTGAAGCACAAAGAGGAGTCAATACCACACACACTGAGGCTCAAACCCATCACCCCTCATTTGGGAGAGTCACTTCATGCATACCACTAAACCACAAGGTCATTAACAATTCTAGAGTAAACTAATTATCATTTGAAATAATACTAGTGGTTCACCCGATACGTACTAGATCAAACTAATTGTTATCATTTCAAATGATACTATTACTCAAATTACTCAATTATAACTTATAAGTTAAACTAATTATCATTCGAGATATATATAGCTTAGTAAAAGAACTCTATAACCTTTTGAAAATAACTCTATAACCTTAATTAAAAAAACAAAAACAAAATACCCAAAACATTATTGTGAAATCGAAATCATGCAAATATGGGAATAATGCCCATTCCCATCTCTATTTTGACGAGCCCACTGCTGGAAATTATGGAATTTTCGACCACCTGAAAATGATCTTAAATCAAGTCGAAAGCCTTGTTCTGACCATTTTGGTATCCGGAAAAATCTTTGTTGCTATTTTCGACCACTTTTTACTTTTGACTTAATATAAGATCACTTTCAGGTGGTCAGAAATTTCATAATTTCCAGCAGTGGCCACTGGTTGTGTATAGAGAATTATATGATTCTTCTAAAAGGTTGAACCCTATGATTCTAAACAAAACTAATTGTTATCATTCGAAACAATACTAGAGAATTATCTGATTTTAAACTAAATTAATTGTTACCATTCAAAACAATACTAGAAAATTATCCAATTCTAGACATACTATATAAACTAATTGTTATCATTCGAAACCATACTAAAGAATTATCCGATTTTAGACTAAACTAATCATTATCATTTGAAACAATAGTAGTGATTAGTAAGTGAATTACCCAATTCTATATTAAACTAGTTTATCATTTGAAATAATACTAGCTTTTCACCCGATTTTAGAGTAAACTAATTGTTAGTACAGACGTACAGTTATCATTCGAAACAATACTAGTGATTCACCCGATACATACTAGATCAAACTAATAGTTGTCATTCCAAATTACCCAATTATAAGTTAAACTAATTATCATTCGAGATATATAGCTAAATACAAGAACTCTATAACCTTGATTAAAGAAAACAAAATACCCAAAACATTGTGAACATCGAAATCATGCAAATATGGGAATAATGCCCATTAATTCCCATCTATCTCTATTTTGACCAGCCTAGCCAGTGGTTGTGTATACATGTTTCCCCCATTCCAAACACCATGCAGCAGCCGGCCGGCAACATATGACGACACACATGTTGTCATTCAAACACTATCCAGTTACTAAATTGAATACTCCGTACTAATTATATAAAAGATTCTCAAAGTAAATAAATACTTATATTATCTGATCTGACATTTTAAGTGAATGGTCTTATCTTCATTATCGTACGTACGTACTTGGAGTTTGAATAGTGGCAGAGTTTTCCGGTGGCGGAGAAGACGATGAGGCCAATATCGACGTCGCAGAGAGTGGAAAGCTCCTGAGCTTTCTTGAAAAGCCCTCGTCTTCTCTTCGAGAACGTCACTTGTCTTGCCGTCAAGTTGTCTATCTTCTTTATCTCTATCTTTGTTCTCACCATTTTTACCACCAATTAACCTTAAACAATTCATGGAAAAACAGCTTTAATTTTGTTTCAAACCACAAATGTAATTAACCTTAAATTAATTAAATTCAAAGAAAAACAGCTTTAATTTTCTGGGGAAATTATGAAATTTCCGACCACCTGAAAATAATCTTAAATCAAGTCAAAAGTCTTGTTCCGACCACTTTTGGTATCCGGAAAAACTTTTGTTGCTATTTCTGACCACTTTTTGGTATCAAGTTGATTTAAGACCACTCTCAGATAGTTGGAAATTCCATAATTTCAAGTAGTGGTTTTCTCATCAAGCTTTAATTTTTTTTTAAACGACAAAAATAATTAAATCTTAACTAGCTTTCTGTAACAAATGTACCATAAATTATTAATGGAAAAATTCAAGGAAAAACAGCTTTAATTTTTCTGGGGTTTTCTCCGAATTAAGATGAAATCAAGCTTTGATTTTGTTTGAAACGACAAATGTGATATAATTAACCTTAACTAGCTAGCTTTCTGTAGCAAATAATGTACCATAAACTATTATATTCATGGTAAATTCAAGGAAAAACAGCTTTAATTTTCTGGGTTTTTTTCTTTGAAGATGAAATTAAATCAAGAAAACTTAGATCCAGTAAGCACAGCAGCCAAGTACTATGAAACATACAGGATCTAATCATCAATTAAACCAAACCCTTATATGTAACATCACCTTAAAGGCAACATATACATACAAAAACTAAATTAAATTAAACCACAGTTTCTTATATACTTATGAGCTGCAGAAATATTGTTTTCTGGGCATTTTCTGCTGCAGAATTAAAGCCCCAAAAAATGGTGGAAGCCATGAAAGATGGAAGCTCAGAAAACCCTAGCTAGAGAGAGAGATGAAGAATCTGGGAAGTGGCTGAGCTAAGCACGGTGAGGGTGAAGATTTAATGAGTGTGGGGAAGAAGAAAGAAATCCTTAAACAGATTAGATACAGCAAAAAAAACAGCACCTGGGAGAGACTGTTTCTTGAGATTACCTTTCGTAGGATATGCTGATTAAGGTTGTTGCTGTGTGGAGATGGATCCAAACACTTCTACCCAATCATCTAGAGAGAGAAAGAGGGGGCGAGGGAGGGAGAGAGAGAGAGAGGATACTCCTTTTTTTAGCTTCCGGAGAGAGAGAGAGAGAGGAAACTCCTTTTTTTAGCTTTCTTTGTTTCTATGTTTCAATCTATTTTTTAACACATTTTTTTTTTTACTTGAGTTGAGGGTGACTTGTATGTACGGAGTGTGGACCTGTTTTGTGCTTATATATGGTTGTATATGTGTGCTATGTTTGGCCAAACATGTGCCTATTGCTTACTAGCTTAGCATGCCTACTTGTCATCTCGCTTTCAAAGACTAATCTTCACTGCTTCTCATGATATTGATAGGGGTGTTACCGAACAAAATTTTTGATAAACTATTTGTGTTCATGTTCAGGAAGCATTTGGTAATTGTTTGGTAAAATAGTTAGCATATAGGTCAATTTTGATTTATTTGATCACTATTAGTCGTTTAATTTGGTTAAAAAATCAATATAAGTGTTTGGTTAATTAGTTTTTTTGTAACTCCAAAATGCTAAAATTTTAAAAACTGTTCAAAAGAACTTTTTCAATTAGCTTTTTGAGAAAAGACATTATATCAATCAGCTATCAGCTAACAGCTAATTTACCAACCAAGACTATGTGGTCTAATAGTACTCGATCGGGTTGGACTTCCATTTGGAACCCAGGTTGGACTTCCATTTGGAAGATTGTAAGTTCGAGCCTTAGTGGAGGCGTTATTGGTTCTTTGTGTTTCAGTAGGTTGAGAAAGTATATGAACAGATACTACATTGTAATAGAACCAGTATCATTCAAAAAAACAACAACCATTTACCAAACAGGGCCATTTGTCCTTTTTGCATAGTGATAAGTGATGAATCATAACAATTTGGTACCAACATGTAAAATAATTTAGAAATATTTTGTTCTTCTAATAATATCTAATATTTGAAATGACATGTCTTTATCAAATTAAATTATCACTACCCTTCATAAAAGTACACGTAAAAATCTCATTAGATACTCTTAAGCCAAACCCAAATCTCTTTTTTATTGTGGAGATTAGTTCTATTTAACTACTATACCCTACAAAGCCCTACATACGCCTTTGAAGAATCTTTCTCCAAGTATTAAATATCTTAAATAGGTTGGTATTTGCCACCTAGTTAATTGATGGAAAGTTGATTAGTTATCTATCACAATCGTAATAATGTTCGAAGGAGGTAAATTACCAATACGGTTAATCATTTTTTTTTTGTCGGATCACAAATGTTTTCAGTTATGATAAATTATAATTCTACATATCGAGATTAATTTTATTTATATAAGTATAATCTCAAAGGTCACGAGCTATAATTAAGTCAAAATAATATACGTCATCTCATCCATTGGTCACTTAATCATATGTTAGCTCGTATGGGCATCTCAGTTGGTCATATTGGTGAAATTTAAAAATAATGATCTGTGATCGAGTCTCACTAGCAACAGTCTGGGACCAACCTCTCAAAATGAAGGATTTTTTTGTGCGCGATAAGCAAAGATCTAACCTATATGTCCAGCTTAACCTATGTATTCAACTGAGTTACCATGATTTATATTATCTCAGATGTTCTGTCGGGACGGGATGTGAAGAGCCATTGAGAATTTGAGATTGAGGATCGGGACAGGATGTGAAGAGCCATTGAGAATTTGAGATTGAGGATTCAACATTTTGAGAACAACAACTTAATCATATGTTACGACTTATGATGATGAGTGGTAATTAATTTTCTTCATTTAATAGTTATATAATTGCATTAAATTATGGCGAGTTTTACGAAATCTCCAATTGGTGGTATGAGTCAATGGTTTTTTTTTTTTTTTTTGTTTGTTTTTTTTTTTTATTTACAACAATTAATTTGCTACTTAGTACTGTTAATTAGTAGAGCTCTTACCTACTTAACTGATTCCATTTGAAGATTTCAACTAGAAATACTTGATAATTTTGTGTTATATATAGGGAAAAGTTCACGTGATAACACATTTCTTTGTAAAAAAATTGTAGAATATTATGATACTTCATTTTGACAAATCAATAGCTATCATCTTACTGAAACTAACTTGTGGCCAAATTATAATTCATTAAATTTAAAATTAATCTAATGACTTTTAAAAAAAATTAATCAAAAAAACATAATCGATCTACAAGATCAACATAAATTGAAGGTCTAGATAAATTCACACTTTTTACAAAAAGGTTGTGTCATCATTTAAACCTATATATTAAATAGCTCGATAATTTTATTTTCACGTCATGATGTGAAACTGTGAATATTAACAAGTAAAATTAGAAGGATCATATGAGAACACATACCAATCTTATCCATAATCCATTATACTGCCAGGTATGTATGTATGGAAGAACATATGAGAACACATGTCCTAGATTAATAAAAAAAAAAGTATAGATTAATTAATATCATACATTCATAAGAGTTTGACCAATGTATAGAAATTAATGAAAAAAATCACAGTGATAGCATTTGAAAATACTTGATAGTATATTTTTGAATAATTCATAGTGCAGTTAGGGTTTATAATAATGCACTTTCTGACTTACATGTATCCGCTATTAGTTATCCACGAGTGCACTATAAAGTATTTCAAAATGCATCAATGTAATTAAGGAAATGTCACTGCAACTTGGGGGTGTGGTTGATTAGAATGGACTCATTCATCCTTAACCAAAGGTCAAGAGTTTGATCCTTGGCTTTGGAAATGGATCAGAGTAACCTTAAATCTCGAGACCAACTGTCTTACTCAAAAGATGTGCCTACAATCCAACGAGAGGATTAGTTATCGTGACCGGCGGTGAGAATCCTAAGCATACAAAAAAAAAAAGGAAATGTCACTGCATTTTTATCATTTATTCTTAATTTTTAGTCGTTAATCAATAATCGATAGACCAGAAGTTTTTTTTTTTTTTTTTAAGAAAGAAAAAAAAAACTTATTTTTATTTTTCAAAAAAAAAAATAGAATACCTATCAATTTACGAGAAATTTCTCATGTGTTTCAAAAAAAAAAAAAAAGGTCTTATGGGTGTTACGTAACTGAATTTATAAGGAATTGGTGGGTGGCAGATATGCTTCCGCCGGAGAATTTGTGGAGGCTGCTTTCTCCGTACAACGGGACCATGCGGCGTCACGTGGACACATTGTACCTCGTATCCCACGTGTTTCCCACCTTCTAATTTCTCGCGGTTTTTCATCTTTAAATTTCTCGCGGTTTTATTTTTTGGCTATGTTATATTATAAATAAATGATATCCTATCAAAAGTATAAGCGCAATATTTAAGATCAATATTATAAAATATATGATTTTTATTAAACAGTGTAATATCTGAATGCAAAAATTACATTTTTAATTGTGAAATATATAATTTTTTTTATTTCAAATAAGTATAAACAGTGTAAATATTAGGTCCTCTAAAAATTGAGACCATGTATTTTTGCTCATCTGGCATGTTTCAAAATCCGGCCATGCTTCTCTACTTTTTTTTTTTTCTTTTTTCCAAAAGGTTAAATTCTCAAATCCAAGGGCTTCTCACGAGTCACATTCCAGCCCAACAGAACATTTGAGAAAATGTAAATTACGGTGACTTAATGGCTCAACAAATAGGATCAAATGCCGGTGCGCACAAGAGAATGAGAGATCTGTTCATTTTAGACATAATTTTCACACTGCGTCGTCGATGTTTGAATATTGATTTTTTTCTTCCAAATACTGTCTACTAAACCATTAAACTCATGAGTTGTTATACCATTGACCAGGATCCACATTGCAAGGTGGACCCTAGTTCTAAATGACGTATAAATAGTGTATTTTTATTATTTAATTGTGAACTTCTAGAATATAAAATATGTTTCTAAATTAAAACATATAACAAATGTATAAGAAAATTTGTGAATACAATACATGGTCATCAAATCATAATATGTTAATATTGTGTGGCTACAGTATTTAAAAAGGAACTTATGAATACAAAACAAGATAATCAATTACGTATATGTTAACATTATGTGTTCATGATATACAAATTGTAAATTTTTGAAAAATAAATTGTGAATATTTAAATTCGAATTCACAGAATAATTTATGAGCTAATACCGTGTGGGCTGACTTGTCATTTCTCCTTTCTCGAGTGTCGGCACGATATTACCATTTCTTGGGCAGTTGGGCTATGCCTTTGCTCCGTATTTCATCGGGCCGGGCCGATTGGGGTTTGTATTGGGCCAGGCATGACCCGTTGTTTACATTCAACGAAAAGTCCACCATTGTACCAGGCCCGGCCCGTTTCCTTTCCCCGACCTTTATGAAATCCAAAAGCCGCTCTGGCAATAAGCATGAGGAAGCAAACGAGTTTGCTCTTAGCAAAAACGTGCATGTAGGGACTTGTACCTTGTGCTAGAGATGATGTACCGTGGTTTGGCAATGGTCATTTTCAGCTCTAGAGCGGTAGAGCCCATTGTAGTCCAGTCTGTAAAGCCTCGTTTTCTCCGTCTTTCTTGGAGAGTTTTTATCCAAACCGACAGCAACCAACGATTTGTCAGCGGCACAAACTAACTTTTTCGAGTACCTATGACATGTACGCATATATAGCCACACGTTATTCCGTGCGCTTCTAGAGCTCTACCAATCAGTGGAATAAACGAGGTGTATTCCCTTTTCAATCTGCGCTACAAGCCTAGATCTCTGCAATGGCTGCTAAACCGCTCTTTCATTCCTCTGCTGCGTTTCAGAAGACTTCTGATACCTCACAGGTATATAATTCTGCGCTTATCCCTCTCCGGGCGTTGAATTTGATGGTTTATTTGGGTTTTTTGGTGCAGATCTCCAGTGCCCAGTTTAGATCCTCGGAAGTTGAGCAAACCCATTTCAGATCATCGAGTTTTTCTAAGTATGCTCCCTCCAAGTTTGAATCTTTTTGTCTCTCTTATTAATTTTCACCTTTTTGTGTTTTGAAGTGACCCTGGGATAAATCTGTCTCGTGATTCTAACCGACAATTAGAAAATGATATTAATTTAAGTTGGTTATAGTTGATCGAGTCAAACTAAGAAGGGCGGGGTTTGGGTGGGAGTTGATTATTCCTAAAATGAGACTTCTTTTGATGGTTTCCAAAGTGGGCAGTAGATTGTGGCATTACTTACAGTAAGAGATAAAGAAAAATTAAAGCTTTCTATATTTGGTAACTAAATCAATGTCTCTTTTGTAACCTTGTGCATTTTTGGAAGCTTTTTGTTTTCATTGGCTGTTTTTATAATTTAAAATGGAAAAGATCAGGCTTTGATTATAATATTATAGAAGTCACCAAGTGCAGACTGGTAATACAGTTGGTAGTTAATGTCAAGTTCACTGTATTACCAGGAGAATGAACTCTTAAAGTGTGTGTATGTGTGTATTTGTTTATATATATATATAGATGACAGGTTTGGGATTTTATCTGAGAAAGTTAAACTTTGAGATGCAGGAGAAATCCGGCTTTGAGAATGAAAACTTCGAGGGATCCTATGAGTTTGACACAGGAAATTGTTGATGACAAACAGAAAACCGCTGTTTTGACTGAAAGTGTACCTGATCTGTTCTCTGAGATGAAGCATCGGTTTTTGAGCTTCAAAAAGGAAAAATACTTGTGAGTGTGTGATCTTATTCTTCATGTTTAGCTCAAATTGGCATCACCAATCTGATTCTTCTTATCCCTTTTGTTTTTTGGGTGGGGTGAATAGGGCTGACTTGGAACGTTTCAAGGCTCTTGCCAAAGCTCAAGCACCAAAGGTATTAGCCTTACGTTTTTTGTTTTGAAGCTTTTTAGATTCTCTCGTGTATCCGATATTTGCCTTATTTTATGGTCCGTGTGATGAAATCCTTATCTGACGATTTGAAGGACAGTTTATGGTGATTGCTTGTGCAGACTCTCGGGTTTGCCCCTCTAGTGTCCTGGGATTCGAACCGGGAGAGGCCTTTGTAATACGAAATGTCGCAAATTTGGTGCCTCCCTACGAGGTAAGGCATTTACTTCTTATGGCACACATCATGCTATAGTTGATGAAATGTCTATTTTGTGAAATAAATATATGCATTTGTCTGTGCAGAATGGCCCTACCGAAGTAAATGCCGCTCTTGAATTTGCTGTTAACTCTCTCAATGTGAGTAAATTCTGCTGACCGAATCTACTGTCTTGCTGATCTGCCTGTTTCGACTTTTGTGGCTTTTTGAAATGCTGTATTATGCACTATCTGTCGGTGGTTGGGTAATAAAACGTAACAACTTTGAAATCTGCATATGAGAGAACGGTTATGAAAATTCTTTAATTGAGAATTGACATATAATAGTCGGAGTACATAGAAGTTTGACACAGCCAAAAGAAAGTTTTCTTGATCGTAATCGCGAAATAACAGAAATACATAGTAATCTAGTATGCTAGAGCCATCTTGATTATCTATGAATGATGGAGAATCTCTGATCATACAAATTGTCATTTTTTCTTTGATGTTTTTTTTTGTGTGTGTGTGTGTGTGTGTGTGGGGGGGGGGATTTATTATTGTTCATGTGCGGGTGACTTGTAGGCTCTGTTTGGCTGAGCTTATTTAGGAGCTTATAGCTACTAGCTAGTAGCTTCTTAACTTTTTTTCTATCTTTATCCTTATTATTTATCCTTATTATTTTAAATAGATGACATCCGTTATTCCTCCCAATTAAAACTCTTTTGGCATTTTCCTATGAAGATTCCTTTTTAGTTTTTTACATTTATCAGCTTATCAAAAAGCTAATTTTACCAAATACTTTTAAGCATAATCAGCTAACTTTAACAACTATTCAGTTTTCCGCTTCTAGCTTATAGCTTTCCAGCTACCTTTTCAGCTAGGTTTGCCAAACATAGCCGTAACGTATCAAAAAACTCGAAAGTGTCAAAAATCTCGGTATATGTTTCAATGTTTGGCTTGGTCTCTGCAGGTGGAAAATATACTAGTCGTTGGCCACAGCTGTTGTGGAGGCATCCGCGCCTTAATGAGTATGGAAGATGAGATGAATTCTAGGTCTGCCGAGTATTATTCTTCTAGTTCTGTTCTTCTCCCCTCTCCCTCTCCCCACGCCTCTCGGGAACAACAACCATAGCTAAACAAGAAAACAGTTTTACGCACCTTCTTAAGCCCGTTATATTTGCTTTGCAGTAGCTTTCTTCATAATTGGGTAGCTGTTGGGAAGACCGCGAGGTCGAAGACCAAGGCTGTTGCATCAAAGCTCGGCTTCGATCTACAATGCAAGCACTGCGAGAAGGTGCAGTTCCATATATATATATATATATATATATATATATATATATATATATATATATATATATATATATTTTCCCGTTTCTTGTTCAGGTCAGTGCAAAAAAACAGCGTTATTTCAACTAATTCTCCGTTTACAGGAATCAATCAACCGCACGCTGCTGAACTTGCTCACGTACCCGTGGATAAAGGACAAGGTGGCGGAAAGGCAGCTCGTGATTCATGGTGGCTACTACGACTTCACCAACTGTACATTCGAGAAATGGTCTCTCGACCACGGGGAGGACGATAACTCTAGCGTGGATAACCAATACTCGACTAAAAATCACGAATTCTGGAGCTGACTTGCTACTGGATTCTACCCATATTGTTTAGATGAATTATATGTAATGCAACTTTGTTGTGTCTGTTTACATACTATGATGTTTCATTGTGGTGTCTTTTACAAACTTATATGTATGTGTGTTGTTGTATTGATGAAAAGATTGCTTCCACTTTCCATTCTGCACTTTTTCCATGAATCTGCAGCTTGGGTTTCTCCTCAGATTGATTGGATTTTATGCATAGAAAGACTAAGATGCATGTAAAAGCAAACTTATTGACTATGGCACTTGGAAAATAATTTTTGTCATTATTTACCTCAAGATTTTGGTAGTAAAAATTCTCTCAAAATTTGGAAAGTGATACTAATGTAAAAAAAAAAAAAGGTTTACATACTAAAAAAACAATTTAAAAGTTGTATGGAATGAAAACATTTTACAGTTTATCACATTACCACAACTCTTTGTGAGAGTAAACATGTATGAAAAACTGTCATAAGATTTTGTTGTTTGTTCTGTTAAACTTTAAATATTATTGCCTACATATATATCTATCACTACCACTAAGTATACATGTATGAAAAAAACTCTCAAGATTTCATTGTTTGTTCCTTAATCAATCCTCGGACTTCAAATATTATTACCTACATGCATATCTATCACTATTACTGTCTTCATTGGTGTTATTACTTGGTTTACATTACCATTTAAGATTTGTATAGGGATATATGAATAGTACGTGCAGTGTAGCTATGTCCATACACATGAAAACCTAACAAATAGTTTCGAAAGAGGTGTCAAAGTGGATGGAACATAATTATCGTATCATGAGGTCACAAGTTTAGTTTTTGCTAACATCATTTCGGTTGAGATTGTCGCATAGGGTATAGGGCAGTTTACCTCTTTATATGTGGAAAGAAAAGCTATTGAGTATGGATGAGATGCCCTGAGTCCCTTATATCTTAATCAAAAGTATCAACTTGACGAACATGTGCACTATTGCATTTCATACATTTGATATTCTTATCACTCTAAGATTAATCAAGAACGAAGTTGGGGACTCGAAGACGATCAGATATCGTCATAGTCTCAACTATAAACGATGCCGACCAGGGATCAGCGGATGTTGTTTTTAGGACTCTGCTAGCACCTTATGAGAAATCAAAGTCTTTATTAGGTTTCGGGGGAGAATTGATGGAAGGGCACCACCAGGAGTGGAGCATGCGCCTTAATTTGACTAAACACTGAGAAACTTATCGGGTCTAGACATAGTAAGAATTGACAAACTGAGAGCTTTTTTAAAATTTTATGAGTGGTGGTACATGGTTATTCTTAATTGGTGAAACAATTTATCTAATTAATTCTGTTATTGAATGAGACCTCAGCTTGCTAACTAGCTATGCGGAGGTTGGCCGCAACATACTACTACAATTTTTTGTTATCCTAGAAAAAAAAAAAGCATGAAAAATTTTATATGAAATATGAATTCAACATGTACTTGGATATGCTCTTTATTTTTCTGGTTGGTTAATTACTGGTTTAGGATTAACGCTTAACTCGAACCGGTTCAACCCGGAAAACCGAATCCCTTACAGACATCATATAAATAGGATCCGTCATCGAGGTCTTGAAGCTCATATTTCGTACTCTCGTCACCAGGTTACACCTTCCATTCTTCCCCGCGAAATCAAAGACTTCACCGGAGCTTCGGAAGTCGCCGCCGGCGAGGGGTAAACTAGTGTTTCATTCATTCCGGACGGCTCTCTGGTTCGAATTATTGTGCCAGGTTAGTATATCATCGGCATTCATACTTAACCAATAATCATACTCCGCTACCTTGTCCCTTTCCATTGGTTTCAATTTCTCAACTCCCACAAAGAATCGCACGATTTGAATTCTAAAGTTCGCATCTTTCATCCTATTCACGGCGAATTCAACTTTTTGGTACCTGATTCAGTTGGCAATATCTCTTCTTATCGAGTACTGGATTGTTTTTTTAATGGGCAAGCACTTGGGAAGATATGATTGACGAGTAAATGGATAGATTGTGTTTGTCTCGTCGTTTCAGTATTTTGGGAATTTTCTTTTTCTTGCAGGTTTGTTGAGGAAACATGGGATATGAATCTGGTAGCGCATCCCACGATGGTCGTGATGAAGGTAATTAATATTATTATTATTATTATTATTATTATTATTATTATTATTATTATTATTATTATTATTATTATTATCATAATCATAATATAATAATAATAAAAGGAGCAGAAAATCTTAAGATATAAATGGGACAAACAAAAAGGTGAATTGCTGGAATTGAACTTATTCTTTTCCATATTGAATTTCAGTTCTGTGAGAGCTTTATTGCTTTTGAAGGGATGGGTAGAAAGCAGTTGAGTGTAGATAGAATGTAACTATTATTATGGAATTTATTAAGTTTGGAATTATGGCAGCTATTAAAAAAATGCATGAGAACCTGTAGTAATAATGTCATAAGGGTGACTAAGGAGTAGGCCATCAGCTAGGTGAATGGAGGTTAAAGTAGGGTTCAACTTCAATCTGATTTTCCAAGGAGTAGGCTCATCTCTTACACTGTTGGGAAAATAAATATGACAGCACTTTAATCGATTATTAGGGTAAATTATATTACTAGTCTGTAATCGGTCTAAACTCGATCAAAATTATGCAATTATTTCTTCATTAAACTAGGACTAGAATCTGACTCCAGATTTTCCTCCTTAAATCTACTAGACTTTCAAAGGCTACACATTACAAACATCATGGAAAATTTGCTCTAGGATAATGTAATAGAACAACTTCACTTCCATCACATTTGTTGAAACATTGAGATCAATTGACTAAGGATAGGTATTGAATAATTTTTTGTTGCACAAGTAATTGCTAACTTTTATGTCCTTGATAGACTGGATAATCTTGATGCCGTAGTAGTTGTCTTATTGGGAAGCTTGGTTTTGATTCACAATTCCATGTTTTGCTATGACAGATGATGATGATGAATATGAGGAGGCTGGTGGTGGCAACCATCTTTTGGGATTTATGTTTGGAAATGTTGACTACTCTGGGGATCTTGATGTTGATTACCTTGATGAGGTGATTATATATTTAAGTTTCAGTCTCTACTTTGAACCCAGGAGATCCCGTATTTTATTTTTTATTGAGTACTCTAAGAATTTTGATGCCATAATCTATTCATCTATTCCAAACTGTGCCTCACTTTTGGGAGATTACGTTGCATTCTGCAAAAAGCTCCTATTTGATAAAATTTCTTTCCTTAATATGTTGCTATTTAAAAATTCCCAGCTTTTAAAGTTTACTTTCCAATCTTTAGCTGGTGTAAATCCGGTTATTAATGTTACTTGCCTCCTTGAAAACCTAAAATCTGGTTGAGATTTCCAAAGCTTACTTATTTCTAGATTTTCAAAAGCTTGGTTTTTCTCTGGTAGGATTTTCCAATTCCCAAAACTTGCCAATTGCTTAAACATATTAAACTCTAGACTTGATAGAGTGTTAGTGGATTACTTATTAAAAGAAATATATGTGAAGAGGGTCTTTCTGTTGCATGTGTTAAAATAGGAAAGTAGATATTGCAAGTTGGAGATAGAGAATTTATGCCTTGTGAGACATGGTGATTAGAAATGCATTTGGAATGATTGAAATAAAGGTTATCATCTTGTTAGTAAGAAAACTTGATTAAATGGTTCTGTGCACCTAGTTGTCCTATTTGTGGATCTGTTTGTACTGGAATTTGTGATATTACTCTGTATAAAAATGTTTGGGTTATGAGGTGTTCCTTAGTTTTTGTTGCAATCATATAGTTATGAATGGGAGTTCTCTCTTATCATATATTCCATTTATATTATATGAGAGCTCAAAGTATCAAACTATTACTTCCACTTACTTTTCTCTAAGACTGCCATCATGGTTTCAGGATGCAAAGGAGCATCTTGCTGCATTGGCTGACAAGCTTGGTCCATCCCTAACAGATATTGATGTAAGGTTCCTGCCTTTCATCTGTATCATTTATGCAATTGGGTTATATTTTAGACTAAACTGCCTGAGATAAATGCCAGGGCATTTTTCTCACCGATATACTATTGAGTTAAATATTTGTACTGATGCTTATTTATTTACTTATTATTTGTTTTTTTTTCTTTGATTCTCCCCTTTTAATTTCAGTTGTCTGTGAAATCGCCACAAACACATTCAGATGCTGCTGAACAAGGTGATGTTGTGTGCCAGGGAATGCTAACTCATGCAGTTTTTGATTTTCAGTTGGTATTTTTATTTCTTGAACTGATAACTTTATGTCTTTTTGGCTTTTGCTTCCTAATTTTTTTTTAAAATTTTACTTGGAAATGGTTTTTATCAACATTGGCAATCTGGAATTGGTACTTTAGACGCGTATATAATGTAGTGTACTAGTGTCAATTGAAATGAGTTGTGGAGTACTCTCTAAGGGTGTAATTATCATTTGAGGATGTGATATTATGGACTTGCTTCTTCTATTGTTTAGAAAGAGTGAAAGACTTTATGGATTTGAATGGTATTTGTCAACTTTTGTAAGCTGGACCTGATATTTGGTCCTATAGATACATTTTATCATTTGGTATCTTTATTGTGCAACTTGACAAATTGAAATGACTTGTAGTTTACTCTGCAGGTGTTTATGTATCAGTCAGGGATATGATATTGATTTCTTTTTTTTGTTAGATGCAAGTTTTCTTTCTTCTCCTTTTACTCAGAAGAAGTCATGGATTAAAGAAACTTATTAATAAAAGAAGTCATGCAATTGGTTTGATGCCTTGTAATAGAAGGACATGATTTTGCTTTAATGAATATTTTTATCTCAACAAAAAGTTAAAATGTATTAAGAATCTAGAAATTCAACCTTCACTGTTTTCTTATAAGCAAGCTTTATTTTTTTCCTCATACCCTTCCTAGAAGGAATAACTCCATTGTCCCATTATAATACTGACTTTTCTCATTCATTTTTTTTAAGCTAATGTGATTCTGATTGGCTTAGTTTTGTTCTTTGATACTCAAAGTAGATTATGATGACAAGGCGGAGGATGCTGTGGACTATGAGGATATTGATGAGCAATATGAAGGCCCTGAAGTTCAAACTGCCACCGAGGAGGACTTTTTATTGCCAAAGAAGGATTATTTCTCTAAAGAAATTGCAGTAACTACTTTGAACAACACAGCCTCTGTTTTTGATGATGAAAACTATGATGAGGATGATACTGAAGAGAACAAAGAGCAGGATGTGTTGAAGAACAGCACTGAAGGCCAACCTTTTCCTGAAACAGGTCAGATTTGAATCATTAGCTATTGGTTTGTTGATCAATGCCAGTCAAGTATCTATCTTATGATGAATTTCTGTCTATTCCTAGCTGCAAGTTTTATGACAATGGTGCTATTCTCTTTAATAGACAAGGAGAAATTGACATGAGTTGTAGTCTTACTTACGCCCATATATCCATTTATTAATAGGACTGGGTATACATATATTGTATTTTTATTTGTTCTTCACTTCTTCCAATGCTGGGTTATATTGATGAAACTCAGGGCAATGCTCTTTTTCGTTTGATAACTCTGGGGGTAATACTATTGTACCATGGCTCAAATAGTAAATTCTCAGTGCAATTTCACATTCAAATGACCCAATTGTCACACTGTTCTTTTAGGCAAGTACAATCATGATTTCAAAGAAGCATGTGAAGGGGAAAAACTTGCTAAAGATGTTATACCCTCATATTCTGAAGAGCTTGCAAAAGATGCCCTGCCCCTGGATTCTCCTGAATCTGTGGATTTTGCCGACTTTCAGGTTGGTATCAAGTTTGGCACTTTTTTTTTTTTCTTCTTCAATTTGAGGGTTTGTCCAATTGATATTTGATTTCCTTATTTCAATGTATCATTCAAAATCAGAGAGTGCTCTTAATTGCAATATAAAACTATTTGCTTGTTTAGTTTCAATTTCATTGCCCCTACTCACTTTTTGTGGGTTAGATTGTCCAAATATTTCTTTGAGATATGGCACTAGCTAATTCATACTGCTAAAATCCAAATTTCAAATTGTTTAAAAGAGAAAGATGGTCAAAGATTGATTTTTCTGTGAAAAGTGAGCAGCAGGCAATTAAATTGAAAGATGGCATGCATACTGCATTATTTGCTAATTGTAACTTACACAACTTAAGAAAGTAAAAACTCCAGTTTTCTCATTAAGCTTGAATCATCCTTGAAATTGAGAGAACTTTGTTGGTTAGTAACCTTTGATTTGACTGGTTATGATGCTTGACATGATTATCAGGAGGAGTCTGTTGAGCCATTTGATGGTAAAAGCTCTATGCCACTACCAATTCTTTGCATAGAAGATGGATTACCTATCCTACGGTTTTCTGAAATTTTTGGCATTCATGAAACCCGAAAGAAGATTGAGAAGAGGGACCACCGTTATTCTGTTGCAAAAGGTATGATGTTCTTGCTTCTCAAGGGATTAAGTTGCTTCATGCTACTCCTCCCCTATTCAATATCACTAACTAACTTGGCAAGAAACATAATACCTAATTGTTGCAATTTCTTTTTACCATCCTCCAATGCAATTTCTTCAAAATTACTGTTGGGAGGGCTGACCACACTTTACCCTTTCTCGTTATTTCTATGTATATCTTTTGGTTCCCTACTAGATTAGTATTAGGCTTAGATGAGTGAAACATGATTTGATACTTCTATTGGAAAGAGCAAATACCTAATCATTCTACTATCTTAGGAACAGAACACTATAAAATGAAAAGGGAAAAAAAGCCCAATGGTCTGTTGAGGCCAGGACTATATACAATATTATCAAGATGCTGAGGGTTAAAATATCATCAATCATGAAGGTTAACATTTTTTTTTTTTCATTTTTATGGACTTCTACTTTAATTTTTGGTGGTACTACTAGTACATAGGACTCGATAGAAGAGAGATAGAGAGAGGAGTGGGGGGATGGTACGTGGTAGACTGAGACAGGACTATAATATTTTACTGCTATATCTTCCTAATAATCTTTGATACTTGGAGGAGCCACATTATTATATATGTATTTTCATGCCTAACCAGATTTGCCACATTATTATGCATGGCCACCTGCTACTAAGATCTACAACTGGTGTCAATCAAGAATCTGTAAAACTGCATTTCACTTCCATTGTTGTTTTATATTGGTGTTTCTTTATATCTACTAAAATTTCTAGCCTCTGATAAGGTTATTATCACTTTTCCTTTCCCAGAGAAGTACAACTTGGATAGTTCTGAACTTCTTGAAGATGATGAAGAGGAAATTTTGAGAGGATCTTATAAAGACTTTCCTTGGTTGAAGGTGGCATGTGTAACTGAAGACAACATTTCAGATGATGAACTGGGATCCTTTCAGGGGAAAGGAAGAATAGGTGCAACTGCTGATGACAGGAAAAAAGACTTTTGTAGTAGTGCTGAACCAATGAAGTCAAATATGCCACAAAATCTCTCTGCTGATTGGAGTTCACCTTCTTGTCCCAAGTTCTATCCTCTTGACCAACAGGATTGGGAGGATGGAATTATTTGGGGCAACTCTCCAGCTTCAAGTGCTGAGACTGCTGAGAGTTTTGAGACCTCTGGACCGAATTTTGGAGCATCTTTTGATAAAGAAATGGATCTGGAGGCTGACTCAGGAACTTCGGAACTAGGAATTGAATCCAACGAAAAAGATAAAAATTCCTTTATCCACGTTCAATCTGTTTCTGTGGAACCTTTTGGCTCACGAGAAATTTCGGGACAAACGGACGTTCCTTTATTAGCAGGAAGATTTCATCCTCAACTTTTGAGGTTAGAGTCTCGATTGGATGTAAATCAGCAAGATAACACTGAGGATGGGGAATATATTGCCCAAGAAAAAACCTGCTCTGATGCCTTGAGGCGTTTCAGTGAGCTCACATTGCTGAATAAAGATGTGGAGGAAGGATCTTGGTTGGACAACATTATTTGGGAACCAGAACAAGCCATAGCAAAACCAAAACTAATTTATGATCTTCAAGACAAACAGATGCTTTTTGAAATTCTGGACAGTAAGGATAGCACCAGTCTTCAGCTTCATGCTGGTGCAATGATCACTACCGGTTTGGGGAAGCCCAATGTGGGTGATTCTGCTGAGTTACTTCATGGAGGTCCTACAGGGCGTTTCAATATTGCCAATGACAAATTTTATTCAAACAGAAAATCTTCACAGCAATCAAAATCACATTCAAAGAAGCGCACTGCTCATGTTCTCAAAGTTCTGCATTCAATTCCAGCTCTTAAACTAGAGACTATGAAGGCAAAGCTAAGCAAGTAAGGGCTATTGTTTTCTTCCAAATTTAGGATTTAAGTGCTGGATCTCCTTTTTACCCCCCCTGCATTATTGTTAACTGTCAACTTCTTTTACTTGGTGCTATGTGCCGCTAATGTTTTTACTTTGTGCGTAGTTATTTATTTTTGTCTATGATGCCACAATGTGATACATATTAACATGATTTTTAACTAAAATAATATCAAAGTTGAACCTCTTACATCTTCCTGCATGACCCTTATTAAGCTGCAATTTTATTTTAACATCCTTCAATGCAAGAAACATCAGAACCATTTTCTTAGGTAACTATTGTTCTCTCCTCATGTCATGCTAAGTCTGTTCCATATTGAGTGCTCTACTTTGCTTGGGCACAAATGTTAGGGGTAGGATTTCAGTGCATCACATGGGGATGGGGGAGATGGGATTATACCTGGCTTAAAGTCTGGAACAAGTTTGAGACTTTAGTACTTCATAATCCTTTGTCACACTTCATGTTTTGTGATTATTTGTGAATGGATGAGTTATTTGTGCATTGCAAATTGTGTCAATCTTCCTTTCGTAAGAGAAGCATCTAGCGTTCCTCATTGCTGTGTAAATTCATTAGCATATTTTTTGTTGCTTTTGCATATTGACGACCTTTACGCTGTTGGCAAATTAAGAAGTTATGCCCTGTAGTTAGCACTAAATTTGAAGTCTTAATGTCTATTTTGCAGTAAAGATCTTGCTAATTTTCATCGGCCTAAAGCTCTATGGTATCCCCATGATAATGAAGTGGTGCTCAAGGGACAATGGAAGCTGCCTACACAAGGACCCATGAAAGTCATATTGAAGAGTTTGGGAGGCAAAGGAAGTAAACTTCATGTGGATTTTGAGGAGACTGTCTCTTCACTTAAGGCAAAAGCGTCAAAAAAGTTAGGTTGGTAGTATCTTAATTTTTAAGTATGTTTGAAGCTTTTAGAGTCCACATTTAATTACCTTGCCTTTGCAGATTTTAAACTCTCTGAGCCAGTAAAAATATTTTATTCGGGGAGGGAGCTTGAAGACGATAGATCTCTTGCTGAACAAAATGTTCAACCGAACTCCTTGCTGCATCTTGTTCGCTCAAAAATATATTTGTTGCCTAGGGCACAAAAGCTTCCGGGTGAGAACAAGTCTTTGCGTCCTCCTGGGGCTTTTAAGAAGAAATCTGATCTTTCTGTGAAAGATGGCCATGTTTTCCTGATGGAGTAAGTTTCCCATAGTCCTTTAGTTTTTATTTATTGGATTGCAAAATTGGCTTCTTTGTTCCATGCACATTTTGCTCTCACAATTAAATTTTTATTGATGACTCTTAGTTTATTGTTATGGAGTATTTGTCAGATTTAAGGCCATAAATTGATGGTAGTTGCTTGCAAAAACAATATAATATCCTACTTTTTCTTTTGACAAATATGTTAATATATTTTAGTTCTCATATACTGGACTTAAAGATTGTTGTCTGAATATGCAGATACTGTGAGGAGAGGCCTTTGCTCCTAGGAAATGTTGGAATGGGTGCAAGATTATGTACCTACTACCAAAAATCAACTCCAAATGATCAAACAGGTGTATTGATGCGCAATGAAAACAACAATTTGGGGAGTGTCCTCATTCTTGATCCTGCTGATAAATCACCTTTTCTTGGAGACATAAAACCTGGTTGCAGCCAGTCGTCCCTTGAGACTAATATGTACCGAGCACCTATATTTCAGCATAAAGTGTCATCAACAGATTATCTATTGGTCCGCACAGCAAAGGGAAAGCTGTCTATCAGGCGCATTGACAGGATTGATGTTGTTGGACAACAGGTTGTTAATACTCCGTGGTTGCTAATTTTGTTTTTTTTTTTTTAAATACTTTTTTCTCTGAATGCTTTTACAGGATTGATGTACTGGATGTGTTGACATTGTCCTTTTTCTCCTTAGAATTTGTGTAAATACTAAATAGTATGTGAATTTTGATCCAATTATCTTCTGCCTAATTATTTATTTGTGTTATTTTTTCTTGCTCATAGGAGCCTCACATGGAAGTGATGTCTCCTGGGTCAAAAGGAGTCCAGACATACATTATGAACAGACTATCGGTATACATGTATCGTAAATTTCATGCTGATGAGAAGCGTGGTGTGCGCCCTTTTATCCACGCAGATGAGTTGTCTGCACAATTTCCTAGCTTGTCAGAGACCTTCCTTAGGAAAAGGCTTAGAAATTGTGCTGATATGCAGGTATTATGCTGTCATCTTGCTTATCGAGGTGCCATGCTGAGCATTTCTATAATCGTCATTTTCCCCCCGTAAAAACTGTTAATAACAATAGGTTCATTAACTGCCTGTGTTCATTTATTTTTTCCAATTAAAAAGTTTTGTCTGTGCCGTGTTTTCCCCATCTTCCAATTCGTACTTGCATTTATAAATAATCTATGTGCCCTTCTTTGGTTCATCAGAGAGGATCAAATGGGCAGCTGATTTGGGTTACGAAGAGCAGCTTTCGCATTCCATCAGAAGAGGAATTACGGAGGATGGTGACGCCTGAAAATGTGAGTATATAACATTGTCTTTGAAGTTCTATCCTTCGAGTGTTTTGTAATGTCTACTTAAGTAATAACGTGTTTTAGCTTCTTTTAATGTTTGATTCAACAGGATTGATTTAAAATACTCTCTAAATTGTCCTCTTTATTATATTGTGATGTCCAACAAAATTTGTTCCACTCAATAAATTCACCAACATTTATAACTTCATTACCCAAAGTACTCTTTCAGTAAAATATTGAAATTATAAAATATTGATTACTTATACATTTAACAATGTGGGCAAATTTTGAAATATATCACTTAGTCAATGCATTAAATATATTTTTCCTGGACGAAAGAAGTAGAATAATTGCCTCAAATGACGGGTTAAAAAACACGATAACCTATAAAATAAATAGATAAAACTAGCAGCATAACATTTTCTATCGGACAAGTTCTGTAGGAGTTAATCCACAACTCTTTTGCTAATTATATTGTACATTGCACAGTAGATAGTCATTAATTTTGAGGACTTGTAGTTCATTTTGATATAATTCTCTCTTCCCTCCCCATCCCCCTTCTCAGTTCTCACACCTAATTAGATCTTTTTAAAGGACAGATACATTTTATAGATGGTTGACATATAACCTGTAAAGAATACAAATCGAGTATTTGGATTATTTATCTTTCTTCTATGGTTTTTTTAATTTTTTTTTCCCAATGATTGATCATGGAGGTTCTCCATTATGCAAGGTCTGTGCATATGAAAGCATGCAGGCTGGCCTTTACAGGCTCAAGCGCCTAGGTATTACCCGGCTAACTCAACCTACAGGCCTTTCCTCTGCAATGAATCAGCTTCCAGATGAAGCAATTGCCTTAGCTGCTGCTTCACATATTGAGAGGGAACTGCAGATAACACCATGGAACTTGAGTAGCAACTTTGTTGCCTGTACAAACCAGGTATCTTAGATTTTATACTTATTAGCCATCTTTGTAAAGCATTTTCTGCTGCTATAATATTTTGCTTATTTTTTGTTTTGTATTACCGGTAAATGATGTGGACTATGGAGTTTTATTGTGACTCTCTGTAGTGTATGCATAGATATCTGGGTCCTGGAGCTCTTTACACTTTTTGTATGTATATACTCCCTCCGTCCCGTTTTATGTGTCTGATTCGGTGACTTGACTGAAGTTATTTACAAAACATTTTTTGTAATATTTAATTTAGTATTAATATATAAAATTTATATATTTAGAAACTATATCAAAAGTACTATTAAATACCAAAACCAAATTAAAAATGTTAAAGAAAATAACGAAAGAAAGAAGAGTTAGATTGACCAATGAATAGTAAATATGACATGTAAAATGGGACAGAGGGAGTATATATAATCAAGATCTGCGGTGTTGAGTTTCATCTGCAACTCTTTTTCATAATGCCAGCATTTTGTTTTGTTTTGTTTTAAGTTCATTTTATTTATTATTTCAATATGAGGGAATTGGCATCTTTGAGACCCATAGGAATGATAGGATCTTTTTTCTCTTGAAAATAATAATTATAGTTGAAATTTTCTACTCTCTGGTAGGGGTGGTAACTTTTATGCTTTAATTCTTCTTCTTGTTAGATATTGATGTTTTGTTCATGAAATTCTTGTATAGGACAGAGGTAATATTGAGCGTTTGGAAATTACCGGGGTTGGAGATCCTTCTGGACGAGGATTAGGTTTCAGTTATGTCCGCACTACTCCAAAGGCACCTGTATCAAATGCGGTGACAAAGAAAAAAGCAGCTCTTGCTAAAGGGACAACTGTTACTGGAACGGATGCTGATCTTCGCAGACTGAGCATGGAAGCTGCACGTGAGGTGTGTCCATTTGGCTTTAATATCAAACAAGACCCAACTGTCTATCTATGTAGTGTCAAACACTGTTGCAAAAATCGGCCCAGGAGGCCGCCTAGGCGGCAAACTCGGCCTTGTTTTTTTTTTGTTTTTTTTTTTTCATTATATATATATATATATATATATATATATATATATATATATATATATATGACATACACCCACACGTGTACATACTGTTTTTTTTTTCTTTTTAGTTAGCCGCGTAGGCCGTCTATGCGCTACTCTAGCGCCTGGCTCTTACTGCAACCATGGTGTCAAATTAGTATTCTTCATGCTTTGCGCTAATGAAAGTTTTTTTTACGTTTAAGGTCCTCCTTAAGTTCAATGTTCCAGAGGACCAGATTGCTAAACAGACAAGGTGGCACAGAATTGCCATGATTCGGAAACTGTCAAGCGAGCAAGCCGCTTCGGGTGTAAAGGTTGATGCAACAACAATAAGCAAGTATGCTCGAGGTCAGCGTATGTCGTTTTTGCAATTGCAGCAGCAGACGAGAGAAAAATGTCAGGAGATCTGGGATCGGCAGGTCCAAAATCTTTCTGCGGTTGATGGTGAAGAAATTGAGAGCGATGCAGAAGTAAATAGTGACCTAGATTCCTTTGCTGGAGACCTCGAAAATCTTCTTGACGCAGAGGAATGTGAAGAGGGCGATGAGGGTGCTTGTGATTTAAAGCATGACAAAATAGATGGTGTCAAGGGACTCAAGATGAGAAGGCGCCCATTTCAAGCTCAGTTGGAAGAGGAAATCGAAGACGAGGCTGCTGAAGCTGCAGAACTGTGCAGGATGCTCTTGGATGGTATGGAGTATTCTTTACAGTTTTTGGTGTTTGGGTTTGGGGGGGGGGGGGGGGTGGGTGTGTGGGGGTGGGGGGGGGCACAAAAATGAAAACGAAGTATTGGCTAAGGAAATGAAGTGCATTTTTGTACGACATTTCTAGTCATTCCGTTTCGTTTAACATCTTTGATAAATTTCTCTTGTTCCATGTGATGCAAGCTGGTACCCGTTCTTTTGCAGATGAGGAAGCCGAACGAAAGAAGAAGAAAAAGGAAAAATCTGTGGGGGAGCGAGTTGGGGCTCCAGAGGCACAATCGCGGTTTGTTATGGAAAATACCGAACGTGGAAAGAAAACCAGTGTGACTACTAAAGCAGTCATCAAACCTGATGTGTTGAATGCATTTAAGGAGGATATAGCTGGGGATCAGAGTGAGGTGCAAAAAAAAAAACAAAAAAAAAAAAGCAATTCTGCATTTCTGATTAGAGGATTTTAAACAAAATGTTTGTTAAAAAAATGATCGAACATTTTCTTATTTTGATTTTCTGGATGTAGGCTGATGGTTTAGTTGCGAAAAGGAGCTTTTCTAGCAAGGTAAAACCAAAGAAAGGTAAAATCGTCGATGTTGCGGAGCCGGGATTACTCAAAAAGAAAGTTAAAATACTGGCTGATGGAATTCAGGTAAATATGTCCCGAGATTTGTGTATCATTTTTTTTTTTTTCGTTTGTGGTCACACTGGGGAGTGTCCTAAAAATCGTCGATCCCCTGCTGCCTTTTTTGATTTAACCCTGGCTCTCGGATGCCATATTTTGTTGCATAGTTGAATACAATTGATCATACAATTGCTCGTTTCAACTTACGTTTGATTTTACATGGGATGACGATATAATTTGAATAATTTTCCCTGGAATAGAATGTCAAGGAGAAAAAATCGGCACGAGAGAGTTTTGTCTGTGGAGCTTGTGGTCAGGTATATATCCAAAACGCCAAATTTGTCTATTTATTAAGGTGCCAAATTTCTCGGTTCGCTAATGTTGTTATACATTATCAGCTTGGCCATATGAGAACGAACAAGCATTGTCCGAAGTACGGGGAAGATTTGGTGGAACCACGACCCGAAAATGCAGATCCCGAGAAGGCGTCAGCAAAACCTACCTCGTCGGAGCATGCAGATCCGCCCCAGCCGAAGCCCCCGATGAAGAAGATCGTACAGAGAAGCGCAACGAAGATAGCGGTGGTCGAGACTCAGGACGATGAAAAGTCTAGCTCGAAGGCTAAAGTTCTGAAGTTCAAATGCGGTTCGACCGACAAATTGCCCGATAAACCCACCCCCGCCACCTCGCTGAGTTCCGATAAACCGGCAATGTCAGATGGCGAAACTGGGTCCAAGTCCGTCGTGAAGCTCAATAAGTTGAAGTTTTCTAACAACATGAAACAACCCGTGGAAGAGACTGCAGTCGAGTCACGCAAACCCGCCATTCTAATAAAACCGTTAGTCGAGGCTGGTGATAAGCCACGCAAGAAGATTGTGATCCGACAATCGAAGGACTCTTCTAACGCTGAGGATGTCAGCCAGGAAGGTAGCAGCGGTTTCGAACATAGGAAAATGAAAAAAATCGTCGAATTGTCGTACGCTGACATGTATACGGATCAGGGAAGTTATCATTTCTCCGAAGAGGCATCGAGGAGGAAAAGCATGCAGGCTAAGCAGAGGCAATGGGAGGAGGAAGAAAGGCGGAGAATGGTGGAGAGAGAGAGAGAGGAAAGGAGGATGTATGAGCAACAGAAGGCATTCGAAGAACAAGAGAGATTATCGGAAATTCGAAGATACGAAGATAGTTTAAGGAAAGAGAGAGAAGAAGAAGAACGCCAAAGGGCAAAAAAGAAGAAGAAACAATTCCAGCCAAAACCCGAAATCAGAAACGATTACTTGGACGATTTTCCTCCTAGGAAAACCGACAAAAGGATCCTGGATCGAGAGAGACCATCAAAACGAAGACTAGATCCTGAGTTGGGGGGAAGGCATGGCTTGGAGTACACGCCATCCACAAAGCGTCGAAGAACGGGAGAGGTTAGCACTTGCTATTTCTCTCTCTCTCTGAACTAGGGGTGTAAACGAGCCGAGCTTGAGCCTGGGTAGGCTCGAGCTCGAGCTCGTTAATGGAGGCTCGAGCTCGAGTTCGATCGAGCTCAAGAACTGATGCTCGAGCTCGAGCTCGGCAATTTTCGAGCTCGAACTCGATCTTGAACTTGAGTTCGAGCTTGATCTTGAACTTTTTATTTGTTATTTTTATATATTATAATATTATAATTATATTATGTTATATTATATATTATATATTATATATTATAAATATTATATATTATACAGCTTGCGAGCGACTCGGCTCGAGCTCGATTATCAAACGAGCTGCTCGAGCTCGATTTTGACCGAGCTCGGCTAGACCGAGCTCGAGCCGAGCTTTGACCGAGCCGCTCACGAGTGGCTCGCGAGCGGCTCGGCTCATTTACACCCCTACTCTGAACAGCATAGTAAAAGATAATTTTTACCCAAACTGTGCAACCGTTAATTTTTCCCGACATTCTGACACCAATCATTTACGAGAGAGTATTACATCAAGAATTGACAAGCGGATGAGTTTTAATGGTATCCCGCCAAATTTGATTGCAGGTTGGCTTGTCAAACGTCTTGGAGGGGATCATCGAGACTTTGAAGGGAAGGAAGGAGGTATCGTTTCTCTTCTTGAAACCAGTGACCAAGAAAGAGGCTCCAGACTACCACAAATATGTAAAGCGCCCCATGGATCTCTCCACGATCCGGGAGAAGGCAAGGAAGCTGGAGTACAAAAACCGTGACCAGTTCAGGCATGACATGGCACAAATCGCCATCAACGCACACCTGTACAACGATAATCGCAATCCAGGTATTCCTCCCCTCGCAGATCAGCTTCTGGAGATCTGCGACTTCCTGTTGATGGAACACGATGCCTCATTGTCAGAAGCAGAAGCCACTATGGGTACTTAGAGACTAACTTCATTAACGCTCTCCCCTCTCCCCTCTGATCCCTAGTCCCATTTTGCAAGGACATGTTTTTCACCCACCCCCCGTGCCGCCCCCCCAAAAAAAAAAAAGTAAAAAAGAAAAAAAAAGATATATTTAAGAACCTGTCACAATATTGATAGCTTGTGTCTGTTGTATAGAATTTCATCTTAGGCAAAACGCACTTCTTTCCTATTGATGCTGCACCATGCATGCCCAAAATGTGAAAAGTGTTCAAAGTGATTAGACTGATTGTTCATTTTGAACGAACTAATTATTCATTTTTTTTTTCTTGAAATTGAGGGATTGAAAGGTTTGGCCTTTAGCCCCCGGCTTGCCAATTAGACAGAAGCAAAATATGTGAGCATTTTGAACGCCAATTAGGCGGTTTTGATTTTTGTTGCAATTGTCAATTGAGGGATTGAAAGGTCATAGTCACCACTTGTCAGGAAGTAAAATATGTGAAAAACCAAAGAAGAGAGAATTGAAATTGATATATTAATAATGGGAGTATTTGATAAATAGATGCTAGCTGTTTAGGTTAGGAAGTTTGATTAATTGATAACATTTGCTGATTTTGTAGAAAAGTGTTTGGTAATTAAATTAGCTGTCAGCTGATATCTGATTATATGTAAAATGGCTTTTTTAAAAAGCTGATTATATCTGATTATAACAGTTTTTTGAATTTTAGCATTTTAGAGCAATAAACTGTTACAAAAAGTTAATTAATCAAATACTCATATTGATGTCAAATCGTTAATAGTGGTCAAATAAGTCAAAATTAACTGATAAACTAACTATGTTACCGAACATAGTCATTATATCTTTTAAATCAATTATATTAAGACTAAATTTTCTTAATATTTAACCATTTTAAAGAAATTTTGCATGTTTTAAAGTAACATGACACAATGTCAATCAACCACATGAACATCCATTAGAAAACTCAGTCGCCGGAAAATTCTTCTTTGAAGTTTCTTCCGTTTTCCTCATTCTTACCTCTTCAAGAACACGTTTCGCCCAATCGGAAAAATGGGTTTCGTTGTGTCCAATCTTGCCGCCTTTATAGATGGACATGCAACGGCGGTCGTCGTCCGGGTAGGGGCAGGGATCGCCGTCGGGGTCGCGCCACGCGCCCTCGTGCTTCATCGCCGACCAGCTCGCAATCCAGTGGTACACAAACTGGCCCACGCCGGCGAGCTTTAACCAGCCTTTGGGGAAGAATTCCATGACGCTGCTATTCTTGTCCATGAAGAACATATTCGTGAGTTGTGCTCCGTGGGGAGAGATCAAAATGTCTGTTGAGCTCATCACCTTCACCTATACATACACATTTTTTAATTTAATTGTTAATGCATGGTTCATGAATGTATATATAAATAACTCAATACAAATGCATAAATGTTCACCACTTTTGTACTGCGGATTAACTCATGATCTTTTATTTGGGAGAGTCACTTCAGGCCACTAGACCAATAGACCACAAGGTCATTATCAGATCTTTTGTCAGAAAGTTGGTCTCAATGGCTAATTTTCATTATAAACCTAGGTTTTTCGATCACTTTTGTACTGGAGCATTTGGGAGGACGTAAATCATGGTTACTCAACTGAACATGAACCACAGATGTTAGACCTTTGCTCGTGCACAAGGAGCTCCCCTCACTTTGAGAGGTTGCTTCCACACTGCCGTTAGTGAGACTAAATTTCACCCCTATGACTAGTTGAACTACTCATGCGGGCACTGGGAATTAACTCATGATCTTTCATTTGGAAAAGTCACTTCAGGCCACTAGACCAGTATACCACAAGGTCATTGTCAAATCTTTTGTATCCTCAATTTGAGTTGGTCAGAAAGTTAGTCTAAATGGCTATTTTTCATTATAAACTTAGATTTTCGACCACTTTTGAAATTTGAATCATGGTTAAAAATTTAGAATTTCCTAGTGGTAAGTCACATTTGGTGCATGATTGGTAAATGGTAATAACAACAAATGATTTTTGAATCCTTAAAGTGGTCAGAAAATTAGTTGAAAAGATAACTATAGTTAAAAATTTAGAGTTTTTTAACAGTAAGTCACATTTGATGATTGGTTACGGGTAATAGCAACAAATGATTTTTGAATCTTTAAGTGGTCCGTTAGTTGAAAAGACTATATAACCCCGAGGTTTCAATTCTAAGGTTTGGTGCTTGAACTTAATTAATGTTTTTGAATATCACCCTTTTTGTGAATTAGTGGATTCTATTATTGCAAATTATCAAAATAATAAATCAATGGATATGTATATATATAGTAATATATATATACCTGTTCACAAAAAGTGAGATTGCTGGAATAAGCAACCATGAATCTGCAACCCTCCACCTTCCGACATTCCTTCTCAAAGATCCGAATCACAGCCGTCTCATTCTTGAAAGACCGGGCACCGGTCCTCATGAACATAGTCATTCCGATGACCGGCAACCCGCCGCCGGTGACCTCCGACTGCCTCCCATCCAAGCTAACGTTGCAGTACCTCCTAGCCTTACACCTCAGCAGATCATACGTTTCAATCCTCCTGTCCCGCGACATTCCCCCTTCGTTATGCCGCGTCACGACAGCGTCCTCAAAACACGCCACGCTGTCGTCGCCATACCCGTCGCCGTCCAAGAACCTTTCGATGTTCAACGGCGCGCCGCCGCCGAACGTGGCCTCCATTAGAGTCGTCAACCAAGTCGACATTTCTGTTCTGAGCTCGCCCCAGTGGTACAGGACCCACCTCGCCGGGGCGGCGGCGCAGCCGTTTCCGATGTGCCAGGAGACGAACGGCACGGCGGCGGAGAGGCCGTGCCAGATGTTGTCGTAGTCGTAGTGGTTGTAGGAGACGAAGGTGAGGCCTTTCAGGAAGGTGGCGTTTTCCGGGAGCGCTTCACGCCATGCCAGCGCGTAATAGTTCCACGCGCCGTCGTGGTTGTCGCGGCCTTTCAGGCACAAAACCCTGCCTTTCGACGCCGCCGACGGGAACCTCTGGAACTGAACTCCTCCTTCATCATGCGTATCGTCCATGGCGCTCATGAACCACGTGTGCCCTTCCAGCGGCGCCGAGGAATACCGCAAGTCCTTCAACGGCAAGAACGAAACGGAATCCCGGAGTTTTCGGGCTACCAAATCCAGGTCCACGGGTCCCATCCTCTGGCCTGACAGGATAGTGGACGATTCTATCGTCCCAGTGGACCCCACACTCTGATCTAACAAAATAGTGGACGATTCTGTCGTTCTGGTGGGTCCCACATTTTGATCTAACAAAATAGTGGACGGTTCTGTTGTTCTGGTGGGTCCCACATTCTGGTCGGACAAGACGGTGGAGGAATCCAGATATTCTTTACTGCAGATAATATTATCACCATTGCGGTTAAGATTAGTGGTAGTGGTGTTGGTGATGAGGCTTTCCCACCGGCGCACGAAGGCGGGCCACGGCGGCCGTGGGGACGGGGAAGGGGTTTGCAAGGAATGGATTTGGAAGAGGATGAGAAGAACGGCGCAGGTGGCGACTAGGTAGATGGAGAGCTTCGGAGAGAAAAAGGTTGTGATCCGATGATGTTGTTTCATTGTGTGGTTGAAGCTCGGAGAAGAAGAAGAAGGTGATGTTCTAGCAATAGCTATGGGTGGCGAGCTTTCATTAATGGAGGATGGGAGATTATGGGGATGTGACTAAAAGAAATTGATTTTTGATTAAAGTATGAGTAAGAAATGATTGAAAAAGCTAGGGTTATGTTGGTGTGACATAGACGAAACAAAAAACAAGAATAATGCAGAGGAAGGGTCAACCTGCATGCATCTTTCACTGAAATTCAGCTTAAAAAGTTGTAATATGTTTATTGTTTACTCACTTTATTTGATATCTAAGGAATGTATGTGGACTGCATGCACTCCTTCAATTCCCTCATAGGCTGGTTGAGCACATGAAACTTGAAGCATCCTTAAGCAATTCATCAAAGATAGATAACATAAAAAATTAGATTTTTTAGAAAACCTCAATAAAATTGGTTATACCATGGTTTGGTAAGTTCGATTCCCAGTGAGAGCGGTTTCTTGGTTTTTATGGTTAAAAATCGGTCAGCTATGAATATCATTAAAATCAGTCAATTATGAATAACTTGGGCTGATTTATCTCACTATGACCTTTTGTGTTACCAGACATAGTTTATCATCTCATGCATACCTTCGGATAATGGCTGTGAATTTTTCTCGTCATTAAAAAAAATTACTTTTTTTTTTTGTTCAAATTAAAAGCAAACTCAAAAGATTTTTAAAAATCATCAAAATTATATGTCTATAAGTCACATAACACCAATATTCATGGGGCAATATGTAGGGTTTTTTTGCCAAAACTTGTAAACCAAACACACCTGAAGTCATGATCGACGCTATCTAATCTGGGTATCTATTAGTTTCATGACGCCATCCCGTTTAGGTATTTATTATTAGTTTCATGATGTATATAATCTAAAAACAATATGAGTGTTGACAAGTAATTCATTGCAGGAGGGCAGCTTAGCCTAATAAGTAATAACCTTGAGATACTTATCAATTATCATGCTATTTAGTGGTAAAAATTAGTGTTAATTACGCTAGTTTAATTAAGCTTAGGGCCCCGGAACATTAATTATTCATCAAATCAAATACTTTTTCAAATTGAAGCAAACAATTATTTAATTTTTGGTTGTCAGCACTGGGTCAATCTATGATTCTATCATCACATGGGTGTGGTTTACTCGCTTTGTGTTGGTGGAAAATATATAATGCAAGAATGTCAGAAGTGGGATTTGAACCCACGCCCTCTTACAAAGACCAGAACTTGAGTCTGGCGCCTTAGACCACTCGGCCATCCTGACTTTATGTGAAAGTTTTGGACATAAAGTATATTAATGATAAATTTTGATTTGGCCATTTCCCAAACCCATACATATACCATCTTAGTTCAAAACTCGATGAGCAGGTGAAGTAAGATTAAAAGTTTAATTGGGTAAAAAAGTTTTAATCTGATAAAATTAATCGAGGATCAAATTTAATCAATTATAAAATCAATAGTTGATGATTTATTTAGTTAAGAGTTAATTATCGAAATAGTCCCTTGACTATATCGAAATTATCAATTTGGTCTTTGACTATTTTTTGGACCAATTAAGTCCTTCAACTTTAAAAATCTTAACCAACTTGGTCCTCAGTTTGTTTGACTGTTAGTCAACCGTTAACTTGGGACCAAATTGGTAATTTCGCTATAGTCAAGGGACCATTTCAATAATTAACTTTAAGAGTGGGCAATTCAGTTCAATTTTCTCGAAACGAACCGCACCGAACCGAACAACCGAACGGTATTGAATTCTTGTATACCGAACGGTATTCGGTTCGGTTTAATTTACTTTTATTATTATTATTATTATTATTATTATTATTATTATTATTATTATATTATTATTATTATTATTATTATTATTATTATTATTATTATTATTATTATTATTATATTTTTAAAAAAATAAAATCAACCGGTATTCGATTCGATTTAATTTTTTACCGAACAATTCGGTTCGGTTTTTTATCGAACTGTTCGGTATACAAGAATCCAATACCATTCGGTACGATTCGTTTCAGTTCGGTTCGGAAAAATTGAACCGAATTGTGCACCCCTAAAGTTAATTACTAAAATGGTCTCTTGACTATAGCAAAATTACCAATTTGGTCCCAAGTTAACAGTTAACTAACGGTCAAACAAACGGAGGACCAAATTGGTTAAAAATTTTAAAGTTGAGGGACTTAATATAATTGGCCAAAAAAATAGTCAATGACTAAATTGGTAATTTCGTTATAGTCAATGAACCATTTCGATAATTAACTCTTTAGTTAAAATTGATAATTGAGAACCAATTTGATAATTACGACATAATCAAGGGACCAAAACGTTCATTAATTCATTTTATAATAAGTTGAACAACAACATACACTAATAAAATTATTTTGTCATTATGTATCAATAACAATAGATCAATTACAATCACATCTCAATAAAAGAAGTTTAAACACCTTAAAAAAATATTCTAGTGAAAATTGAATTGTTTTCCTAATTATTCAAACTACAATAATAAGTGTATTGATATTATATTATATTCCTTATATATAGTTAAGAGGTAGGGAGGGATTTCATCATCATCCCAACAAATTCCTCATAGCTAACAAGACCATCTTCATCTACATCTGCCTCTCTAATCATCTGCTCTGCTTCCTCATCAGTCAACCTTTCTCCCAAATTCATCATCACATTTCTTAACTGCAAATTCACAATATATACCAAATGTTAGTTAGGGGTTCATTGGAAATATAATGACTTTTTATATGATCTTTTAGTTTTACTGGAATAATTATTGTTATAGTTTGAGATATTCATCAGATAAGTTAATAATATTGTATGAGATATAACGAGTAGATGGCATAAATGAATCTCACCTCTATGGCTGATATGAATCCATCCTGGTCTCGATCGAATACTTTGAATGCTTCTTTTAGCTCTTCTGCTACATCTTCCTGTTAGAAACAACATGTATGTTAATAGCAGCTATATATATTTGAAGGGACGGATTCAGAAAATTATATATCTACATATTAATGGTAACTTTAAGTTTTTCTGTCATTTCATATCATATCTAAGGTTACAACCAACTGAACTACTCAAATCCTTAATAATTTGTACATAAATTTTAATTTTTTATATATCTTACTGCTATATATATATATATATATATATATATATATATATATATATATATATATATATATATATATATAAAGGGTGCTAAATGTGTATATATATACATATACATATATATAAAGGGGTGGAGAGGAGTGATGGGAGTAACTGTCCCCATTATAGATCCGCCCATGTATATCCGCATTCCGATCCCACTTTTAGTTTTATGTATACATAGATATAGCAACATGGGTTAGGTCTATATGAGCTGGTTCAAGTACAACTTAGGTAGTTAATTTAAATACACAAACTATAGAAATTGTCAATGACCTTGTAGCTAAGTGGTATGAAGTAGGTGACTCTCCTAAATAAGATGTCATGGATTCGAGTTTCAGTGAGGGCAATATTGACTCTGCGTGCTTCAATAGGTTGAGAATAATATGTATATAATTTCTTGTTGTTGCACTTTTCGCCACTTCACTAATAAAACATTGGGACGAAATTTACAATTTTAGTACTCCGTATAATTTATGGATGAAAAGTGAGCACGAAAAGTACAACGCCAATGATAATTTAGGGACAAAAAGTGAGCATGACCATCACTCAAGGATGAATTCTACTATTACCATATAACTTATGGACGAAAAGTGTAATTTTTCCAATACTTTATGTAAAGTGCAAATATATAATCCGAATATTGTTTTAAACCAGGCAGTTGAGTATTCTTCTCCCAAAAGGTTGAATCCCCAACTCTAAGGGTCCCACACCCCGGCCCGACAGAATATTTGGCAGGATGTAAATCACAGTGACTCAATGGGTTCAGCAGGCCAAATGTCGGTGCGCACAAAGAATCTGTCCACTTTGAACATAATTCTCAGCCGCCGAGTATTCTAGTGTAGTTGGTGGTTAACCTAACACAACCTAATTTGGACCACTTGACATAATATCTCATTACCCATACATACCTTGAGCTTTCTGGCCATAATATTTAGAAACTCTTGAAAATTCAAGGTCCCATCACCATCATCATCAACCTGGTTCACCATTTCTTGAATCTCCTCCATTGTTGGATGCTCATGCAATGACTGCAGCACAGTCCCAAGCTCCTCCATGCTAATCACACCTTAATAATATATTCCATTTCAGATCCAATGTGTTGAGCATATAGCCATTAATGCAATCCAACTATTAGCTTAGGCTTTTAGTTGAGATGGAATACATGTTTCAATTTAGTATCAGAACCAGACCAAAGGTCATGGTTCGAAACAACTGCGGTCCACGTATTGCTTGGAGCACATGATTCAATTCAATGCAACATAATTATTTCATCAGTACCCAAATACCCATATATTCTCCTTAACCCGGCCACTATACATATATAACATCGTATATACATACATAATATACATACCATCAGAATCCTTGTCGATGAGACAGAAGGCTTCCCGGAATTCGTTAATCTGCTGGTCGGAAAGTGCATCGGCGGCGGCCATGGAAGCGGCGGAGAGAGCAGAGATGGAAGTTGGCATTTAGTAATTAGTGTATATATGGTATTATTGGATGAATTGAAAAGAGTGTTTGAGTTATAAAGAGAGATTTTGCAGAGTGATATATGTCAAAGTCAAACACCATCCATCTTCTGGGGGATTCATTCAAAAATCAACTGTTCAAGGCTGAAGGTTTCTTTGGAATTTAATGAATGTTATAATAGTCAAATACTTGGAATAATTTTGCTAAGTTCAATTCCTGTCAACAAAGGATGTTGACTTCATGTTCTTCAATCTCCTCGTTTTTTAGACTTCAACCCACCTCAAACTTAGCTTCAAATTAAAGGATTTGCATTACATTATTTTAATTCATTCAAAAATGTTTAGTAACATGATGGGCCTTTAATGTTGACTCGTCAGGAAAACTTATTACTTTAGAATTCTTTAACGTGACGCACTCTTAGTGACTCAAGAGCAAAATTAACCTGGTGAGCACTTACCTCTCTAACATGAGGCACTGGCATTGGTTCGAGGGAAAAGTCTATCTCTTGGAGTCTTTAATATGACGCATCCCCTTAACATTTGACTTAGGGAAAAAGTTAGTCTTACTCTTTAAAACTCGTTAACATGACATACTCCTAATGTTGATAGAGTAGAAAAGTAAGCTCTTTGATTAACATACATGACACACCTCGAATGTTGATCGATTTTAAGAAAAATGTTTCGCTCAAAGTTTTTTTTTTTTTTTTTTTTTTTTTAATGACGCACCTTTGATATTGACAGGAGGTAAAAGCCTAACTCAATAGAAGAGCATGCATTTTAATATGAGGCACATGGCACACCTTATAAAGCTAATTTAAGCTAAGAGCTATATATTAAATTTGTACTTATATTAGTGGTCTGACTTACCAATGATCTAAACGGTTGGATTAATCTAACTTTTAAAACCTTATTCCCTTAGAGTGTTAAGTTCTTTAATATAAAGTACGCTTGTGTTGATACAAGAGAAGAATTTCTCAAAACTCTATGACATACTTCTACATACCATAGTCTATCTTCTAAATTTATATTTAATTTGTAAAATCACTCTATTTACCAATGATCTAAATTGTGGGGTTGAATGGTTGATTAAGCTTTTTTAATTTTCAGGTCAAACTAAACATCATTGTTTCATGTTTCAAACTTATGGTAAAACAGGGAATGATCAACCAATGAAGAAATAACATCATAGAAACCATTGTCAATACTGCATCCTTATTTGGGACATCTGTTAACGATAGATTACTACATGTTTGACCTTTTCAATAAGTTGAGGTTTGGTCGGGAGGTTATTTAAGGCGATGATTGCATTATATGTCTAACCTGCAATGGGGTACGTCAAAGTTGAACCCTTTTGATTGACCTCTTCAACCATATATACTATGTGCATGTTGTCACACAAACAAATATTAAATTGTGTATTTTTAGTATTTAAATTGTAAACTTCTAGAATATAAATTGTGTTTCCAAGTCAAAATATATGGAATTTGTAAATATAATACAGAGTAATCAAATCCTAATTAATCTGTTAATATTAATTGTGTGACTGCAGTATTTGAAAGGAACTTGTGAGTATAAAACAAGATATTCAATTACATATATGTTAACATTGTGTGTTTGTAGTATACAAATTGCGAACTTTTAAAAGGTAAATTGTGAATATTTAATATGTAAATTGTAAATATTTGGACCTGGGTCCACAAAATAAATTTGCAATAATGTAATCGTTAGGCCTAGTTTTCGGCAAATTATTATGTGCTATGTGGACCACTGTCCAAAACGGCATCGTATTTATGTTTAAAAAAATTCATTACTCTCGTACGTTTGTTAGAATAATGTACTTTATGAATTAGAATAATGTATTTTATGTGTTAGAATAATATACTTTATATGTGTTAGAATATTGAAATTTCTAAGGTACGATAATGTATTTTATGAGTTAGAATAATGTACTTTATGTGTTAGAAAAATGCATTTTATAAGTTAGAATAATGTTCTTTATGTGTTAAAATAATACGGAGTATATTTTATGAGTGTTTTCAACTTGGGCTCATTGACTAAGCTTTATGAGTTGAAACTTTATGGGCTTGCTTGCTTCTTGGACCGAGGTTATAGGCCAACCTTATATGGGCTGAGGCTAATTTCATCCTCTTTGATCCAAGCCAAGTTCTCCTTATAGGCTTTTGGGCCACTATGCATAACTTTTATTATATTGTAATTCAATAAGATATCAAATTAGGAAGTCTCATGATGTAATATATATATATATATATATATATATATATATATATATATATATATATATATATATATATATATAGGCTCCGGATCCCATGAGGTCACCTAGATAGATGAAATCATGAGATCTCATCTCATTCATTAAAGCATTACAAATAGATGGGTGAGATTGAAAGAGAATTGTAATGTAATTAAGGTAGTATTTTAAATATAAGGGCAAGGAAGTAATTGTAATATTGTTGTTATTTTTGGTTAGTAATAAAATGTAATATTTTGCATCTGAATTAGAGGAAATATTAATGGTAATAGTTATTATTCATTTTGTTTAGAGAGCAGTAGTAAAACCATCGTGAGCAGACGAGATTGAAGGAGACATATTTTCTGGGCTCGTGAATGGAGACTACGTCAACATGTATGTGCAATTGGATTCTATTCGTATGTGTGTGCATGAGGTAGTACTAGCGTGTGCAACTCCATGGTCGGGAGTAAAATGGACTGATATTAAATGGACAAGTGAAAGTATGATTAACCAGTATGTGAAAAGGTATATGTTGGTGTGTGCGGGAATTTACATAGGCAGTTGCATATCGTAAAATTGTAACTTTATAATTTTGCTTGGTGAAGGCCATTACCAAAATTTTTGATTTGGGTTGTGGGGGACGCAAGTTATGTGTCCCGAAGAGAGAGTTAATGATTGTAGTTGTACTATTTGTGAGGTTTTATGAGCGCCATGTGTACAAAAGATGAAACTATGAGGGGTGGGGGAGGGGTTGTGATGAAATGTGTGCGTAACATGGGTACGGCGTGTGCGTAAGATTGCTATGTATTCAACCAAAATTCTATTTTTGTAATAATTGTTAGTAGACCTATGCTTAGACGTCTGTGCGAATTCACGTTATAGTTTTTTATTTATGATAAAACATAATATATAAGAAGTCGATGATGGGGGGTTTTCCATCTGGCCCTGAAATCTGTGTTGTATGGTGATGTATGCACAAGCGTTGTTAAGCGTGTGCAAGTTATTGATCAGCCACAGAAATCAAAGCCTTCTAATTTTTAATATATTCGTAATGAACTTAAAAATTGTTGAAAGTGAGAGAGTGTATATCCGTGTTTAATTTGAGGCTGAATTTCGGATGTCGTATTTGAATTTGGTGTCACTCGAGATGTTATGGATAATTTTATATTATTATTAAAACACCTGAAGATAAATGAGTGCGTTGATATAATGATGTTGTGTGCTGTAATATTTATATGAATACATATCATATGTTACAGGTGTGTGCGACTTTCCGTTGGCATGCATTGAAGCACTTCAGTTGTGAAACTAAATGCTTTGGAGATGCACGAGTGTTCAGAGTTGGGAATATAACCATACCATCCCCACCAGACCCAACTTGTACACCATCCAAAGGCGGTTGTACTTGAGCAGGGGTAGACACCGCCACGGGGAGAACTGGTGGAACTACTTGACCAGTAGGCGAGCCTGCACCATGAGGAGCTACAAACACCTCCGACGTAACACAGTTATTTGCACACGACATGATGCGAAGACTCCCACTCAGTTATTTGCACACGACGTAACACACCAATGCACTCACCCCGTTACCCTTTAATAACCAACAAAAAAAAAATACATGATGTAACACACACGCCAAGTGATTCGCACACACTACTGCGCAACAATGCACACACCAATACACTATATGAATCCGATTTTGATATTTATGTTGTTAGTTACTCCGTAATTGTTACTCGTTGGTGGATGCATGAATGTAGTGGGTGTGTGCATTGATGTGATGGGATACCTGGAATGCGAGTAGAAGATCCTCGCCTCTGTCGCTTGGATTGGCGTGATGAAGACCACCGGAGACTGTGTTGGAGAAGTGATCCCCGTCAACCGCAGGCAGCAGAAACGACACCGGAGAAGGGATAATAAAACTGGGAGAGGAACAGACAGACAACACAATAAGAAAGGGAAGAGACGACAAAGTAATATATATTTAATCATCACATAAGTACCATAATTAGTGGTGCACAAGCCCATAAAATCTGCTAATCAATTATTACAACCTAATAAAGACACCATAAAAAAGACAACAACACCCCCACATACACAAAAAACAGACGCACGTAGCACACAATTAGGACTAATCTCATCCATCCAAAAAAACAAATAAACGTACCAGATCAAGCCTCACCACCTTGCCTGACAAAGGTAACCTCACCATATTCAATATATATATATATATATATATATATATATATATATATATATATATATATATATATATATATATATATATATATATATATATATATATATATATATATATATAGAGAGAGAGAGAGAGAGAGAGTTAATTGAAAAAAAAATGTTACTATTAATGTATATTTTATCTGGTTGGGTTTGCTCCTATAAAACCATAATAAATAAACTAGGGTGTTGCTATTTGCACCACCCTTTGGTCAAAAGTAGGTATAAAGTATCTTGGAATTGTAAAAAGGTGAAAACTTTCAATAATTACATAGGTGGTGTAAATAGCCAAATAGGGATTCATTTTGCTATTTGCACCACCTTGGTCAAACCTCATTTATGAAGTGTAATTAATAATTTTTTAATTCAAACTTTAATTAAGAGAAAATGGTACTTTTTCCCCCTAAGTTATATGCTTATAGTACTTTTTACCTCTGAATTATTCATGTTAGCATATTAGCTCCCTCAATTATTCTAAAAGTGACGATTCCGCCCCCCCCCCCCCCCCCCCCCCATGTATTAAATTGACATTTCTACCCTTAAAGTAAACATTTTATTTATTTTTCTTCTCTAAACGTAGGGATGACCACGGTTTGGTTCTAACTAAACCGGACACTATAGCAATCGAATTAAAAGTTTCCGGTTAAGGGAAAATTGTACACTTTTTCCCTCTGAGTTATATGATTATAACACATTTTTCCTCTTAGTTATTTGTTTATCCACATTTGCTCCCTCAATTATATTAAAAGTGGCAGGTTTTTTTCCATTCTATGTTAGGTGAACATTTTTACTCTTAAAACTAAATATTTCATTTATCTTTTCTTCTCCAACAAATTATTGTTTATGTGTACGGATGATTATGGTTCGCTTCAAACAATTTTTTATTTTATTGCCAATTCTAAATTTATTTATTTATTTATTTATTATAAATTCTATTTCTTATTTTTAAAATAATATAAATTCAATAATTATTTTATTTTATTTCATTTCATTTTTTCGGTTCTGAATTGTAAGTATAAGAAAATAAAGTTATGTTGTGCCTTCACAATTAGTTTTATTTATCCTATATTTTCTTAAACATTTTTAACCCTAAGAATCTAAGCTCTACTCCCAAGGTTCGGACCTATGACCATTTATTTGAAATGGTAATTGAAATGTCATCATATTACATGATAGTTGGCTTAATCATATTATATATAATAATTATATAAAAACCAATTGTTGTTAAATCAAAGTAATTGTAGATTACTAGTATATATGTCCTCTAAAGAAGGTGTGCATTCCTCAAAAAGAGAGAAATCAAATATAATCTTAGATATAAAATCACACTCCAAAATGCCATTGGAACGTAATGGATTGTCAACTTCAATATGACAGCGAAAGCCTAAGAAATCAATATTTTCCCCCCTTTTTAACTGGAATGAAGTTCAGAAGAGTAATATATAACACGTGTGATTGCAAATTAAAACAAGAGTAAATACCCAAAATGGTCCCTCGACTATAGCTAAATTCACAAATTGGTCCTCGACTTTCAATTTCAACCAATTAAGTCCTTAACTTTGTAATTTTAACACAATTTGGTCCTCTGTCTATTTGATCGTTTGTTGACTGTGATTTTTGATGATATATATGTAATTTCATGGTCCATCGTCGATTTTTTAAGGTTCCGGTTGCATTTCCAGACCGCACTGTTACATTTGAATCCACTGCCGAAAGCAATCTACCAAATCCGGTCGCCTTTCTTCATCCTCCCTTTGGATTCAATGTAGTTGAGTTCAAACCAGAGTGAAGAAGACGACGTGTTTCCGAACCGGTGCAACTTCATCCTGGAAGCCTCCACATGCTCCAACGAGAGCTGAAGGTTCTTCTAGAGGTTGTTGATCACGGTCAACAAACGGTCAAATAGATGGAGGACCAAATCGTGTCAAAATTGCAAAGTTAAGGACTTAATTGGTTGAAATTGAAAGTCGAGAACTAATTTGTGAATTTAGCTATAGTCGAGGGACCATTTTGGGTATTTACTCTTAAAACAAACTCCCTTTGGATTTGCTTACGATTCAGAACCGAAAAAATAAAATACAATAAATTAATTATTAAATTTATTTTTTTAAAAAATAAGAAATAAAATTTATAATAAGTAAATAAATTTTGTACTGGCAATAAAATAAAAAAAAATTGTTTGAACTCAACCGTGACCATCCGTACATATAAACAATAATTTGTTGGAGAAGAAAAAATAAATGAAATATTTAGTTTTAAGGGTAAAAATGTCTATCAAACATAAAAGGAAGAAAACATGCCACTTTTAATATAACTAGGAGGCAAATGTGGATACATGAATAACTAAGAGGGAAAAAATGTTAAAAGCATATAACTTAGGGGAAAAAGATTCATTTATAATAAATATTTGTTAAAAAATAATGTTTGACTAAAATTAATGAAGGTGGTGCAAATAGCAATTTTCTATTTACACCACCTAAAAGTTATCACACCTATTAAATAGATGGTGTATATAACAATTAGAGTGGTGCAAATAGAATTCCCCATAAACTATTACTATTGATGGGCTATACCTACTCGGCCGGTTTAGTTGTTCGACTTGCGCCACTAGATATGTATAATTCGGTTGTGACAAAGGAAAAGAGTGATACTTCAGGTTAAGCGCAATTGTGTTAATTGATTGCCCTGACAACAGGGATGGAGCCAGAAAATTATTTAAGTGGGGGCGAAGTTTAAACGACGTTAGAAATGTCAATTACAAAATATTAAACAACGATAATAAGGTTAAAATACAAAACATATTATAAATTACAATAGAATGTTTTTGATAGATTACACCATAGCTAGAGTCGAAATAAAAAATATAGTTGAGTGGGGTGAAAATGTGAAAATATTTATAACGAAATATGAAATATAATCAATTAGATAAAATAATTTGAATAACACTATATTCATAAATACTTTTTGATTTTAATTTTTTTAGTTAGATCAACTTTAAATTTTTCTAATTAATTCGAATACAATGAAGTATAATATAAACTTGTATACTACATTAATTAAATGATTCATAAAAAGTAAACTAAAAAGAGCATTTAATTTGTTAATTAAATGATTCATAAAAGTAGACTAAAAAATATTTAATTTATCTTGAGAAAAAATGAAAGAGATAAAATAAATAAGTGAAGGTAAGAAAAATGTTGTTAATGAGATTAGAATCTGTGACTATACACTTTTTATTAATTAATTATGGCTAAAGTGTCATCCCGCACCATGAACTATAACGGATTCTTCATGCCGCACCCTCATCTTTCATAAGTGATATTTAGATCCATAAACCATTAAATTTTTTTCACCTAACATTTTTTACAGGTTACCTACAAGTTATAGGTAATCTATGCTGACATGGATTTTTTTTTAATTTATTTTCTAACACCTTCTCCAGCTGGGAATTTAATTAGTAGTCTAGTCGCCCATTAACCATTTGATTTTGTCTGAGATTTCGAGTTTCGAGACCGGCTTCCCTGTTGCAAAGGTTAAGCCCGAATTTCCAGTTGTGGACGATGAGTTTGGCAATTTATATCCTACACCACGGCGCGCGTTGCACTATGCGCCCAGATGCATAACGACGTCGTTTTAATTTTTTTTTTTTTTTGAAATTTTCCGCCCCAGTGAATGGCAGTAGTTTTTTCTTTAAAAAAAACCCGCTGTTCAAGAATGTACATAATGTTATACTAGAATACACATAATGTTATACATGAATGTACATAATTATATAACAAAATATACATACTCTTTTTAAAAGATAATACACAATCTAACATAATACATAATAAACATAAACTTTTAACATAATACACATCAACTCTTAACATAATACACACAAATTTTCTGATTCGGATGTACATAATTGTATAAAAAGAATGTACATAATTGTATAAAAAATACACATAACTGTATGAACCAATACACATAACGTTGTGAACAAATACACATAACGTTGTGAACAAATACACATAATCTCAGCAACTTCCTACCGCGCCTCCCAACACTACCCCAAAACGACGTCGTTTTGGGAGGCGCGCGGCGCACAGTGCTATGTGCGCCGTGGTGTAGGATATAACGATTGTATCTGTTTCTAGTTGGTGAATTGGTCCGTCAGTGGAATATGTCATGCTAACACGGTTAAAAATTTCCCCTTTGAGAAATGCCTCGCCCATACCAACACTAGACCCTCTGCTTCTGATCTTCTTAGCCACCCCTTCTTCTATGCAATCGCTGACGATGATGACACGATGATATATGATGAAAACATATGAATAATCAGTTATAGTTCTCGGGATGACACTTTAACCATTAATTATTAATTAAGTTAAAATTTAAAGTTCAATCAAATAAACTACTCAAATTATTAATAATTTGAACATAAATATAAATTATATATGTATATATATGTATATAAAGAGGTGAGGGACGTGGGGCAGCTGCCCCAATACTAGCTCTGTCCTTGCCTGACAGTCCAATCAAGAGGATACACGTGTAGGCATATAACAACAGGTTAACTTAGTATAGGCCAAGATATCTGGTACTGACTTCACTATTGTATTCACTTGCTCCAAGTCTCTCAATTACCTGATTAACTCATCTACGACCTACTTTGATAACACCATAGTAATTTTTGTACACCCTTATCTACAACTTACTAAACCCATAGTGATTTTTGGACACTTGCTCTAATTTAAGCTATCAACTATAAATATTGTAACATGCAATGTATCAATAACCACATTCACCCTCCAAATAAGGAGCTAAAATACATATATTCTCCTAACACTTAATCCAATCCAACCCCAAATTTATTTACCCTTTTCAATAGAAGTAAATAAAAAAGAAATACAAATCATAAGCTACTAAGCTAGCGCACTTGTTCCTGTCACTCGCCGTCGGTCTCATCCTTAGCAACGTTGTTCCTCGGTTCAAGATTCTCTGTCTCCGGTCCCTGTTCCCCGCGATTGTTGTCTGGAGTTCCCGGCAGGCGCGGCGGCGAGGCGCCGGCGGGGTATTTGACGTCGACGAGCTCGATAACGGCGCGGCAGACGGGACAATTCTTGTGGGATTTCAGCCAGGTGTCGATGCAGGAAACGTGAAAAGCATGGTTACATTTGGGCATAATCCTCAGGGTATCATCTTCTTGGAAGAGATTCAAGCAGACCGCGCATTCCGCTCGTTTCCCCACCACCGCCTCCGCTTCTTTGTCGTACTTGCAGACGCCGATGGCGTCTATGACGGAGGAGTGGAGCCCGGCGGTGCGTATGTACCAGATCGGGTGGTCCACCATGAGCCCGCTGTAGATTTCGCCGCCTTCTTGCGGCGGCGGTTGCGCGGCGGCGGCGGCCGCTCTCGTCGTCCTCCTCCTCCTCGCCCTCAGCGACATCAGCCTGAGGCAACAGGAGAGCACAGTGCTGGCGAAGAATATCGGGAGGGCGATGGTGAGGATGAGAGATCGCTCGGAGTCTGGCCTTGGCGGCGGAGGAAGTGTCGAAAAACTATTATGAATAACAACCGGTGGTATCTGTGGTATCGGTGGTATCGGTAGTAAAGGTGGAGGCGGCGGCGGAGCATTGATTTCATCATTACCCAACAGTTTTCTACTACGACGAAGGAAAGCCGCCTCCGCCATAGCTGCGCTGATAACAAGTACTAATCCCAGGATCGGAGATGGACAAATCACATAAATATATAGCTGCGGTAAAGCGCGTATATATATATATATATATATAGGCGGGTTCAGGTGCGGCAACACCAATAGTTCACCAAATATGCACCATCAACGTTAGGAAATACACCACACAAAACAGAGTAAACAAAGCCCTGCATCACCAAAGGTGTGAGTAAAAACACCATACACTGTTCGGAAATATACCCTTGGGCGTGGTGAGTTATATGGTGTGTTTTTTTGAGTCTGTGGTGTATTTTGTGATGTTTTATTACATTTCATTGGGGTGTGTTTTTATTACACTGTTGGTGTATATTGTTAACACTGTTGGTGTATTCTGGAATTTGACCGCACCGCCGCACCGTAAGACCCCGCCGCATATGAGCGCTCTTCTATATATATATATATATATATATATATATATATATATATATATATATATATATATATATATATATATATATATATATATATATATATATATATGAGTTAATACTTCCAATAGTCCTAGTATTAGAGATTTAACAGCTGTGTGGTCATTCGAGTTTTAAATGACCGGTTCTCTATATTTTAAAAAATAACTAGTTCTTTTAGGACGTTTGGTGGTTATTTTAAACTTGAAGTTTTGTAGTTCTTTTAGGACGTCGAGGTCATTTTAAACTCGGCATTTTTAAGAATTACCAGGAGTACGGGTGGTTATTTTTTAAAACATAAAGGAAGGTCATTTTAAACTCGGAGTTTTTAAGAATTAGGAGCACGTGTGGTTATTTTTTAAAACATGAAAGACCATTGGAGGTCATTTAAAACTCGGATGATCATAGCTGATAAATTGCTAATAATCGGAGGACCATTGGAGGTATTAACACACTCTCTCTCTCTCTCTCTCTCTCTATATATATATATATATATATATATATATATATATATATATATATATATATATATATATATATTTATATATATTTATTTATTTATTTATTATTGTAATTTTTTAGTATTAACATACATTTTAAATTTTTTGAGGTTACAGAAAACCTGCAGCCTACTCAATAATGTGTACAAGGCAGCTCCTAGGAAAATTAAATTTATATGATAGTATGTATACTTAGCTTCTGTGAAACGCGTAGAGTCTATGAAAATCTAATATTTATACTGCAAAATATAATACTAATCAAAATTTTTAATTAATATATCGTCGATGATGGCGCAGTCGCTGACAATGATGTAGAATCGCGGCGAATGATTCAGAATCGTGAAATTACAAATATATCCTAAAAAATCACGGTCAACAAACTGTCAAATAGACGGAAGACCAAATTGTGTTAAAATTACAAATTTAAGAACTTAATTGATTGAAATTGAAAGTCGAGGACTAATTTGTAAATTTAGCTATACTCGAGGGACTGAATATTTACTCAATTATATATATACTGTAAACTGTGATCTCACAAGATATACTTAATATTACTTTCACTGCTACAAAGTTAAGTTTCATTAGTTTATATTCCTTAGCATTATATTTATATCTAACTTCGGTATTCTTCGATTCCATACAATTGGTTGAAGACGAGAATACATATGTAAAAAAATCATTGTCTTAAAAATAATATAAAACTGTATTATTATTAACGTAAGATATAATGTTGATGATAACAATGGCCTTCGGGCCTCGACTAAGCATTTATTACTCGATCAAAACAAAGCAACTAACACGATAATGTCGACCGTTATAGACCATACGAAGTTAAGGATAGCAGTGGCGGTAGTGGACGACGGAGACGGCGGAGGCGTAGCGATTGAAGGCGATGGAGCGCCGCCGCCGCCGCCGGCATTGGACACCGGAGAAGCGGCGGAAACAGGGGACGACTCAGCTTCTGCGGCGGAGGAAGGCGATGGCGATGGAGTCGCAACGAGAGGAGCGGGAACTGCGGCCGGTGGCTCCGCGGCGGAATACGGCGATGGAGCGGCGGCGAAACTCGCCGCAGGGGATCCAGCAACGGATGAGGCGACTAACAGTGGCACAAGAAACATTACCAGAAACTTGGAAAACGCCATTGATGACCGTCGAGAGGAAACTAATTAAGATCGTAGATGGCCGGAGAGAAGGTTTTGTAGATCAGAGAGCTTTGAGTTGGGCGGAGATGGAGATGAAAGGTGGTATTTATAGGTTGCTCTGATCTGTTGAACGTTCAGGCGGCGAATTAAAGTCGGCGACGATCTTATAATCAGCTTAGGATTAGGATTCATGAAAGAGAAAAGTAGGAGGTGTTTGGTTAGTTATACAACACAACTAAAGGTACATGACGTTCCAAAACTTAAATTCTCATATTTAGTTAATGTTATATGTTATATATTACTTAGTGAATATAACATTCTCCAATAAATCGATCGAATTTCAAAGAGAATGCGATTCTATTTAGACCTTGTACTGTAATGACATCCGGGTTGGACTTCTAGATGGAAGATTGTGAATTCAAATTCAATAAAGGCATTGTTGGCTCTTTGTGATTTTATCATAATTATATTCTTAGAATATATAAAATTATTAGGGATATTTACAAATTTTGTTATTATAATTAATATATTTTATATTAACTTATATATTATGTATAATATTTAATTATTTTCTTATATTTTATTTTCTATTACATCATGTTCAAGTTTTAGTTAATTATTTTTAATTTATGTAATTATATATGATACTATTATCTTATTTATTTATTTTAATTTTAAAGTTTATTGAAATAGAAAATAGGTTAAGTGTATTGAAGTATATATATATATAACTTCTAAACCAGATTTAAAAAAAAAAAAAAAAAAAATCTCTAAACCAAACACGTTTATATTATATACATCAATATTAACTAAACACATAAATTTAACATTCTCAATAATCTAACATTTGTTAAGATAATAATATAATATTCCGTGAACTAAATACAACTCCTTATCGTATTGTACGGTAAGTAAGAAATTGATTGAACAATGAAGCCTTGAAGGAACCAAACTATTATCCTAATTATTAGAAAATACCATTTACCTATAGTTGTAGGAGAATGAGATTAATGTGCCAATCCAATCGACTTTGAATGAAAATTAGCATGGTAATTACGATTTTAAGTTTTATAGTTTAATGATTTATAATTATTAGGGATTTTAATCAAGTTAGTCCATTCAGTTTCGGGCTAGTCATATCATACTATCAGGTTTATTGGTTTGAACTAACTGATTTTCTTTTTTTGTTCGGTTCAAAATTTTTTATCCTAACCCTAGAACCTTGGACTTATCGGGTGGACTCAACTAAAATTTGTGACATTTTAAAATTTCAGTTTTAATAAACTAGCGCAATTTACAATAATAAATATAAACTTATACATCATTTAATCAATATAAATTTATATTTTTCATTCCAACTAAAAATAATTAATATAAGGGAAAAGGGTTAAATAGACCCTTCAAACTTTATTCAAAAGTGTAATTAAACCCTTAAACTTTAAAAAGTTCAATTAAACACTCAAATTTGTCCAAATGAGTTAAATAAGTCTAATTTATCGGTAACCAACTTGTTACCGGTAAAATTATCGACGTTGACCATCGGAGAAGACCATTTCCCAGCGGAGAAGACGACGTCCGGTCGTCTTCTCCAAGAGTTCAGAGGACGACCAGACTGGTCGTCTTCTCCACTAGAGAAAGCGACCTGATCTGGTCGCCTTCTTCAGTGGAGATGGTGACCTCTGGTCGTTCTCTCCAATGGAGAAGGCACCGGCCGGTCGACTAATCTTCAGCCACCGGGTTTCTTGTGTTCGCCAGAATATTTTATTCGCTAAAATCTTAAATCATTGGTTATTTCAAGTAAATTACCGACTATTATTGGGTTTAGATGTCTCAGAAATATAAATTTGAGTGTTTAATTACACTTTTTAAAGTTGAAGAAGTTAATTGCAATTTTGTGTAAAATTGAAATGTCTATTTGACCATTTTCTCTTATAAAGGCACTATAATATAATATTTATAGTAACTGTTTTTTTTCATTTTTCATTTTTCATTTTTATAAAAAATATAATATATGTTGTACGAAGTAATAAATTTATTACTTCGTAAAATTTCATTTAAAATATTAATAAAAATGCTAAAGATGAACTTACAATAAATTCTATGTAAATTTTGTTCAACATCACTCTTGTAACAAATAATTGCCTTAGTTGCTTGGGAAAGTTAACCCATTAAGTTTCGAGTTTGTCTGTTCAAGTCACATTGCTTATTGAGTTAATTTTTTATCAAGCTAAAATATTTCAATGATAACTCTAAACTTTTTCGATATTATATTATTATCGGACCAACTCATCGAGCTAAGATTAGCATCCCTAATAATTACCGAGTATTTTTTAATTTATACATGTATGTTTGTGTGTATACACACAGTGCGTGCGTGCGTGTATGTGTGTGTGTTTGATGAAACTACCCTATTAACCAAAAGATTTATATTTTCAATAAGAGCAATTTATTGACCAAGAAATTTATTATTATTTTATTTCTCAAACATATTTTTTTTCATCTCCCAATTTTGTTAACATTAGATTAAAAACATCAACTTTGTAGACAATTTAAAAACAAAAAGAATTATTTTACAAATAATTGAGGGAGAACTAAATCACTTTGCAAGCAATTAAATGACAACAAATGGTGATACTATAATTAAAGCACAAAAACACTAGAGAGCAACGGTAGGCAGGCAAAAATCACATTAAAAAACATGAAGTGGGTAATTATGTAGACTAATAACTAGCAATGGATGGGGAAAACATTGACCTAAGAGTATCTTTATTAGTTGAGGTTTTTTGTTGATTTTTACGTTGTCATGTAAGAGAGGAGAAATGTGAGAAAAAGAAAAGAAAAAAAACAAATCTGACAAAAAAAAAAGTTATTTAACACGACCAGTCTGATGAGTGGTGTGCACGTGCCTGGTTGGGCGCTTCAGGTGCATCTCACGCGCACCAGGAGACAACTTCCTTTTTTTTTTTTTTTTTTTTTTTTTTTGCAATGGACCTTACTGGATCTGACAAAAATCAATGATTCTTGTAATATCCCATTTTGTTCTCTATCATCTCCCTCTTTCTTCTACATAAATTTGACATTCTCAAAAATCACCCAAAAACCATTAAACTGAGAATGTCTAGGTGTCCACGTATCAGAAGCCCCCTTGTAGGCTTATATATCCTTTATTGATGGCAGATTGTGTTGGTGTGACATGCCTACTTTATAAACTTTTTGTTTTTCTCTCAGTGCATCAAAACTTTTTCCTCAATATATTAAAGTATTAAAATATGAATATGTATCTTATAGCATTAGAGTTAGAATAAGAATACTAGTTGGGAGAAGAGTAAGAACACTAGTCAATGTCAAGAAATCATAGTTCCAATGAATCATTGTAATGTATAAGAATGCCCAACACTTCTTACCTAATAACACAGACAAACAGATCCAAATCAGCTTTCCATTTAACAATCCCTATTCATATTAGCAATTTGCATTGCCCAACTAAACTAACTAAATCTTGAGACTTCCATATATTACCACATTCAAAATCACAAGAATCTCTGATCCAAAAACAATATGAATAAATCAATCTAGGTTAAAATCCCAAGAATGTCAGTAACATCCTTGCAAAAACATTTCAGTTTTCACAATTATTGTTAGACTGAAACTTATGAATCTGGAACATTGGGCGCATTCTTGATGTTGGTTTTGCTGTCGGTTTCGCTTGGGTTGTGTATAAGCTCTTTGAAGTTCAAGCCATATATGTGCCCCATTTTGGCGCGCTTCGTTTCCAGGTATCTTTTGTTGTCTTTTGTGATGGGAGTTAAGAGGGGTACCCTTCCCGCGACTGACAAACCGTAGCCCTTGAGCCCAACGTATTTTGCGGGGTTATTTGTCATCAGCTTCATAGTTCGAACGCCAAGATCCCTTAGTATCTGCATAAGAATATGAGCTCGGTTTTACTCTTATCAGAATCTCGGGCTATGGATAAATAATGATTGGTGATCTCAGTTTCGTTAATCTAACTGGTTATAGAGAGTGATGAAAATTGAAATGCCCGAAAAAGAGGGAAAGTAATAGAAAAGAGTAGGAATGGCAACGGGGCGGGGAGTATACTCCCCATCTCCGAAACCCCAACCCCGTCCCCATCCCCGGCGGGGAATTGAAAACAGGCCCCATCCCCGCAGGGACGGGAATTTCCCGTCCCAGTCAAAATCTTAAATTAGTGTAATTTTTAATTTTAAAAACTAAGGTTTTAATTTTTATATATATATATATATATATATATATATATATATATATATATATATATATATATATATATATATATATATATTTATTTATTTATTTATTTATTAGTTATAATAATTATTCGGCGTCGGGGATGGGGCGGGGAGGGGTATCCCTGTCCCCGACCGGGAATTACATACATTGCCCGTCCCCGTTTCCCGAAAATTTTCCCTGCGGGGATCGGGGACAGGAAAAATTGTCATCCCTAGAAAAGAGTGCAACTTCGGGAGAGTAGAGGCAGCAATTACCTGTGCACCGATTCCATACTCTCTTGAATCAACTGGTAAACCGAGTTCCTCGTTTGCTTCAACAGTGTCACGCCCAGCATCCTGTAGAGTGTAGGCCCGGAGTTTGTGGCCCAAACCGATTCCTCTTCCTTCGTGGCCACGAAGGTAGACCAAAACGCCCCTGCCAGCCGCCTCGATTTGTTGCATTGCAAGTGCCAATTGGCTCCCGCAATCACATCTTGCTGAACCAAATATGTCCCCCGTAAGGCACTCCGAGTGCACTCGAACAAGAATATCTTGCCCATCCCCAATCTCGCCCTATTTCCAAGCAACGCAAAGTTAGTCCTCCATAGTAATTTGATAAACAGAAACCAAAAGGAAACAAAACGATCGATCTTCATCACATTCCAAAGCATTATCATTGAGTTCGGAAAGTTTATCACCTTAACCATTGCAATGTGTTCGATCCCATCCAAGACTGATCTGTAACAGTGGGCAGTGAATGGACCCCACATCGTCGGTATCCTTGCAGCCGAAGAATGTTCCACTAATTTGTCCCTTTTCCTCCTATATCTGCAAACATAGAAACCTATCAAAAAGTGTTGTTTTGTTCGGCATTCGGATGAAGAAACTATATAACAAATGTACAATATACTAGCCAAATAGTTCCAAATAACACGAAAAATGCAAGTTTGATTAAATATTTGACAGACCTGATTAAATCGGCAATTGATATAATCTTTATATCATTTGTCTGTGCAAATTGTCGAAGCTTAGGTAACCTAGCCATGGAACCATCATCATCCACAACCTCGCATAGAACTCCAACCGGTTCTAACCCAGCTAGCATAGCAAGATCCATAGACGCTTCTGTATGTCCGGCTCTTTTTAGAACCCCACCCTTCCGGTACTTCAAAGGAAATATATGGCCAGGTCGGTTGAAATCCTCGGGCTTAGAATCTTGCGACGCAAGAGCCAATATTGTTGTTGCTCTATCACGAGCTGAAACTCCAGTAGTTGTTCCGTGTTTCGCATCCTAAAAGTTATACTATAAGAATAGCATTTTATTGAAGTAGAATCACCCCAACTATATAATAGAGACTAAAGAGGAAAGAGTTAATGCCCAAAATGGTCCTCGACTATAATGGTTTTTCTCAATTTCGTCCTAAACGACTTTGGTGACCCAATGTAGTCCCAGACTTTTGTGTTTTTGCTCAATTCAGTCCGTCGTTTGTTATTCTGTCAAATTGGTGTTAAATAGGGGGACAATTAAGTCATTTCAATATTGGCATCTCTTTACTCCTAGACCTGCGAAGTGCAAAATCCCTCTTTCTTTTATGAATTACTCCCAGACCTACGAATATAAAATTTGATTCACAAGTCTGGAGTAATTCGTAAAGAAAGTGGGATTTCGCACTTTGCAGGTCTGAGAGTAAAGAGAGGCCAATATTGAGATTACTGAATTATCCATTTATTTAACACCAATTTGATGGAATAACAAACAGAGGACTAAATTGAGCAAAAATATAAAAGTCTGGGACTACATTAGGTCACCAAAGTTGTTTAAGACGAAATTGGGAAAAACCACTATAGTCGATGACCATTTCGGGTATTAACTCAAAGAGGAAAAGAGGGGTCGGGGGGTTGAGAACAAGAATATATGAACTGAAAATAGTGTACACGGCATACCACTGAAACTGTGAATGCAGTGCAAAGTTTCTCCTCGTTATCCTTGTGATTCACCATCAAAGGTATCTGTAACCTTTCCAAATCTTCCTCCATCATACTCACACAGACAATTCCAGTCCCGTGCCTCACAATAAAGGCCATTGCTTCTGGCGTAACTTTCGATGCTGCCATTATTAGATCTCCTTCGTTTTCTCGGTCCTCGTCATCCACAACCAGTACCATCTGCAGGATGGATCTATAATATGAAGAAACACTATAAAGAAAACAAAAAAAATCACAGAAGGGCAAATTCTTTGAAGCCAACCTTCCCTTGGCGAATGTCTTCAATGGCATCTGGAATAGATGCAAAACCTTCTGTGGGCTCGTCCAAATCGAATTCATCAACCTCGGCAGGAAACCCGCTTGGTGTGGGGATGATATCCGCCACGAGTGTTCCAAAAGCTAAAGCATCAGCTTGTGTCTCGATTCCCGAGGACAGGTCATTGGCTATTGCACCATTGGAAGGAGACAGCGAATCACCCTGACCAGATAGCAATACCGATCTAGTCGTACTATCCCTTTTAATACTGAAGGGCGCTTTAAGATTCAGCCAATTGAAAGACCTCGAAGGGAACCCCTTGGTGGGATGGGGAGTTCCACCATTCAACAAGTTGAAGTTTTTCGATGCTCTATACAACAGGTAGCAGCCACATGTCACAATAATGAACATAATAATGTCACTAAAAAAGCATGCAAGTCGAATTTCACTAGAAATCATAAAGAGGTGTTTGGTAAATAGCTGTTAGCTGATTGGGTTAGTGAGTTTGACTAGTTGATAGCATTAGCTGATTGTAGAAATATGTTTGGTAAATTAGTTGTTAGCTGATTATATACAAAATGACTTTCTCAAAAAGCTAATCGAAAAAGCTGCTTGAGCAACTTTTTGAATTTTAGCGTTTTGAAGCAATAAGCTGTTACAAAAAGCTAATTGATCAAATACTTATATTGGTTGTTTAACCAAGTCAAACAACTAATAATGGTCAAATAAGCCAAAATTGGCTGATAAGCTAACTATGTTACCAAACAGGGCCAACACATTATAAGGCCATCATAAACTAATACTCCTGACAATCAAGAATGTTTATGAAAAGTTCTTGCAAATTTAAATAAGATGAGTAGAATCTACAAAAATATAGAATATACCAATTCATCCAGCCATTTTTTACCAAAGCTGTTCAGAGGTCCAATGAAAAAGCATCATACCAAACTACTGCGTACATTAGCCCGACACAAAACTTCTCAACTGTAAAAACTTTGATAGCAAATTTGGGCTGATTTACATTCCGTTATAGCTGGGAATTAAACCAACTTCTTGAAAAGAGACCAAATACTATCAAAATGCCTTAATTCAACTGAACAGATCATCTACAACAGAATCAATTGAGACTTTGATTGAGCTAACCATGATGAAGACCTTTTCAATTCATATACAAGCATCCTAGCTTGGTATACACCCAGAACATCATTACAACTAGTCATGATGCTTTTGGTAGTTAGCTTATAAGCCAATTTTGGCTTATTTGACCACAATTAGCTGTTTGACTTGGTTAAACATAATCAATATGAGTGATTAATTAACTTTTTGTAACAACTTATTGTTCAAAAATGCTAAAATTCAAAAAGCTGCTCAAAGTGGCTTTTTCGATAAGCTTTTTGAGAAAGTCATTTTGTATGTAATCAGCTATCAGCTACTAGCTAGTTTACCAAACACTTTTCTACAATCAGCTAATGTTATCAACAAATCAAACCCACTAACCCAATCAGCTACCAGTATTTACCAAACGCCCCAAAAAGAACAAACAAAAGTAAAGATTTTAGTTCAAATATCTTAGTCTTCGGGTAAGTTCAGAACTGGGATTCCAAATATTCTGTCAAAAATGAACTTTTTTATTCCCCTTCTAGATTCTTTTACCTAGTAGGATCACATGATAAGGGAAGTGCTAAAATCAAGAATATTTCACATAACAGCACAGTGTCAAAGAATGAATATAGTACAAAAGAATACATACTACAAAAGCACAGGGAAAACAGCATAATTTTCACTTCAGATTCCTTCTTTAAGAATAAGAATTTGAAATAATCAAAGATGAATTAAGAACCAGACACGCAGGTAAGCGAAACGACTCAGATGAAAAGGTGAAAAGCTTACTGGGAGCAAGAAAGAGCTGTTGAAGGGCAGGAAATGTTGATAGAAGCCATTTTCAAGACTGGGAAAAGGCACAGATAGAAACGATGGATTTGGTGACCCTTTACCCGCAGGATGGAGTAAAGAAACTCGGATTCTCAATTGGATCACAGTTTTTGGGGAAGGGCACGAAGTTTCAAGAGTGGTTGCGGTGATCTTCAGGTAGAAAGCTCTGGCATACGGGTAGGTGGAGGTTCGCTGTTGTCTACTGTGGGCACTGAAATATGTGGCTCAGAACAAAAGCAGAAGCCGCCGCCCGCCAGCAGGCGGCGATCGAGACTAAAACAGCCCATCACGGCGGCGTAAAAGTTGGCCCCCTAGAGGAATTAATAAAGCCCAGTCCGGTTGATTTCGGCGATTCTCGTGTAAACCCAATAATGGATCTTAGTTTAGATTCAGCCCATTATGATTTATGAGTCCACTTTTCCAAATTTACAAAAGAAAATAAATTTTAATGTCAATCCAACTATGGCCAAACTTCCAACCTCAATATGCATAAATTTTAAGAAGTTTTTAAAGATATGACTAGAAAAAAAAAAAGATAGACAAGAAGGAAAAAAAAAAACAAAAAAACAAAAAACAAAAACAAATTTTGAAAAAAAAAAAAAAACTTTCATATTAACGCGTCCAGTGAGCATGTGGAGTGCGCGCACTTAGCGGGCACATAGAGTGCACGCCCCGTTGGGCGCTTGTTGTGACTTATTACGTGACCAGGACTTTCATTTTCTTTTTTCTTGGTGGGCCCCACTATAGAGATAAAAACTTAGATCTTGTAGTATGACCTCAATTATTCTCTCTCTTCCACTTCAGCTATAATTTTTTAAAAAAAAATTGAAAATCACGAGTGTGGTTGCTATAATTCTCATCGTAATCTTCTCTTGAATTCTCATAAAAAAAAAGGCATCACTACATCATGCAGAGATGAATTCATCATTGTTTTAGTTGTGCTACTAGAGTTATAGGAAAGTCAGGATATGGCGAGGTGAACCTACTGCTTAAATGTTTTCCATATTTATCTGCTCTACACATGACTGACGAGCATTTATCATGAGTATAATAATTGGAGCATCATATTGTGTCATTCATAATCTTCTCGTATTAGAAAAATATCATCTAAATTCTCTAACGTTTTGATGGGGATATCATGAAAGCTTGGGAACTAGAGGTTGAGTTTGGGAAAGAAAGGAGGTAGTTGTACCGAATTCTACTTCCTTTAGGCATCAAGATGCCTAAAAGAAGTGGGGGACTTGTGATGGGGATATGGGACCCTAGGGGTCCATTTTATTGGGAAAGTATTGACCCAAGTGGGGGTGGTGAAAGAAGGAGGTTGGACCAAGTCTTGTTGGGCTAGGAAGACAAGCACGCATGGTGGGCCGGGGTGAAGAACATGGACCGAAGGCAGGAGGAAGTAGGTGCGGGAGGTAGGTACTTATATGAGGGGGGGTAGGTACGGCGTGAGGGGGGGAGGTAGGTACAATATGAGGGGAGGTAGGTACGGCGTGAGGGGGAGGTAGGTACAACATGAGGGGGGAGGTAGGTACGATATGAGGGGGGGTAGGTACGGCGTGAGGGGGGGAGGTAGGTACGGCGTGAGGGGGGAGGTAGGTACGGCATGAGGGGGGTATGTACGGCGTGAGGGGGTAGGTAGGTACGGCTAAGGGGGGGAGGTAGGTGCGGCGTGCATGGTGGAGGATGCGGGAGTCGCGGGGATAGTGGCGACGTGACATGCATGGCGACAAACAAGCGGAGTGGGGGAGGAGCAACGTGGGACACGCGGACGCCAGAGGAGGAGGGGGCTCGCTATAAATAGGGGCCCTAGATCTTTGGCTAAGGGGCAATTCAGACACGATAAGCACTACAGTCTAGTGGTTTTGGTCTTGTACTCTCAATCCAGTCACCTGGGTTCGATTCCTACAACTAGCATAGTTCGCTATAGCCCATCCTGTAGGCCTTGTTCTTTGTAATTGGGCTGCCATTCTGGGTCTGTACCTCGGGCTTTTGTACGCATTGTTCTGGGACTAGCGCCCTACCCCCCCCCGTCCTATGTTCCTATACCCGGTTTATGGTGGACCCGGTCCCAATAAAACCATCATTGGCACCGTCTGTGGGGATCGCTACGATTAGCCCGTGTTTGTAGTCTCTACCATCCTAGCAAGGTTCCGAGGTACGCCCAAATGGTTGATTCGCAAGAGGAGCTACCCTATAAGGTAACACACTTAGCACATCGAGACGCTACTCTGGTGAGTACACTTGAACACTTAGTTAGGTAAAGGTTGTGTTTATTTTCCCGAACTATGTGCCCCTATGTGCTCCTATGTGCTCTGCGTGCTTGGCCCACGGCCACCTCAACTATATGCTCATATGTGATCTGCATGTTTGGCCCGCGGCCACCTCAACTATATGCTCATATGTGCTCTGCATGCTTGGCCCGCGGCTACCTCAACTATGTGCTCCTATGTGCTCTGCATGCTTGGCCCACGGCCACCTCAACTATGTGCTCCTATGTGCTCTTACGTGCTATGCATGCTGGCTCTACGGCCATGGCGGATGGGGCATGTGGGTTATCGCAACCCACATGCGCGGACTTGCCCCGGCAAGCCGCATGGTTTTGGCGGATGGGGCATGTGGGTTATCGCAACCCACATGCGCGGACTTGCCCCCGGTAAGCTGCATGGTTTTTGGCGGATGGGGCGTGTGGGTTATCGCAACCCACATGCGCGGACTTGCCCCCGGCAAGCCGCATGGTTTTGGCGGATGGGGCATGTGGGTTATCGCAACCCACATGCGCGGACTTGCCCCCGGTAAGCCACATGGTTTTGGCGGATGAGGCGTGTGGGTTATCGCAACCTACATGCGCGGACTTGCCCTCGGCAAGCCGCATGGTTTTTGGCGGATGGGGCGTGTGGGTTATCGCAACCTACATGCGCGGACTTGCCCTCGGCAAGCCGCATGGTTTTTAGCGGATGGGGCATGTGGGTTATCGCAACCCACATGCGTGGACTTGCCCCCGGCAAGCCGCATGGCATTGGCGGAGGGGGCGTGTGGGTTATCGCAACCCACACTACCCCATCCTACAATCTTCAGTTACCTTCATCCTTAAAAAAAAAAAAAAAAAGGTTGCATGCAGGTGTAGGATGGAGAAGGAGCAAAGACATCCATCGAATATTTAAAAGAAGCATGCAGGTGCATCATGGAGAAATTGACAAAGCATACTAAATAAATGCAACAAAAGAGATGTACAGTGCAAGAAGCACCCAAGAAGTGACAATAGAGGAGTCACCTTGACCTCTCGACACTAGGTGATGAAGCGAAGGCCAGGGCAACATGCGGTGTGTGGCAGAGGTACGGAGTAATGGCGTGACGCACAACAATGGTGATAATGGAAGGTGGCGGCGAGAGGTTGAGAAAGGGAAAGAAAGGAGGTGGTGATACCGAATTCCACTTCTTTTAGGCATCAAGATACCTAAAAGAAGTGGGGGACTTGTGATGGGGATATCATGAAAGCTTGGGAACTAGAGGTTGAGTTTGGGAAAGAAAGGAGGTAGTTGTACCGAATTCTACTTCCTTTAGGCACCAATGATGGTTTTATTGGGACTGGGTCCACCATAAACCGGGTAACCGGGTATAGGAACATAGGACGGGGTGTAGGGTGCTAGGCCCAGAACAATGCGTACAAAAGCCCGAGGTACAGGCCCAGAATGGCAGCCCAATTACAAAGAACAAGGCATACAGGATGGGGTATAGCGAACTATGCTACTGGTAGGAATCGAACCCAAGTGACTGGATTGAGAGTACAAGACCAAAACCACTAGACTGTAGTGCTTATCGTGTCTGAGTTACCCCTTAGCCAAAGATCTAGGGCCCCTATTTATAGCAAGCCCCCCTCCTCCTCTGGCGTCCGCGTGTCCCACGTTGCTCCTCCCCTACTCCGCTTGTTTGTCGCCATGCATGTCACGTCGCCACTATCCCCGCGACTCCCGCATCCTCCACCATGCACGCCGCACCTACCTCCCCCCCTCAGCCGTACCTACCTACCCCCTCACGCCGTACCTACCCCCCTCATGCCGTACCTACCTCCCCCCTCACGCCGTACCTACCTCCCCCCCTCATATCGTACCTACCTCCCCCCCTCACGCCGTACCTACCCCCCCTCATATAAATACCTACCTCCCGCACCTACTTCCTCCTGCCTTCCGGTCCATGTTCTTCACCCCGGCCCACCATGCGTGCTTGTCTTCCTAGCCCAACAAGACTTGGTCCAACCTCCTTCTTTCACCACCCCCACTTGGGTCAATACTTTCCCAATAAAATGGACCCCTAGGGTCCCATATCCCCATCACGTTTAAATTGAATGCAAATTGAATTGCATCGCTACGTTTTGAGTCTCATCATGTATCTCTTTCCATGAGTATAATTATTGAAGCGCTGTATTGTGTCATTCATAATTTTCTCGTATTAATTATTAGAAAAATATCTTATAAATACTCTAACGTGTAAATTGAATACGGACTAAATTGTCTCACCACGTTTTGAGCCCCAGTCATGTATCACTTTCTATCAGTATAATAATCGGAGCACTAGATTATGTCATTCATAATATTCTCGTGCTAGAAAAATATCATATAAATACGGACTGAATTGTCTCATCATATTTTGAGCCCCACGCATGTATCACTTTCCGTGAGTATAATAACTGGAGTACTAGATTGTGCCCTTCATAGGGTGTGTTTGGTTCGCACATAGGAATCGGAATCGGTATGGGTATCAAATACTTAGTAATGGTAATGAGTTTTGGTGAAAATATTTAACATGTTTGGTAGTAGGGTGGAATGGGAATGGTTACTAATAGTAGTGCTTGGGAATGAATAAGGGAATGAAAACCTTATTGTATTTGGGTATGAGTTTTTCAATTGATGGGATATTCGAAACCCATAGTAGTGTTCTAAAAACCTATCAACCAAACAACAACAATCACTTTCATACTCATCCCTATGGGCAAAACCCACCAACCAAACACACCCTATAATATTATCATGTTAGAAAAAATATTCTCAAAATACTCTAACGTTAAATTGAATACGGATTGAATTGTCTCATCACGTTTTAAACCCCACTCTATGTATCACTTTTTCATGAGTATAATAACTGGAGCACCAGGTTGTGTCTTTCATAATATTCTCGTTAGACAAATATCCTCTCAATACTATAACGTTTAAATTGAATACGGAATGAATTGTCTCATTTTGAGCACCACTCATGTATCACTTTCCATGAGTATAATAACCAGAGCACTAAATTGTGTCCTTCATAATATTCTCGTGTTAGAAAAATATCCTTCAATTACCCTATCGGTTAAATTGAATATGGATTGAATTTTTCATCACGTTTTGAGCCCCACTCATGTATCACTTTCCATGAGTATAATAACTATACTGGAGCACCAGATTGTGTTCTTCATGAATTATTGTGTTAGAAAAATATCCCTCTAAATTCTTTAAAGTTTAAATTAAATATGAACTAAATTGTCTCATCAAGTTTTGAGTCTCACTTTCCATATGTATAATTATTAGAGCACCATATTGTATCCTTCATAATCTTTTCATGTTTGTTAAATATTTTTTAAATACTATAACATTTAAATTTAATATAGACTGAATTTTCTCGTCACGTTTTAAGCCTCATTCATATATCACTTTTAACATGCAAATAATCCAACGCTTAAAAATGTATAACAATCTAGGTGGCAAAAAAGTTGACATCAAGGTATAAAATCATTCTCGTTCATTAAAAACGCATAACCAATCTAAGTAGTAAAGAGTTGACATCAAAGATTTAAATGTGCCTTTTATAGTTTGTATCTGCTCAGAACACCTCGTGTACATAGAAGAGCTAATGTCCAAGTAAAAATTGTCACTAATTTAATATGTTGAAAAATGCGAGGGGTAAGTGTAATTTATGGGAGATGGGGTTATTTCCAAATTCTCGAAACGTTTGGGATCCATTGCAATTAAATACTTTTAGTAAAATTTCCGGCGGGGTATATTTTATTGCAGATACATGTATAAAGGGAAGACAAGTTATATCGGGGGGCGGAGCGAGCCACCGAGAGGGAGGTCGCGATGGATGGCGGCGACGACGACGTGGAAATGGCCGCAGCGGCGGAGGCCGGAGCTGCCGTGGTTCATCTCTCATTCTCTCTTCCTTCCCTATGTTGTTTGCGTTTGCCTAATTTCCGATTCATTCTGTTTTCACTGTTTCGGTAACCCTAAGCGAGTACGTATACATTTATGCATTTAGGAATTGGATGAGATGAAAAAGAGGTTGAAGGAAATGGAAGACGAGGCGGCGGCGCTCCGCGAAATGCAGGCCAAAGTTGAGAAGGAAATGGGTGCTGTTTCAGGTGTCACTCTCCGACTCTCGTGTTTCTTCGGCTTTGACGCTTCATTTTCGTTCATTTTAACAGAATGGAAGTGTTTTTAAGGAATTTGAGCTTAAATGATTGTGTAAACTGATCGCTTTGATATTTGGCTTTCTTTTACTCCCAACCAGACCCTTCTTCTGCTGCTGCGAGCCAATCGAATAGGGAAGAAGTCGATTCTCGTTCCGTCTTTGTTGGCAATGTGAGAATTCTCTTTTGTCCAATTTGTTGTTATATTCACTTAATTATCAAACCATTTAATGTATATAACATTTACCTACCAAAGAAGCAGAATCTCATTTTGTCAACTCATTCAGTGAAGTATTTAGCTTTCTATGAATTTGAAATGCACATTTGCACATATGGCTATGCTTCTCCTTCTCCGTTTACTGCTTGTGTGAATAGATAGTGTGCTGATGTTAGTTCATAAGATAGTTTATATAGAAATTTAAGAAGCTGTATTAATGGTAAAAAGACTAAAAACTAGTAGCTCATTGTGTGCATTGCATCTCTTGAGTGTGCTGATATAAGGCTCCTAAGTCTATATAAAGATTTGAAAGATTGCATCAATGGTAAAAGCTGGTAGTTCTTTAGTGCATTGCTTCTAAGTCACTAGCATTTGTGAGTTTTCTCTCCACTGAGGCTGCTCAGGTATTTTCTGTGATTTGATGGAAAGAATGTGTTTACTCAATTTTTGTTTTTTAATATGTTCCACTATCATAATGGGAGTCTTGGTTTGTTTTCTGAAGAAAGTTTCAAGATATGAAACTTTTGAAACTTTGTAGTTGGTCTCGGCCTTTTACATAGCTTGTGGAGTTGTGGTGATACTACTTGATTTATCTATGATCCAATCCAAATCAAGAGTCAAAATTCTTACAGTGCAGTCTACTTGGACAATAAATTTGTGACAAAGTGTTTTGCAGGTGGATTATTCATGCACCCCTGAGGAAGTGCAGCAGCACTTCCAGGCATGCGGTACTGTAAATAGAGTTACTATCCGTACTAATAAGTTTGGGCAACCAAAGGGATATGCCTACGTTGAATTTCTTGAACAAGAAGCTGTTCAAGAGGCCCTTCTTCTGAATGAGTCTGAGCTTCATGGCCGCCAACTAAAGGTGATCCGGAGCACTGATCTAATTTTTCTATCATTTTCTCACATGGATACACTTCTAAAAGGTGCCTTGTTATGTTGTCTCCATCTCTCGTAGTCCTTAATCTTTTCAAAATTGTAATATTGATGATAGGTATCGGCAAAACGAACTAATATTCCTGGCATGAAGCATTTCCGTCCACGACGTCCCAATCCTTATATGGGCTTTCGGGGCAGGACACCATACCCAGCTCCTTTCTTCTATACTCCTTATGGATATGGGTATGATTTACTGCTATGCTGAATGACATTCACTACTCTAACAAGCTCCCTTTAGTAGTTTAGTTATTAACATCAAAATTGGTAAAAACTGTTTATTGCTGCCTACATTGCAGGAAGGTTCCTAGGTTCAGGGCACCAATGCGTTACAGTCCTTACTTCTGAGGCTTTGGTTTTACCATATAAATTTCATGCAACAAATGGATAGATCAGAGTCTTGAAAGCTCTAATATCTGTCCGTGTATGTCTACTTGTCACTTGGGGTATCTTGATTTATGTTTATCCTGAGATTGATCTTACATTTGGCTTGGTTAATATCATGATTTAGTTTTCTGTCATAAAATTGTTTGGTTGAACTGCATCCTTGAGTTAACTATCATTTATTTTCTATGATCAATTCCTCCCCTAAACCAAACTCAGAAAATCATACTAATATACGGAGTAGTTATTATGGGAAAGTTTATTGATTGGCATTGGTGCCTCTTGCACCTGGCATAAACCACAAAGCTTTTTTACATTCACTTTTAGTTGTACTTGGTGCAATTGGCATAAATGTGGATTAGCACCTTAGAATTTTGATATTATTATAAATATTATTCAAGAAAAAAAAAAGAAAAAGAAAAGATGAAGTTACAAACTGTTTTTTATTGGGAAAAGGGTCAAATAAACTTTTAAGCTTTACCTGAAAAGTTAATTAGGTTCCTAAACATTTAAAAAGTGCAATTATATCATTTCACATGTTAAATTGAGGCAATGAAGTCCAAGAATCGATAAATGATCTGCTATTACAGCCCATTTAAGTTCCGACATCATATCCAGCAAAAATCTGACGACAGTCAAACCGTCGCCAATCGTCATCTACCAGAGAAGGTGCCGACCAGTCGTCATCTACCAGAGAAGGTGACCAGTTGGTTGCCTTCTCGACCAGTCGTCATCTACCAGAGAAGGTGACCAGTTGGTTGCCTTCTCCGGCAGAAGGCGACCAAATGGCTGCCTTCACAGGCACAAAAGTTCAAAATGGTTATAGTTGTCTTGATGCTTTCAGGATATGCTTTTTGGGTCTTGTTTGAGTTCCCTGAGAGAGTGAGAGTGACAACTATATAATGTTGTTTTCAAAAGCCATTTTACATTACTGTTGATGTTCCCCACAATTTTTTTGTTGGTCTTTTTTTTTTTTTTTTGAAGACTTGAAAACAGAAACTTGGAACCCATATCTGTATCCGGCAAAACAAAATTTATTATTTATTATTTTACTAAAAGATTATATCCTTTTAGCATTGCATTTTTGATGTTCATTGCAGAACAGGATTTTCACAGCTATACTAAACGACAACCGAACCAAACCAACCAAACCCCTGGCAAAAGAGCCACGTGCGCGTCCTTCTATTTACACGGATGGAGACGCCAACACAGGATCGTACTCCTACCCCGCCCGGCCCCACCTACTCTCTTCTTGTTGTCCACGTCAGACCAGTGTCGCGCATGCTGACTTCGCAGGGTCCCACATGGCCGGGAGCAAGAACTTGCGCCCGTTTGCGCCGTGCGCATTGTAGCTCGCCGACGAGGTCTTATCCACCAAGACTTTACCCGCGTTTCCCGGGTACGACCCGGACCCGAACATCCCCGTGCAGGCGCTGACGGCCTCTAACGGCGCCGTCGCCGGCCCCTGGAAGTACCCGTCCTTAAACGGGTTGGTCACGGTCCCAGGGCCGGATTTTAGGCTGTGCAAGCTGGGCTACCGCACAGGGCCCCCAATTTTAGAGGGGCCCCAAATTTTATAGGTCCAATATTTAATTTTTACCTAGCTAGTTTCGAAATAAAAATTAAGAGTTTTCAATTAAACTTAAAAGGTTCTATGAAGAGATGGTAAAAATGTATATTTATTGTATTTTAACTTGGAGGTCAAAGGTTCGAAACTTGCATGTATTGATTTTAAAAATTGTGATTTTGGTAGGGCCACATTTATTTACCAGAACAGGGCCACCAAAATTTAAAATACGGCCCTGCACGGTCCCGGCCAAGACGGTGGCGAGGTTGATGATCATTCCGTCAACTCCAACGTCTCCGTTAGGCGCCACCAGAGGCGGCGTCTGGGGGCCGTAAATGGGCTGATGAAACGGCCACGCGCATTTCCCGGGGCACTGAGTCTCCGAGTTCCCCACCCACGCGTACGCAACTCGGTTCTCCCCCGCCGCCGTCGACGCGTGAGTTCCACACCTACTCCGGCAAAACCCGTCCACAGAAACATCCTTATCCGTCATCACAACGCTAACAGACGCGGCGTCATGCCCACCCTTTCCCGCCAACTCCTCAATCTGCTCATCCTTGAGCGATTTCCCCAGCGAACATTTCTCATCCATTATTTGCTTTCCGACAACAAGACTGGCTAACCCGCCGCCTTTATACTTCTCGGTGGTCTTCCACCAAGACCCAACAGACGGCGCCGGAGCATCTTTTTCCGATTTAAACGACTGGAGAAAATCAACGATGATAGACCGTTGGGTCGCCGTGAACTCCCCGTACCAGACGAGATTAACGGTGACCTCGCCCTTTAAAAGGGTGCCGTTGTGGTACTCGAGGACAGGCCCCTGTTCCTTAACCAGAGTCGCCAAGGATGGCTCCGGAACGCCGGCGAGAAATAAGAAGACCAAAGCCACGGCGGAGGCTATGGCACAATTGTTAATGGCAGCCATGATCGATAAGACAGAGCTTTTAGATGGAAGGAAGATTGAAGTTTGGAATTGTTTGAGAGGGGAGAAATGGGAGGGATTATATATAGAGAGGCGAGAGCAATGCCACCTTCAAAGCTTTCCCAGGACGACAGAGACCGTAGACCTGATTTAATGGTCAAGAGTTCGTAAATAATTTCAGTGAAGAGAAAAAAAAAAGAAAATTATTTATTTATATTTCTAAAATATTATAGACACACAAACTCACTATATGTGTTTTGCCATTAATATTACTCTTTTTGTCCCATTTTGTGTGTCTAGTTCCGGTTAACGAGACTTGATTGAAATTATAAATTTTTTTTATAATATTAAGTTTAGTACCAGTATACAAAAATTATATATTTATAAATTACACTAAAAAAATACTATTAAGCACAAAAAATCAAATTTAAATATAAGTAAAAAATATTAAAGGAAATAAGCATAAAATAAATAGTCGATTTGATCCATGAATAGTAAGTAGGACAAATAGAATATTAGTGATTCACTTGTATTATATTCATGAATTACTTGTGAATTAATTAACATTACCTTGCTAAAATTAAAATTTATTGTCCCATGGAGCTAGTTCAATTGATTCGACTGATTACCCAAAGCCTTGTTTAAGTCGTAATAGTGTGAGAGTTCATCAGAGGTGATGACGGATGAAGACCTATTGTGCATAGAGTTTACAGGCAAGGGTGAGAGAGGTAATGACTAACAAGTAATATGTAACTTGCAAAAAGGCCTTGCTCCAACTCTAGTGCGCTGCGGCCGAAAGCAACACGCAGCGGTTTCTGGACAGTTGGAGATTTAATTTAATTCATCCGTTACAGAATTTTAATCTCTGTATTTGTTTTTGAATTAAATTTGCACTAAAGGCCAGCTGTTTCAGATGTTACAAGGCTGGTGTTAATGGCCTAGTTAAATGCTATTTGATGTCCTACATCCCTATATAAGAAGGAGGGTAGCAGCAGTGTTTCGACACTAATTTGAGAACAACACACACAACACGATGTTACAAGGCTGGTGTTAATGGCCTAGTTAAATGCTATTTGATATCCTACATCCCTATATAAGAAAGAGGGTAGCAACAGTGTTTCGACACTGATTTGAGAACAACACACACAACACAGAAACTTCGTTTTCCCAGCTCCAAAAATCTCTGCTCCTACTCCATTCTTGAAGCTGTGTTCTGTTCGTGCTCTAGTTCGCCGGGTTCGTTCGTTTGGGTGCTCAAACGTCGAACCGTTGTACGTTTTATCCTGGGAAACCTAGGCCACAACGCTCCTAGCACTTTTGGGAGGTGACAAATAAGGTTTTAAGGAAAGACAGACACTTTGCCTAACTCGTACAATTCTTTCTCTCTTCTCCTTCTTTCTTGTTTTGGATTATGCTCTAAGCAAAAATCCATTCTTTCTTGTTGATTTGGAATTATAATCTAATTATAATTTCTTTTTGGTTGATATATATTGGTATATCTTTTTCGTAGATATACATGTATATATAACCGTTGGGTCCGTTTTATATATATTTGTGTGTATATATATATTTCGGATATATATCTAATAATATTTTATATATATTTCGTGTGTATATATATAAATATTATTTTACGGATATTAAATCGATTGTGGTTCATTATTCTCCAACACGACCTTCACCGACCCGTCATGATCGTCCTACTAACCATCTCACTTACCGAGCTTTGCTAAAGGCCGCATACGCGGGTGCTCCAACGATCGCTGTGTCCCGACCTAATCAGGTCGGGACCAACCTACCAACCTAGTTGTTCTGGCATAATGCAATAACTTAGGAATATCAGTGCACGTGGCCAAGCCCACTTGGGCCCCGGCCTAAGCCTGTGCATGGGTTTCACGTGCCGTATATGCCGCGAGACTAGAACTTGTCCCCTCATCTTCCCTTAAATGCCGCATTTATTGCTATGATGGGAGACTTTTGATTATTTCTACACACTAACTGTTAGCTCGGGAACATTTGTCTCAGTGTCATTATTCCAAGCTCTACAACTTAAACCAACAAGCAGACTAGGTAAATAGACCGTAACCGAAACCAACCTTAAAATTGTATCTAGTAGTATACATACACTTGTATTTACTACATCATATATATTTGTTAATCAAATGTAAACAGAAGCTGTGGGGGCTTAGTATTAGACATAATGAGGTGAAATTATAAGAGGGATGTAGATCACTCTTATTCTTAAAAACCGATTTAATGTTGTTTGACCCTTGATTAAGGATTCATCTATTTCTTTTGGACTCCGATCAAAATTAAAGACAAGTAACGGGTACAACAACATTGTAATGTGCGATATTATATCTATCACAGAGAAAAATGGATCTGAGCATGACGTGGGAACTCAGCATTGCTTGCATTAATGTGGACGTATGAGAGTCCTTGCATGGGCAGCGGTATTAATTAATACTAACATTTATGGATTTAATTAATTGAATTAATTAAATTGGGAGGTTTCAGATGGATGGAGAGTAAATATATATACTATTTATCAATGAATGAAGAGTGAAGAAGACTAGACTGCACGGATAATATAATAATAATTGTTATAAATAAGCAGCAGAGTACACTTGGGATAGGGCAATTCCATACGCTAATGTACAGCTTTCTTGATTCATGACTCCACCCGAATAGTGGTTCGGAATAATTGGAATAAGGTTCAAATTGGTCATTGAACGTAGCCTAAAAATGTAATTAGGTTACTGAATGCAAAAAAAAGTGTAATTAAGCCACTGAACATTTTAAATTTATGCAATTTCACCTGATAGCAGGTTACCATCAATTTTAGCAGGTCACCTGCTTACGTGGTAGTTGAGTTGGCATTTTTAAATAATTTTTAATAAATTTTAATAATAAATTAAAAAAAAAATTGAAAAAAATTAAATACAAAAAATAATAAAACGACGGGGTAGCCGCGGGGGATTTTTTTATATAATTTTAAAAAAATTATTAAAAATTATTTAAAAAATTATTAAAAATGTCAACTCAGCTGCCACGTAAGCATGTAATATGCTAAAATTGATGATAACCTGCTATCTGGTGAAATTGCATACATTTGGAGTGTTCAGTGGCCTAATTGTACGTTTTTGGAGTGTTCAGTGGTCTGATTGCACTTTTTTTCGTTCAGTGGCCTAATTGCATTTTCAGGTTACGTTCAGTGGCCAAGTTGAACCTTATTTCGGAATTATGTGTTTGATTCGATTGAGATAAATATGGATAAGAGTAACAATTTTAGTGAAGAATTTTTCGTGATTTTTACAATATCAACAAAGAGAGAGAAAATGGTAAGGAGTGAAAAAAAAAAAGTGTTTACGGGCCCAGATGACGCGTGCACGCTGGGCGGAGCGCAATGGCCTTCACAGCAATCGTTATGTCATCGTGTTCACCATTCATGGTGAACACGGTCCCAACGGTAACGGTGCACTGTTGTCTTTTTTTTTTTTTTTGTTTTTTTTTTTTGTTTTTTGTTTTTTTTTTGTTTTTATTTTATTTTTAACCGCGCGACTTTTCTTCTTCATTTTCACATTTCGCGGTTTCACTTCCTCTTCGCTCAAGTTTCTTCAACATTTATAAATTATGAATGTGCAGGCATGAATTTATGAATGTGCAGTTATGAAATTATGAAATTTCTGTTATGAGATTATGAATTTTCTGGTATGCGATTATGAATTTTCTTATGAAATTATGAATTTTCTATTATGAGATTATGAATTTACAGAAAATTCATAATTACATAACTCTAAATTCATAATCGCATAACAGAAAATTTATAATTTAATAAATATTTTTCTTTTTGCGATTATGAATTTTCTGTTATGAGATTATGAATTTACAGTACATTCATAATCTCATAACAAAAAATTAATAATTTGAACAAACGCGCGCCGTTAACAGCACATTAACTAATTTTTTTTTCTGTAAAAACGATACCGTTTAATCCCGTGTTCACCATTCATGGTGAACACGTTTCGAGGGCATAATTTGCGCCTTCACGGAAATTGGGCATTTCTTTCTCATAGTTGTCCAATTAATGGGTTTCACAAAGAACCTTTTTTTGAAGGAAAAAAATACCTCAAAAAATCATCATTCCAATTTGATTAAAAATCAATCTCAAGTTTTTTTTTTTTTTTTTTCCCTGAAAAAACACTTCTAAAATACACAAATGTGGTTGCCCTAGCCCCTAGAGCGCTTTTGTTAGACGTGTTGGGCGGAGGTTGATAATGAGCCAAATTCAACAATTGGTGGCTAAAGAATTGTGTTGATGGAGGCTGGTGAAAGGTCAAGTTTAACACCATGTCTCTCGAAAATGTAGTGGCGGTGTATAAGAAAATAAAGTTGCGCATTTAGCATGAACTATAACTTTTGACATGGTGGTAAGCGTAAACGGGTTCGAGTCCCAATAGTTAAGGTTGGTAGGTGCTAGGACAGAGAATTGTTGATCAGTGATGAAGGTTGGTAGCTAGGGGGATGCATTTGTGCATAGAAGGTACGGGTATGGGTGAGAACTTGAGAACTGATCGGAACGATTCTTGAACAAGGGCTCTCAGGATTTAAATGTCTAATGTATTAAAAAACATACGGAGTATATATATATATATATATATATATATATATATATATATATAAATTATTTAAGCTTCTCCTCCATGTCACTCCATAGTCCAAAGGCCCTTTGTTATTTTTTGTCTATTTCTTTTGGAGTATTATTGTGGAGGATATTGGGAGCAGTAGAGGACTGGTATGAAAGTTGACAAAATTGACATCAGCTGCCATGTCTTTAGCTTTAGGTATAGGTTATGGTCCACTCGTTTCGGAAATCAAGGCCGGTAAGGTGGCCTTCTTGATTCTCTGCATTAAAATGCGTTTTTTAAGATGAATATAAAAAAAACTTAATAGTATTTAATTAGTTAATTCCAGCAATGGTCCTCCGACGATATTGATTTTCCAAAATTAGTCCTTGACTTTTAATTTGGACACTTTAGGTCCCTTAACTTTCAATTTCTTTCTAATTGAGGTCCTTTCGTCAGAATACGGTTAATTAAATTTTAAATGAAGGGGTAAACTCATCATTTCACCTGCATATGTATTAT